AAACAATATGTCCTAGTCACCACATTACGCAAAACTCGTGGACAAATGTCCCCAAATTAACCGACAATTACAACGACAAAGGTAAAACGGCTCCATTTTCGCATAAATTTGAATACATTTGAATCGCGTTCCACAGAGTTCCACTAGTAGCGTGTATTCAAACCAGCGTTCATTGAATAGAGGACGGTGGACGCGACGAAACCCTTTGTGACAGATGCGGTGCAACCCGCCTCAATAGACGTAGAAATGCGACACGATAAAACGCGTCGCTTACTTTGATCGACGAACATTTTACGTGAAGTTTATATGGTTATAGTACTGTGAGGAATGTTTTAGTAATGGCTGAGTGCAGTTTGTGAGACGTGTCTTCTAAAGTCGTGGGTTTGTTGCTCTTTTTCTTTGAATAACAAATTTTTTTGATCGGGGAAAATGTGGAAGTGTGGTTGTCGTATTTATACTCCATTAGCTTAAAAAGAAAAATTATGATAATTACGCTCACCTTTGCAACAACTATAATTATGATCTGTTCAATGCATCTTCAAAGATTTCAATTTTTACCAACCATATGATGATCCATAAAGACTGTTATAATCCATTTAGGCACAACACACAATAATCAACATCAAACCATAGAACCATATAATTTTGAAACAAAAATGACCAACCTCCAAAGATTCCTTTTCACCAACACCAGACCAAAGATTGTACGAAATAAAACCATATAAAACCACTCCCACTAAACTAGATAGATTACGTTGGAGAGTGTTCTGTTACTAATAAACTCTCGTTAGCCCTGTCTTAGGTTTAATGCAGCATTAGTCTCGACTTTTATCTACCCACTACAGATTAAGTTACTGGTTTCCAGACTGTATAGGAAAAGTTGCCTGAACGGTCTTTAAGTGGAACTAGAAATTACGTTACGTTCAATTTTGTTAGCAAAGTCAATAGAGGAGAAAATTAAGGTATTGGCGTAGCTTAATTGCTTGTGATGGTGAAATCAGTAATTAACTGACATTGTAATTAAACGAGATATTAAGTGAAAATATACATAGGAGATAAAGATTCAACAACAGCCTAAGTGTCCAATGCTGAGCAAAGCCTCTTCTCACGCTAGCTCATTGCGGGTTGGCGATTTCAAACTTATAATTAGAAATTATAAACCCAAGTTTCCTCACGATGTTTTCGTTCACCGTTTTTCAGTGGTGTATAAATATATCTGTGGTGTCTAAGATATCCTAGCAGTCAGTGAAGAATACTTTTACAATTTGCCTAAACCACGGATCGAACTTGAGATCTTGTCTTTGACAGTAAGGGATTGTAACCACACGATTACCGAGTCTGCAAATCCCATCCGTGCCGATAAAAGTTAAGTGAATGGTTCATAGATATAAGCCGTAACTAATATTTCAACCACTGCAAACACCATGTTCGTTCAAAATCCAATAATATAAACAAACATGAAACATTCCCCATTTAATCGATGAATAACAAACTAAATTCAAACAAATCGCTTTATTACATTAAATTAAGTGGAGTGTTCCTGCAAACGTTGGGTTCTTTTGTATCTAAATAACGGTACCCTAGAGGCGGTCACTAAATGAAGAAAAACAAAAGCCGACCATTAGGGTTGTGCCCGGCTATGACAAACAATGCGGTGTGAACGAATAGGGCTACCAAGCAAGGAAATTGTAGAGATTGTTGTTCGTCACTATGTCATTTTGTTTTATATTTGTGATTGCTGCCAGTGTAATATTTTGGGAAAAATAAAATTATGACAAGTCAACGAGGTTTACTTATTTTTTAGTTATAGGAAGGTATGAAAAACTACTGGTTATTACTGCTACATCTGAGCTTTTAGTTGTGTAAAATTGTTTTGTAATAAATTCTTAAAATAAAAAACGACATAAAAAAAAATTGCAAGTGTTATATCCATTTCATTGCGATAAAATCTTTATAAAAAAGTGGGTCACGCTCTTAATTAAATTTCGCTGTATCCGTCCAGCATCCAGGTGACAGCCCTGAACGAAAATAATATATTTTTCCCGTAGTGCGTGTGCGGAATTCACATTAATCTCGTGGTTCCACCACTTCCGACCTGTGTCCAAAAAATCTATACTTTTTGCTGTTGTAGGCACAATAATTGAGCTAAATTTTTGCCACGTCCGAAAAATTATCGAGGTAAAGGTTCATACAAAAATGAGAAAACCTTTTATTTCCGTCCTTTTTACCTAGAAGGCGAAAACTGAGAGAATAAAACGTCGAGCTAAAAAGATTAATAATTTTAAATGTTAAAATCTTTAAAAGGAGATGTGTCTTATTTTATACCTGAATGAAAAAGGTGATTGTGATCCAATGACCGAAAGCCAGTTCGGAACTTGAATCTCACTTTGGATATGAAAGAACAAATAGATGAAAACTATGATTAAAATAATGAAGATGACTGCAATAACCTTTTTTCAACTTTGTACAACTACAATAACGTTTAAAATGACAAAATATTACTTAATCTACCACTTCAAACATCGTCAAATATTTGTTACCAACATTTCAATGACATTTCATCCAAAATGTTTCATGTTTTCATCCATATCAACCTAGAAGTTTGGTGTTGGATGTTGTGTACACTAGCCAAACCACAAAGGCCACCATAAACTCTGTTAATGACATTTAATATTAATAACTCTTCGCATATATGACATGGGCATTAAAATTAATTAAAGTTTTCATCGGTACACCTGTGACGGAGGCGTCAGTATGACGTTTTAATTAATTGCTGGCGTCACTCGTCCGTAATGACCATGGGGGTGACATGTGACGCGATGCTGATTTGTTACTGTGATGGGGAGCAGGGTGTTGTGGTAAAGTTGGTGTGTGATGTGCAGTGGCAAAAATAAATAAGGAAAAATGCGCAAGCTTTCATTTTGGTTTGGTATGATTACGTTTCAATACTGTTACAATTTTCTTGATAAGAAAGCAACTCACACCATAATGGTCTGAGTAACCTAGCCATGATATCATTTCCAAATACTTCTCGAACTACGGTACTCTAGACCCATTAAATTTAATGTAATATCTCCACCACAATGTGGTATGTGCTCTGAATCGTGATTCACTTCTCAGCAATTTAATTGACTAATTCAATAGGAAACTCTAAACTAAGCAGCCACGTGGAGTTTCCGACGATCCAACTGATTAAACCTATACGCATGACTGCCATCTCTCAAATTGGATTCCAGAAATAGGAGTACACCTTTGTTGATCATTTACTTGGATTAGAAATAATAGATATGTGTAAGGTTCGATTAGGTCTATCTCTATTGAATCCATTTCAGTCACTGCTAAGTATAGGCCCCCTTTTTCTACCATACTTCTAGTTTTTCTGCATCTTTTATTCATTAACTTCCTGTGATTCTCTACGTATTTTTGATCGATAATTAAATTTGTTTTTCATTTATTTGTTTAAAAGATATGTAATAATATTATCACATAGGAACACATCTATAAATAAACTTACATGACAACAATTAATAAAATAGACCCATAGCTGATGTTTCTACCATTTTCATAGTTAATGTTATAATAAAGAATACTAATATACATGATAACCTTTTTATTACACGCTATACATACACAAGTATGTATATGTACAACGAAATTACCCAGACAGTGCTTTATCATTTCTCCTTTCGTCTCGTCATGTGTTGGCACTAAAATTAAATGGTTCCTCGCAAATGGACGACTGCAAAGATCCAGTTGCCATAAAGCTTTTCGTGTCTCCTCAATGTTAATTACATTTATGTTTATGATTCCCAAAATCTGAGAAATTAGAACTGTGATTTGTTACCTATGCTTACTTATACGATAAGTATGCTGCAGAAATTGTCAAACATTTCTCTTACTTCTTACAGCCTATCAAGCTTAAGGAATCCATCATGCGATATTAATTGTACTTTAACTCATTTCTTTATATCCATTTATAGGAAATAATTACATCAGTTAGAAAAAGAAATTTACATAGGATACCACACGCAATACATAGATTCGCCACTTGTAACGTCCATGCCGGAATACGCTGGTCATAGTGACGTGTCGTCATTTGCTTTAACAAATTGAGTGTCACTTCACATCAGCCCGACACCGACAGGGTTATTACGACCGTTTTTAACAACAACTCGCCGAGACGGGTTAAATTGCGGAACTGAATCGAGTTGTGTTCATGAATTCTTTAGTAGATGTACTGTACCAACCCCTGGACAAACGAGAATGAAATCCTACCAGTATTTTATTTTCCGAGGATTGCACAGGATTTTTGTCACTTGTTAGTTTGATTTAGGAGGTACACCTATTGCCATAATAAACGGTACTGGCATATAAAACCTTCAATTTCCATAGAAGTCCAGTGGAAGAATGATATTGGTTGCTAACTATGTTTTATGGTTCAGGAAAAAATAGTAAGAAAATGTGTCCATTGATTATTTTAATCAAAAGCCAGTTGCGAAACCAATTCACATAATCAACGTTAATTGTATTAATTACGGTACCCGAATAGCTTGCAAAATCTTTCTTTTCTTAACGAAATCCTGCTGAGTAAGTAATTCGAAAGAATGCCTGACGCACTCGCTGCGTTGTACCACGGCGTGCACAGCTTTTTAATTAATACCTACGCGTCGGGTACCATGCTCGGGAATAAATCTTAGTTAATGTCCCTTTAGTCTGGTCAGCTCGGCCCCATGTGTTGGTAAGCTGAGACTAGATGAGCCGAAATCGATTTCGCGTCGACTAGATGGCTAATAGCACATTTATTTCGTTGAGTTAATGCTCTGAATTGTGGAGTATCGGTTGAATTGTAGCTAACCTCAATTTATTTGCGGAGAGTCTCATATACGTTACTTTCTGATTGGTCTTAATGTCATATACTTTTCGATTAGTAGGCTTCTTAAAATATAGTTTGTTATGTTCTTTAAAAATAGTTTTACTTATCCTAACTTTTTCTTGGTTTCAGAAATGCGACGTTCCTCGAGCCACATCTCCAGGGCGTAAGAAGACGCGACAGTAGAAGTTCAGACTCAGATCACGATGAACGCTCCACAGAAGACGACGAGAGGTCCTTGCTTCGAAGTTCACCACGAACAAGGCTGCCCCCTCCTCCACCGCCGCCGCCTGACGACGACCCACCACCATTAAAGCCTCGAGAATTCTTTGAAAGACTTCAAACTCAAGCGATGAGGGAAGCTCAAGAAAGAAAACATAGATCAAGAGACCTACCAATCAAAGACTCTAACCAACTCTTCAGACCGGTTGACGCTGACGGTAGTCTAGGAGACAGCCTCAGTCAGGTAACAAACCCCTTTATTTCTCTTTTCTCCAGACTTCGGAAACTTTAAATCACGAACAGAGCAAGTTCATTCGGATGTAGCCTAATGAACCGTACCGCAGTCCTATTTAGTTTTTAGTTTCGTAGACTTTTTCTCAAACTGTAGCTACGAGTTTTATACAGTTAGTCTTTATTTGCATATCCGATAGCATTATGTAAAGTGGGAACGAGAAGTATTTCTGCACTGAAATATTATGTGGAAATAAAATTATATTTAGCCATTTATTTGTGTAGTATTTGAGATGTATGTTGTCGGATTTGGAATGCGTCTCCTCTCTCCATTTTGCTGCCATTACCATGTGAATGCGGCGAGAGTGATGTTACACGAAAGCAATATTTTTCAATAGTCGATACAGAATTAAATTTGCGGCTGTGCAGAAGGGAATTTAGAGGGAGGGGTAGCTTTTCGTTTGATGTTCCTTTATTCATCTTATTATTTACGGTATATAAAACACGGACAGCCTTAAGCGCAGTTCTTAAAATGCTACCTTGTTTGTTACGGTGTTTGGGCAAAAATATTTATGTTTTTTTCAAACATGGCAACAGAAATCTCCCTCGAATTACATGGGGAAAATTGTACTCAAATGAAAATAGGAAAGGCGGTTAAAATGGCAATAAATAAACGCTACGCATTTCATGGCTTTAAATAAAGCTTGATTAGTATGCCACGTCAGTGCTCCGAAGTGTAATTAAAGAAACATTAAAGGCGCGTACGGTGCATTATTCTTAGCACTTGCTGCATGTTTTCTCTCTAAAATGACAATTAGCCGTTGTTGCAGCACCACAATGTTTATAAACCCTGCCGCTGCACTCAGCCGCACTAGAGCTGTGACAGGGGCCCACTTGAGGTGTAAAACTTCTCAGTCAATTGCGGGCGTTGCTTTGTGAATGCTTGAAGCCCCACCAAACCCTTGCATTGTCGCCGGCTCTCGTTTAAAATATAGGGAGTAATAGCAAAGTTATAGTGCACTTAGCTTTGCATTTATATCGAAAAAGTAAACGTTTAAAAGTTAAGGAGACGTTTTGTTGACAATTAACATAACATAACATCACGCCTTTTATCCCCGAAGGGGTAGGCAGAGGTGCACATTATGCCACTGTACAATGTTACACCCAATTTTCACTATTTATGTTATGAGTCCCATGTAATAGGGGGTGAGCCTATTGCCATATACCGGGCACAATTCCAGACTCCGTGCTACTACCGAGATTTTTTTTAAAAACCCAGTAATACTTTGCCCGACCTGGGAATCGAACCCGAGACCCCCTGCCCGTCAGTCGCACTTGCGACCACTCGGCCAGCGAGGCAGTTGACAATTAACTGGTTAGAATTTTGACAATAATTTGACTTAAAGATTATTTTAAACGCCTATTAGATAAATTTACAGACGCAAACGCCACCCGAAAAGTAAAGGGATCGCCTGAAAGCATAATATTCATTACACTACACTTACTGGTCCATCGGACTGCCGATTAACCCTCAAATTAGAGCGGGGGCCCGAAGTTAACTGCCTTTGCGGCACATAAATGACATGTGCGACTTAGAAATTTGGCCGGAATTCGTACCATACCATTTATGGTCTGTAATGGTGTTTTTAATTATTTCGCGGGTAATTATTGGACACGTTACGGTTTTCGAGGGTTAAATGTACTTTTGTTGTAACCTCAAAATTTACTTACTAAAAGTCGGTTTTAATGATATTTTATGAACTCACGGTACATTAAACAAGTTCACAAATCATTTGTGTTGTTGTCTAAGCACTTCTGTATGAAGCCATATCTAGATTAATAATACGACTTTTACTTTAGGTTTTAAGGTATGTTGTTTGGTGGTTTTTTGCCACATCCCGCATACAACAAGAATATGATAAGTATATAAACTAAGCAGAGTAAGCATTTTAAAAATTGCTAGGTTTAAAAATTCTGAATAATGTATTATCTATTGAAAAACTAGAAAACCTGAAATGACGATAATACTAGTGACTACTAAATAAACTAACAAGACAATTAGTTTCAAAGGATTCATATTTTTCATCTGAATATAACTCATGGTTCTGAAAGGCTCGTTTGCCGTACAAATGAATAGATAACGTAATGGAACTCCGGTCGCCCCCATTTATCAAACATTTCAACGACAGACGACAAAATGGTGAGACTTTCCTATAACTAAATTCAATTTTAAAATTAATACTCATATATTAATTTATTTGCTTAAAAAATCTTGTTAATATTCATTTAACTAAATAACTTCGGACAATAAACAATGTGTTTAAGTAATTTTGTCCATCATTAGTGTAATGGGTAATAAAACTGTCTACAAAATTGTTTAAGCGTCAGTATTTACTTTGATTGCTTCTAATAGACCATGTTATCCCTATTTGTTTAATGGCGCGTAAACTCGCTCTACAATTAATATCATATAGACGGCAATCACTTTAAAAGCTTTCAAACTACTTCTTGGACTTATCAAAAGCGTTTGATATACTGGACATGTTTAAATAAACTAACAAAATTGACTCTGTTATTGTTCGGTAAAATTTCGTAAGTTAGGCGTTTTATACGCGATAATTGCTACCATTGTCAACACGGAACGATTATCGGGTCGCTCGGAACTTCGTCTGCGCCCTTCCTACGTCCGGAGCAGACTTTAATTGTTGGTTGAAAAAAAATGAAGCCATCCCTAGTTTAATTTGCATGCGGTGCAGTGGATGCCATCGATTTAGTACAACAATAGGGAGGATAGATGCGTCTCTTGTTTCCTCTTTATTGCATTGTTCGGAGCGACGCGAATTTTTCGGCGATTTATTTGTTCTCATTTTACCACGTGCGTTTTATTGAATCGGCATGCGTTTACGTTTTATTATATTTGTTGGACTATCCTAGTTATTCAGCCGTCTAAAATCAACCGAAAACCTGATTCAAATATTTGCTTACCAAATTATAACTATGCGAACATTCAAAGGTTCTATTTTTACCAAACCACAAATTCCTCAAGTCAAAAATCAACCAATTCACCGCCTAATTGAGCATCGCGAGCAATTTAAAAAATATGCAATCAGGCCACCAATAAAGGAAACGACGAGGCGTAAGTCAGGCGTCAAGTCAATGGCTTCAAACCCCATGAGCTCCGACTCCCCTGTCCAGTTTCCGGGACGCTTATTATGGTAATGACACCTTCGGGCTATGTGGACTTTTACTGCTCTATACATAATTTAACTTCTCATCTACCTATGTTGATGTAGCCTTAAATATATGCAGGAGTTTCAGGCGAAAGTTTGCAGGTTCGAGTCATTTTGTTAATGAGATAGATCCGAGCATGTGAGGCAGGACGGATTAATGGCTCCGTTATAAAACACTGAGCTAAAAAGATATATTTTTAGAGTAAAAGAGGACTGTTTTCGAAAAGAAAAAAAGCATTATTTAGTCTAATTGTAAAGCAAAGTTTATAATTTGTCAATATAATATTTTTATCATTTCAAAACTCCAGTTAAAGGCTATTACAGTTTGACAGAAATGCTATTCATCCTATGTAGCTCCCAGCAATACCTATGTTATTACTTTAAATTATTTCTGAAAAGTATGCCAAACAGAATAAGCCGACATAATTTCACACAAACATAATTACTTAACTACATCTATTTCCCGCGAACTCGTTAATGAAAATACCCGACAAAATTACGGGTAATGAGATAAAAAGTGAATTAACGCACTTCGCAGAAAAATGGTTATTACGCCAATCTGATCGGTACACACGAGCGACCCGACTTATTGATTTTAACCACCCCGGGGTGAGTCATCTGCCGTTGCATGCACCTCACCCCTCCCCATAGCCCCGCACTGGACCACAAACACTGTTTGCTCTCTTTGATTGAACTTGAAGAAACTAAAGGGCGGCTGTAAGTTTGTTTGTGAAGTAATAACTGTTTTTTCTTCCCAACGTTCCTTGTTTGCGTGATTTTTTCACAGTCTGCATTCGATTGGTGCTCGTTAAAAGTTTGTCACGACGCCGACGGTTTCTGTCGCAGAAATAAATATTTTTAAGTTTTGATTTTGTTCCTCGTTTTTAATAAAAATATCTACGGAAAAAGATTTTAATGACATGCAGAGGTCGCCACGTCGCTGTGGGAACTGTAACAGTATTCTGATTTCGATTTGCATATTATAATTGCAACATGAAAAGCTGTTTTCTCGTTCAGATAAACATCGAACAAGAAGCTCTTTACAAATACAAGATCAAAATTTGAAAATCATTTACCTCTTAAACGCTACTTAACCGGCCATAAAATCGTTAGTCTACTCCCGATACCCTATTACGTATTCTGGAAAACTTTTTACCTAATTAAAACTTCCCTTCCCTTGGTCGCAGGTGCGCGGCGTTTGCTCCTAAAACGTTCGAACCATTTACAACGCCACAGCACGTGCGACCGCTTCGCACTTGAACCAAACTCGTGTAAAAGTGAACTGTTATGCGACACTAAGAGTAGAGTGCTTTGCGATATTTCCATGAGACACAGATGCCTTTAAGAGATTGCTATTGCAAAGTGTTCATGTAATAGGCGCTGTAGTAGTTGTGAAGTGAAGCGCGAACGTAAAATATTTTATGGTTGTAGTCGGGTACCCAGTGGGTACTTGAAGTTTGAAGTGCTTCTTCATTCGCTCTGAATTTCATTTACGATGAAAGTTGAAGATGTATCAATATATTTTTGAACAAAAATGATATATCCCTGTTGACCAATAGGCAATTGGGGTACACTTACAAAAAAAACTTTTAAAAAGTGGATGGATTAGGTTAACATGTTTATGGTTGTTTTACTTATCCCTTTGACAAATTAAATGTGATGTTGAATTTCACCAGAACAGTCTTAAAATTAATGTCCACTGTTTATATCACATAATGGCACGTAGTAGGCTATAAAATTTTCTTTAACTGACAGCATTTCATCTTAATTCAGATTTTACGACTAGGTCTAAAATTATACATCGCAGTCTTGCCTGATGGCATTTTACATAGGTACTAACCTATGTAGAATGAGAATCGAGATATCAATAAAATGATCTAATTTCTAGTTTTTCTTCTTTGCAATCAGTAATTAAACGGTTCGGAATGTGGGATATTAAAATAACTTGCGAATAAACAATCGGTTAGCCAAGTTAGAAACCATTTTTGCTAATGACTATGTTCGTACGTACTCACAGGTTTTACAGGAGTATACAACTGCGTTTATTCGAATGGCAATAACTTATTGCCAATAAGTGGTTTCCATACACGACCAAACAGCCGCATCACAACCGAAGTAAATCTAATTGCAAACCAACTTGGGACATAAATCGTCCACCGCATCCCGAGGTGGTGTGATATTTGTTACCAAAGCCGGCATTGTACCGCAAAATTTAACACCTTAACCGCCGCCTGGTCTATTGTCAACCATGATTCATTGCAGTTATTATTGTTACCGATCGTCGAATTAATTTCCCGTGTAGTCGACATTTTCGGCCTGTAATATGCCCGTTTAAATGCCCCGAATTGCTGCGAAAATTAATTTTATCACGATATTTGTTTTACGCTGTAATTAATGTTGTGGTAACGTACGATGCGCGTTCTTCCTTATTATTATCGGAAATATTTTACCGAATGAAAGTCTGTTTGGTATTTCATTTTGTGTTTTGATCAAGGAAGTTTTGGAGTGCTATTTTATAACGTTCGTTTCGTACATTTACATGATAATGTAATGGTTTTACAATATTGTCCGTTTAGAATTTCTAAAGACTATTATGAACGGCTAACAGATCTCCAGAAAAGCAGTAATAGGTATTTTATAGATACTAGACCTAAGTAAAGTTAACATGTTTAAATTATGTAACAGTTTTAAATTGGTTCTAAATAAACGGCTATGTTATTTATATTGTGTCATGACGCCTAAATCTCCATTGATGGAATATACTTAAAAAAATAATGTAATAATTGTTAAAACCGAATATCTTTGACAAATCAATTAAAGTTTATTTTCTTCTAAAACAGATTTTCTTTCAAACCACAAAGGAACGCATTTTTTTATAAAACAAGCCAGTGTTAGTGAACAAAAAATGAAACCTGGCTTATTATTTATTCACTTCGAAGCTTAAGAACTAAAATCTTCTCAACTACTTAATGCGGTTTTGTGCTTAATTTAAACTTTAATGTTTAAGTTTTAGAGTTAGTTTTTGTTTGTTTTACTTGGACGGTGGTAAAGTATTATCATAAAGCTGCATTAATTAGTCAGATACTGTTGCTGCAGTTTGTAGATAATACTCAAGTTCTTATATTTTCTTTGACGGAAAGTAACATTTTATTCCGCCCACTTCTCATGCATGAGGGTGCGGGTTCGAAACCTACCAACGGCAAGTACCAATGTGACTTTTTCCGAGTTATATGTACTTTCTAAGATTATTTAGACACCACTGACAAACGGTGAAGGAAAAACATCGTGAGGAAACCTGGACTTATAAGTTCTAATTATAAGTTTGAAATCGCCAACCCGCATTGAGCATAAGCGTGGTGATTAATGCTCTAACCTTCTCCGTGTGAGAAGAGGCTTTGCTCAGCAGTGGGCATTTATAGGCTGTTGATGATGAACATTTTATTTATTCCTTGGAATTATGTCTCTCGTCTTTTATTTTTCCTATAAAACAAGCAATGTATCTAGTAATAATTATAAACCTACTGTTTAAGTTAAATTTGCGGTTTATTGTACGGATTATAGTAATAGTTAAAGTTTTTTCACGGCGTCTGTGATATCTCGGAGACTGTTTGTTCCGTCAACAAATTTTTAGGCATTAGATATATATTATAATGTCATTTATATTATTATATTATAATAGTATTCTTTTCAAAAGCCTTTGTTTTACAAACCATCAAGAGACGGTTTTTTTTAATTGTTGTAGAGTACTGGCAGCCTATACTAACATCATACCTACATGTATATATGTAACTATTACATATTCCTTCTGTCATTTGTGTTTTGTCTCTGATTGTGAATAAAACACAGACATTTTGCACTAAAAGTACGCAATTTTAAAATGCACTGAAGAGAAATCCAATGAAACAAATGTGACGGATGCCCGACTTTCTAGTAATTACTCCTAGTCGTAATGAGATGTTTTTCCTTGCAAATTGCCAGTTTAAAACAGTTACTTACTGTATAAATTACTAAGAAAACCTCTAGATTTTTTCTTGAGGACTTTAGAAAAAAAACTTTAACTAAAGATATTTGGCCAAGTCAATAAGTTAATGGTTGATGAATATGTGAATTACTATTAGGCATAGGTAATTTTATCAAAGAAGACTTTTTCTCATTAAACCTTGATTTCTAGGTAAATCTTAAAATACAATACATCAGTTATTACTGTTTATGTTTCTCTTGAAATAACTGCAATCTATTTATTTAGAATACCACATGGTAATTAATTTACAGTAACACATTAAATAAAATAACACTGCAGTATATTCCATTAGTGTACAACAAACCGAAATTGCGCATTAATTAAGTCCAAAAGTAAAATATTCACATTCGCACCAACAATTTGAATTAAATACTATCAATTTTAATTCAAAACTACATGGGCGGACTGTACGCAACGACTGCAAAGGGATTCTGTACAAATTAATGAACAAACTCGTTGCCTCATATTATGAGTATTTTATGAACTAAAACTAATATGAACCTTAATGTACTTTTATTTAGTTTCAAATTAAGTTTTCATTTTATTGTCTGCTTTATACAAATGCAAATAGTATTCATTAAATAGTTTGTTATTGTGACTATGATTACTTCGTTTGATAGTTATGGATATGCAAGTTTATAGATGCATGATTTGGTCTATTAGGTCATTATGAGAGCCTACAAGATGAATCTAAGTTACAGAGGTGTATAGAAACATAATAAATTTTGACCAGTGACCAATCAAACCAAACTATACCGAAAATTTTATTATAAGAACACACCAAAAGCAATAAAAAATATAGACAGATAGTTTCAGCAACAATCTGTCGAAAGAATGAAGAAATATTTAATTTATTCTACAAAAAACCAAACCATGACCGCTGGCTACTTGAAATTCACGAAAAAAGATCAGAGGGAAAATTGCGATCTGCTAAGAATATATTCGGCAAAGATATCATGATAAAATCTTATCTGGGGGCAACAGCCGGACGAAAAGGGTAATACAAATTTAACATATAAACAAGTAAAATGAAACGTATCGCTGGGCGAGTCTGGCCAAGTTCTCCTTTGTGGGATCCTACGATCCTTTGCAGAGAAAATCGGGTAATAATATTTCCAAGTTAGTGAACAAAGAGCCTCCTTTTCGTTTGAACCGAGATTGTCGTGTATATTTTCCCTTAAATATTGTACTCTTTTTACCAAAGTGACATTTATATGAAGCGTCCCATATTGTTTTGGCCTCGCTTTCATCCCCAGTTCTCGCTTATCATAATATATTTTGTGTAAATTCTTTTTCTGTTTAATAAAGGTCTTCTTATTAAGATTTTTTGTCTCATATATTTTCTGTATAAGATTCGTTATGAGTGTAACGAAGTCTTAAAAGAAAGTTATGGTTTTGAACTTATAATGAAAGCGTAGACGGGTATCATAACATTATTTCCGACACCGTAACAGCCATTTAAATTAATACGTTTATTATATTTCACTGTACCTTCAAAATTGAATATCCTCATTAAATTACCATAAAGGAATATCATTTGAGACGAGCTTACTAACGACATTGGAGCGCATCACAGACGTATAATATACAGTGTGAATTTAATAGGCTTGTGTACACATAGAGAAGCCATAAAGCCGGTTGCACACTCGCGAGCTCCCTAAGCCCCCACACACAAACTCATAAAGGGACTCACTAATATTTGCCTATTACGATTATTTTCACGTACCACACAACCTTAATTAGCGGAGCATTTTCTCCGAATGTGTTTAGTACTAATGTACGCGATGAATGGAAATGAATGGCCTACAAAAGCTATACGAGTATTCGTTAATGCCATCATTAAAATTTTGGCTAATGAATGTAAACATGACTCTGTTAATATAAAGTTTTAATGTGTTTTTATTTCTAATTACTTGGTTTTGTCATTTTATTAGTAGATACCTAAGCAAACAGATATTATTTTGTTGAATTATGTTGTGGCAGCTAATTACTATTACCTGGCTAATGGTATTTTACAAATGAACACTAAAAAACAGTGTAATGTATGGACAAAAAAAATTAAAATAAAAAATACGAAAATTCTTTTATTCATTTACATTGTGTTTTTAACAATTATTTCTCTTGTACCCATATATTGTCTAAACTTAATTAATGCACTATAGACATGTACTATATTCTCTTTATTTCTCTTAATTACAGAGTCGAGAAAGTCTATCATCAGACGGAGAAGGTGCTCGAGGTGACTGTTCCTCCGTCGATTCTTCAGGATCAGGGTCTGAAGAACAGCCACCATGCGACATCGGACTGCTGGAGAGGCTGATACGGACACACCCTGTGTGGTTCCTACCAGGCATTCAGAGGGCAGGCGCCTTCCATTTACTTCAAGGAAAAGAAGAAGGAGTAAGTAGAAGATTTATAGCCTACACTAATGAAAAGATACCATCTTTATGCCTTTTATAAAATTTCTAGTCTTTGAGGTCATGAACAAAGTGCTTTAGTTTTAAGTCCTATTATCTCTTTGGACAACTTTTATCATTTAATTAATTTATTACCAAGATTAATTTAAACAAAACTTTCTTTGCAAAACCTATTAAGAGATTTATAGGGTCTGTTCAAACACCTACAATTTCAATAGTGAAATATCTTTTAAGACTTTATTCAACAAACCATTTATTCAAGGAGTTAACGTATTGTTATTCATGTTAATTTCCAGAACTTCGTAGTACGACAGTCAAGTCAGCCAGATACAATGGCCATCAGTGTCCGCTTGCCGGCAGACAAAGGGCCCTACATCGAGCACTACTTAATTCAGGCTTCAGGAGGCCGCATCGGACTGGAGACATCACATAACCGCTTCGATAACATACCTGAACTGATTGCACATTACTCTCAATGCTGGTAAGTAGCTATGTGCTAAAGGAAAATGACTGTTAGGTAACATCTTTATAACGATTTTCTATAAATCAATAAGTTCCTTTTTATGTAGCGCAAAATAATTATTTTTAGTTTTTGCCATTGAAAACCGAAGCTTTAAAATTTTACTATCCAGGGCCACGCAAAACTGTACCTTACACCTTTGTTAATTAGTAAGTATTTCCTTCCAGTGACGAGTTACCAGTGCAGCTACAATTACCTCGCCCTTCGAGAGGCAAAAAGCCGTCATCAACTAAGTTCCTTAGCTCTTCTAGGACAAGAGTTCTGGGGTTACCCGATGGCAAACCCGAAGAACAATCCGAACAATCCTCTCTCTCCATGTCAGCTGGCCAATGGTGTTGTTCCCATGGCTGTCACGCCGTCTGATACGGGATCTAGTCTTAGCAGCTTTAATGCCAGTAAGTATAATTGTTCTACAATTTAAAAAAATATATTTTCGTCATGAGGATATTCAAATTAAAATGTATTGTAGGTACCCGAACAAACTCCCGTGAACACATTCTCAGCCCTGACAAGGATCAAAACGTAGTGCTTAAGATGTCTCCAATCGATACGTCAGGTTCCCCACCGAGTCAAAATTCGAACCTCAGCACATTCAAAGGGAAAACAGCTCCATCACCACCGGCTAAACCCAACAGCGCATTCATCAGAGCGCCTAGACCGACCCCACCAAACACATTGAACCTAATGTCTAGTACTGTAAGTATGAGTTTTAATTACGTTATGCTATAACGGTGTTGTAATTTAGAATGTTATTAATAGAAGCTTCACCTGTTTTCAGGCGCATATAACACAGCCTCATACTTTTCCAACCACCAACACGCAACAATCTCCCACCCAATTACATAATATTAAAACTACACCACCGCCACCACCGCCTCGTTGGGCAAAGCCCCCATTTACCAAAACATCCTTATCTCCTAAATCTGAAGCTTTCAGTCCTATTAACAAAGTGTCACAGAATGGAAACATAACAGTCACTACCACGGTAACATTCTGTGTCAATAACACTCAAATTCACAATCATCAAATCAATGAGAGTATACAAAGCGACAGATTACAACTAACGCTTGCGTCTAATGCAGTCAATAATAACGGTAGCGCAGACTCTGTATTCAATATCATGGATGCAACAAAAAATATTGCTGATTCTAATGGAGAATCACAGGTGAGGATTATTACATTACAGCATGATTGTGCACCCGTGTATGCTTTGCACGTACTTTGTTTCTTGCTTTTGCCAAATTATGTTTGTTTCTAACCCATAAAACTTTGTATTTTTCTTATCTTGTATTTTGATATTTGATTCGACCAATGGACTGACTATAACTTCCTGTTCCTGTATAGAATATGATGCACCGTATGTCGCCAGAAGGAGAGTGCATCAATGCAATGACAGCTAGTTTGCACGGAAGCTTCAAACGTCAAATGACTGAGCAGAATAATGTTGAGCCTGGATCGCCAGTAGAACAACAATCTCAGACAAATACATCTGATTCGGTGGACCCGATCGTAAACAGTTTAACTAAATCAGGCAGCACATTTGCTCCTAATCAACTCGTGTCACCTAATGGCACAAACTCAGTAACTAGTGGAATATTTTCGCCAACAAGTCAAATCAATTCTCCTGTTTCTAACGACACAATCTCTTCTAAAAGCGGAGTCTTTTCTCCTATGAGTCAAACAAACAAAAGTGAAATATTCTCACCGATATCTAGAAGTTCTCCGATATCAGCGAAAAATGTATTTTCCCAACATCCAATCAGTCAATTATATCTCCCGTTATGGGTAAAGATCGTGATAAAGTTATGTCTCCAAATACGAATACAGCAAGTACCACACCATCTGGTAGATCAAGAAGGAGTAAGCACTCCCACCGAAAGGAGTCCAGACATTACCAGGTAGAGTACTTGTTTTCTGAATGTGGAACGTTATACCAGCATTTTTGATTGATTTGACTAATAGCACGAAATTGTTGATAACAAACAGCACATTGTTTTCAACCTATTTAACCTTGTACAGTCTGTTATTCAATTGATTCCAAAAGTTATATTCATGAAGTATTATTTTAGTGCTCTTCGTAACAATATTATATGAATTAATACACATGTTATTTTACAGGAATCAGATATCTTAGAATCTCCAGGTGTGTACTGCCGAAGTTCTTTGATGGACAAAGTATCAGACTATGAAGATATTTGGGGACCGGAAAGTAACAGCTGTTCTACTTTCAAACCATTGAAACCCGAAAACGAAAACAACATTCATAATGGTCTGATGAAAAGTAAAAGGCCTGATCTTTTGCCAGACACTTTACGTAAGTAAAAACAAAAGTTTAGAATCATTAATCATATGCTGGTGTTATAAAACAAATACGTTTTTTGTGGTTATTAAAGACGATATTTCAACATAACTTTGATTTTTACAGCCAAGCTTAATGCGGCCAAAAGTACGCAATCCATTTTAGAGAAAGAAAACATACATTTAATCAATTCGACGGAAAGTCTGAATGAAAGAAAACTCTCTCAGATGGCTCTTTGAAGAAAAGTTTTAAGGGTTCCAGTGAAATCATAGCAACTACAAACAGCAAGGGAGAAATTATACCAAAGAGGCCGGACAGACTTAACATAGCTATGAATATGAACAAAAAATTGACTGAAGAGATTGAAGCTGTAGTTAAAAATAGAGAGAATTACAGCATTGAAAGTATGGAGACAATTAAAATAGAAGATGAGAATGTTCTTAATTCTATGGGCGAGGAATCTGAAAAGGATAATGCTGGCAGCCCCTTCTACGCTGATCCTGTAGATGCTTTAAAGGAAGTAAGTATATCATTCATTTACTTACTTACATAAGATACTGTTGAATGTATTCTTGTAATATTGACAATGTATTTCTATTCACAGGCTGCCTTGCCTCAAGTGCAACGACGAAAGCTTTTAAGAGTAGGAATGAATTTGTCACAACGCTACTCGGAACCACCTACACAAAACCATCCGTACTATCCGCTGCGCGATATGCATAGTATTGAGGAACTTTCTCGTAAGTGTATTTTGACAGAGACTTACATGTAGATACTTACTTAGAGATTAGCTATAAGCATATAGTATAACACGATAATTATGTTGTACCAAAAAGTGTACCTAGAAAAACTGAACTCATCACCTTTATTAAACTTGTCATAAATTCTTATTGCAGCATCATCACCAACCACATCATCTTCGGTGGACAACCTGATGTCTCTGCGCAGCAAACCCAAAATGAAACCAGTGCAGCCTCCACGTATCGCGAACAAGCCACCCTCAGGCAAGAACGACCAGACTTGGACCGTTGATTCCAGTTGGGAGTTTATAAGTCAGTGTTACAGAGATACTGTAGAACAGTAGATGCTGCTTGTAAATTTTGCTCTTGCACTCCCAACTTCTCTTTTATCAGAATTCAATATGCACATACATTGGCTATACAAATGATCCCACTTCAAATCGTGGTTACCATTTAATCAAATATGTTTTGGTACTTAGGCTTTTTGTGGGTTTATTTTTTGATTGGGTAAATTGGTGGCACATAAAATTTAAATACCTAATAATGTAGGTAAAGTCAACAGTTACAGTAATTTAACAGAATTTTCCACATAATCTTGCAGATAAAAACGATGAAGGTGCAAATAGTGAGAGTGGTACCTTCCCTTCGCTGGCTGAGCAAGAGTGTCGGCTGAGTGCAGTCGATGACGGAACTCAACACTTGACTGTTCATCAAGTTGTTGCACAAAGGTATGATTAACTTCAATTTAGTAACGAATAAGAAGTAAAAGTACAAGTAGAAATAGAAATAGTTGATTATGATCTAGTTGAACTTTCAGAAAAACGTAATCTGTAATCTGTATTGAAGAACGCTTTGATCACTTACATATTGATGATGAGTCGTTTCAAATCTTGAGCGATGGTTATTACATAACCTCGTGTAAATCACATGACAACAATAATGCCTCACCTGATTATCATGATGAGGTTCTCAAAATTCTTATGTAAGAGCATGATAAAACTATACATGATAAGTTGCATCACTTAAGAATTCGACGACATTGGAAAATTCTAAACACAAGTATCAATTCAACTAAATTCCATTCTGACTAAATGTGTTGTTTATTGTTTCAAATAGATTGCCTGATTTGAGACTGAATGCAGAACCGACGATGTTGCCTGAAGAAGTGAGATCACCACCAAGAGCTTCGTGCTATGATAACGTTCATGATCTGAGACCTTTGTCGGAACAGGTAATAGACCACCCATAACGAAAGATTGGCTTTCCATTATCGAACCATAAACTTATTTGCCACCCTATATATGAAAAAAATTACATTGTTGCCAGTATTCAAAAACAAGATTCATTCTTAACATTGAAAAGTCTAAATATAATATTTTGATGTTATTGGTAGTAAAATAAAAAAAGATTTATGGTCATAAAATTGGTATACCAAGTACATTACGCAAGTTTGTTAGATAATTCAATTACAACCTATCTCCAATGTCAAGTATCCCACTTTAGCTATTGTTCAATTTTAAGACGCTTACTTCATTTACGTACAAATTGCTATAAGCTATCATTTCATGTGCCATAATATAATGAAGATCATTGATCTAGAATTACATACCATCGTTGATAATAATCCTTTCTCTCCATTGTATCATACGTTATCTATTTCGCAGGCAAGCGACGATGGAACAGTGTTCTCCGAACCTTGGGACAGTTCGCAGTGGGACGGATTGATACCTCCATCTAATGGACATCAACTTTATGATACGGTAAGCACATCGTTATATGTATACTAAGATTTTATTTTATTATAAAGTCCGTTTTACTTTCTATTAATACACACTTCACATGTTTGCCACAGCAACAAAAAACAAGAATGTTTTTCTTTTATTTTCATTTTAAACAGATTAAATGCTTATCTTGCAAAAATATTTGATCATGTTTTATCTGTTTAACTTTAACAATTTTATGACTGGCTGTCTCGCAAAGGTGACCCTACTAAATACTTGATTTCAAAGTAAATATGTTCAGACTAGAGATCATTGAATAAATGTTACATTTTTGAATCCACCTTCTACTACACCTTACGTAATTTTTGCATGTTTTACTAGACATCCCATAGCTTCCTGATAAAATACAACCTGTGAGAGAGTAATCCCAAGTTAAGGCCGCCTATTGTATAATATATATTACTAGTCTGTATAGTACTAATTTAGATTATGGCATACAATAGAGTATTGTATTATATATTGAAGTAAAATAACTAGAAGCACAGATTATTACTAACTATAAATTATTGGTATAAATTGTACTTTCCGTTAAGTACATACAAAGCAAAATTGAACTTAATTTTCTACTAAAATTATGCAATTTTGTGCATGATCGTGTTGTTTCATTGTTCGATGAATTTTAACAGGAGGAGCCTTGTGAATGGGAGTCACCTATTCCGAGGAGGGGGCCGACTGTTGCCACGAGGGCAAAGAGTTTCAGAGACCGACTGGATCCTCTCTTAGGTGAGTTTACAATATTAATAACAGAATTATCATCAAATCCAAATATAGTTATACAGTGTGTATGTGAAAAAGTTACCAAATGCACATATAGATATTTGAATATAGTAGTTGTATCTGCAAATGTGTAAACGCGATAAATTATCGATGAAAGTAACATTTCCACATTAATAATAATTGATTAATAATTCTGCTCTGAATGGGAAGATAGGACCAATAAAATACGTCAGTGCACGTGTCATCCAGTTCAATTATTTACTCACGTTACACAACGTACTTATAACACTATGTAAATACAATTTAATATGGAACACGCTGTGATAATGCTCCACTCATATAGATACTAAAACGGAAGATTCGCTAAGTCATATCCAAATAGAAATATACAAATTATTGTTCTATTAAAAGACATTTTTAGGTCATTACTATCAAAAGTCACGTTGTTCCCCTTTTACTTGGATGTATATGTTAATTATCTCAACAATATAGCGTATGCTTCTATCACTCATCGCAAATCACAGATGTTCTCTGCACAATGCAGACCGATATGTAATTAATCAATTATTACACATCATTATCAAATTAATTAACTCAGTGGAGCACACACAATAGGACCGCGGCGCACAACTGTTATCGTTAGTAGGTACATTAGCTCTGTAAATAAATTAATTATGGCTAAAGAGCAAAGGTCTGCGCGTGCCGTGAATTTCTCAGACATTCTCAGTGACCGGTGCAGTGTAGTGACAGTCGCTGTCCAGCACGCGTTGGATGAACATCTCTTTCACCGCGCAGTGTGAATGAGAAACTATCGATTTAAATCCTTCGTTCACGCGGGCCAGAACCGCTTAGTAATCAGTCATGAATTGGTTCAGAAGGTGGTTCCTCGGAAGGTTCGGGAAGTCGAGAAGTGAAAAGATTGAGCCAGGCTCCAGCAAGCACTGGTTCAAATCAATCGGTTCGTGGGAACACTTCACGTCTTTCAAAGAAGATGTTGAAATGGCAGAGGATGCCTTGGAAGTGTTGGAAGTGTTTGTGCCAGTGAAACGTAGTGAAGTGTTTGCGTTAACCACCATCAAGAACTTTAGAACGGACAGTTTAAAAGAATTTGTGTCAGAAAGTGACTGGGTTTTCTTATCTCGGGATCAGCTTATGGAGCCCAAACTCCAGAGACGACTGCAGAAAACTAATTCCTTAACCAGTTTGTGCAAATCTTTAGCCGAAAGATCTGTCAATAAGAAAAGGGCAGAAGTGGTTGCCAAGCCACCACTTTGCCACTGCAATGAACTATTAGGCTCATGCGAAAGTGACAAACCATTACGGTTAAATGTGTTTCGAAGGATAACCAACAGTTTCCAGAAGTTCTTCAGCCCCCTGTATCGTAATGTAAAACGTACATTGTTTAAGCATGAGGAAGTTGTCGAAAGTCTAATTATCGTCGAGGATCATTCGTTCGAAACTTTTGCTTCGTCCAGTGTATACTTATGTAGGTAATTATTGTTTCATTATAAACAAATATCCAATGTGCCGTGTTCTAACATTATGACCGTTTATAATTATCACCAAAATGAGGTTGAAACAATAAATATGTCACTTTAATATATCTAAGTACACAAATTACATGTTAATTCGTCGTTATTATAGTAATTACGTTTTAATTTATTATTTTAGGGGTTCTATTTATCTGTTTATTTATCAATAATGCGACGCTTATATTGTTTTTAAATTATCAGACCTTTAAACTAATTAAGATTTTTGATTATGTTTACAATGTTATCTTACTGACCCATGTGTGTAGATTTGAAATAATTTTCTAATGAGTATGAGGATAACTAAGTCTTTAACAAACAAAACATTTCTTAGGGCTGATAAGACAAGGGACAGGAATGCCGGCGACTGACGTTTAAAAAGCTCATTGCCATTTGCTACTATTGTTACCGCAACACCAACCTTATCATCGCTGACTCACAGAGTGATATAGGGTGTGTACCGCGAGCCGATGTGGGTCAAAAAATCCCTCGGTCTAATGTTCGCACAGAATAATATTATTTTATCGCTTTATCTAGATTATGAGGTCATAATTTCCGACGTGCATCCATCGTGTATGTTGCATGCAATTTAAATGCTGATTCTAAGACTGTAAGTCTGTAATCACCTTTTTGACCCCAAATTCAAAGTTTTTTACTCAAACTACTCACCAAAAATAGTTTAAGATTTGGAAATTCAGTCATTAGATCATGTACCTGCGCAATTATTTTTATATCATTACGAATTTAATTTGCCACCATTTTTACACAATTTACAAATAATAATAACATTTTTTCATCAAACAGCGGCTGGTAGAGTGCGTGCCTTACGCGGCGGTCGTCAAACTCGCGGCGCAGGCGCTGCGCTGCGTGCGTACGCGCTTCATCTTGCGCAAGACAAGAGCACAACTTTTGCGCAGAACATCGACAACTTTATCGCTTGCACTCTTGATTCTAAGGATACAAGCCCACAGGTAAGAATATAGAAAAATTATAATAATAATTTTAAGTTAATATTTTGAAAATAACGATAGATAAGTAGGTACCATGCAGTGGCAGCTGCCATTAAACCACAAATCAATAGTAATTTGCACCTAATTTGTAAACAAGCGTCATTTGTTTGAGTTGCTCTTAAAGTAAACCTATTGGCGATTATATTCTATGCTAGAGGTATTATCTTAATGAATGCCTCACTGGCCGAGCGGTTGCAAGTGCGACTGCCAGGCAGGAGGTCTCGGGTTCGATTCCCGGATCGGGCAAAAATTAATGGGTTTTTAAAAAAAACTCAGTGGTAGCACGGAGTCTGGAATTGTGCCTGGTATATGGTAATAGGCTCACCCCCTATTACATGGGACTCATAAACAGTGAAAAGTGGGTGTTATATTGCACAGTGGCACTAAGTGCCGCAATGTGCACCTCTGTCTACACTACACCTTCGGGGATAAAAAGGCGTGATGTTATGTTATGTTGTATCTTAATGAATGACAACACATTATAATTTTTGTCAATAGTTGGCAAATTTAAATTCTTCTATTAAACCTTTCACTTCTCATTTTTCCTCAGGTGATGATGAGAAATATGAGGCAGTTCATGTCAGGAATGAAGAACTACCTGGTCAAACATGGTGAGAGAGAGTTTGAGAAAGAGGTAGAAAAGGAACGACTGAAGGTGAGTTCTTAAAGTTTTTACTTACTCAACAATCTACCGCTTAACAACCTTCTCCAATCGTTCATTTGTTTCAGTCGATTTTTAACTTTATATCTAAATGATAGAGTTGGAAATAAAAAAAGGCAGAGGAGAAATTTGACCTGTTACTATGTATAAAGTTGACTGCCTCGTTGGCCGAGTGGTCGCAAGCGCGACTGCCAGGCTAGAGGTCTCGGGTTGGATACCCGGGTCGGGCAAAGTACTAATTAAAAAAAGTGTCAGTGGTATCTCGGAATCTGGTCTGGAATTGTGCCCGGTATATGGCAATAGCTCCACCGCCTATTACATGGGACTCATAATATAAATAGTGAAAAGTGGGTACTATATTGTAGAGTGGCATAATGTGCACCTCTGTCCTACCCCTTCGGGGATAAAAGGTGTGATGTTATGTTATGTGTTACGTATAATGTCGTAACTCGCAGAGCTAATATCAGAAACTTCTGATGACTTTATCTCTTAAACATATGATAACAAGACGACAAATGATTCTAACTATATCAATAACACATTTTTCAGCTGAAACCAACGGAGTTCCTGAACTTAGATGCTATATTAGAGGGTGTGATGCATCGGTTGGTGGTACGTCCATTGCGCGCGCGGCTCTACACTCTCCTGGCAGCGTGGCACTCTGCTGATGTGCGTCGTCTACACGCCGCCATTGAACGAGCACAGCATGCTACACCTTTGCAGCTAGGAATTAAGGTATATTTTACTGTAGTCGTCTCTATCTGTCAATAGAATTGTCTTAGAATTATGCTCTTCCATTCTTATTAAGAGTTTGTTTTTCACATTATTATAGTCGTTGAAAGATGTTGAAGCTCTTTCGGTATTTATTCCTCTAAAGATGTCTAAAGCGTCTTCCACCAAATAGTCAAAAACCAAAACCTTATTCTAGAAGAATTGATCAGGGTCAGGCAACAAAATACTTCATTCTGGTGATATTTAATTGACGATGTTTTTCCAGGAATCTACTAAAGTACCATCATCAGCAGTATTAGCAGTGATCTCGAAGCATTTCCTCAAGATGCAGGAGGCTGACTCTCCCCTGGATAAGCTAGAGAATCTCCTGGCAGCTATATCAGTTATGTTCAATGCTGTAAGTACCTTAATTTTTCTGTTTGTCCCTTTGCAACTTAATCAGAAAGCTGCTGAAGCTGAAGAGGTCATTATGTAATTAAACTCTTAATTACCTTTTCTTTAAACCTTTATAATCACCGTTTATGGTAACAACCTATTTTTTTTTTCAATTTAGATTTGACAAATATGACCCTTGTCGCTATTCATTTTGGGGAGATATGATACTTAAGGACTTCTTTCTTTTTAGATTCGAGGTGAACGCAGTGTAGGAGCAGATGATCTGCTGCCAGTTTTGGCGTGGACTATTGCCAGGAGCCGACTGGTCTGTGCTGAGCTAGAGGCAGAGCTGATGGCTGGACTGTTACCAGCTGCATTGTTAGCTGGAGAAGGAGGTTATTACTTAACGGCTATGTTTTCCGCCGTGGCTGTCTTGAAGAGACTTGCTCCTGAACCGCAGCCTGATAGCACTACGCCTGTAAGTTTTATTTTATTAATTCAATTAGTATGATATTAATTGTAAAATGTTCTACCTGTAACAGATTTAACTTGATTTTACTGAGAGAACGGTACAAGTACAAAATATAAAACTCTGATTGTTACAAAAATACATAATATGTCTCTTGCCATATCTATTAGAAACCAAATAATAAAAAATTGAGTCTAATAACGATAAATGTCATTTGTGTCTAAACTAGAATATTTTACACCAGCAGTGGCGTCGAGGCTCAGTAGACAACAATAGAGAGCAGCATTCAGTAGCAGTGGTACGAGTAGTCTTACCGGATGAGTGCCGTGGGTCTATACGGCGTGTCCCAGTGCCGTGCCGACCCGGCGCACGCGCAAGGGACCTATGTCGAGCGCTTGCGCATGCCGCCGCCATTACCAACCCACAGGATTACGCTTTATTTGCGTTACATGATGGACATGGTATGTAATGTTATTATTTTTTATTTGGTGAGGGTTAGATCCTTACTAATATTATAAATCGGAAAGTGAGTTTGTTTGTTTGTTCCGACTTCACGCCGTAACTACTAAACCGATTGCATTGAATTTTTGCAGACGTAAAGTTAGTAGTCTGGATTAAATAATAGGGTACTTTTTATCCCGAAAAAGTTTGATATTCCCGATATGATATTTTGTATATATATATATACCAAAGTATTGGTATAGATGGCACTGTATGTATTGGTATATATCACATAGGCTACTTTTTATCCTTTTGTGACGCTAGCGAAGCCGCGGGTAAAAGCTAGTATGTGAATAATTAACAAATCAATTTCTTAGTTTATAACTTATAGGGTGGTTAGAAGATACCGTGTCACGTATGTGCCAATACTATGTTCTATCATTTTTAGTTCTTAATATAAAATCATTTTAAAATTGTTATACTTGTTGTTACAGAGACTATGCTGAACGAGAATGACTGCCCACAAGAAGTAATGTCGGAGAAGACTGGGCAGAACTTCACACTGGCCTACAGAAGAATAGACGCTAAGATCGCCTGGCCGCAGCAGGCACTACTCTCTTACCCCTAGACTGCTTCCTACAATAATAACTAGAAATACGAAGCGACAGAAATATCTTAGCAATAATAAATAAACTTATAACAAATCACGCTCAGAACCAACACAGTATGGGATCGAATGAAAATCTATATTTTTGTCACCTAAACAAATAATTATAAAAGTGATATTTTCTTCAACTGTTTTTTATAAATGCTAACATTTTCTAAGCTTACCTTACTTATAAGTACATCGCTTATAGGCAGTATTTTTAAAGCATCGCTACTCAACGAGCATACTAATGTCATATAACTGTAGCTTTTTTACTCAATAATGTATAAGTACCTAATTTTATATTATTATTGTAATCTGACTGAACTATTGGGAGGTGGCTCCCATTTTGTACATTTTGTATCGCGCGGGGAGCTCTCATTCGAAGTGAATGTGATGTATGGATAAAATGTTCACCATTTTTCTTTTATTCTATTCGTATAGTACCTACAGTCGAGTCGAAGTTCGCAGTTTGAACCTTCTGCCTTATAAAGGCAGTGTTTATTTCTTCAAGTGTGCGTTTATGTATGTTCCTAAATTTCGTCGCGTAGGTACACTAAATAAAACTCACCAAATTGTTGTTTTTAGTTTTATAAATTTTAAGTATTTCTTTTAAACACTTTTCTAGTGCTAAAATTTACTTTTGAAGTATCTATACATACATATTTTAACTCTTACTAACTTGTTTATGAACTGTGATGTTAATCGTATTAATTAGTAATACTGTAAGGTTTTGTATTAATTTTTGTATATTCGTAGAGCTGTTTCTTAATATAATTTATTTATATGTAACATTAAGGTAATTAACCCTCAAATAGTATGATGAAGGGTAAATTTTAGTGTACTGTGAGATCCATAGAATTGTATTAAGTATTACATATGGATTGCTTTTTAACTTAACATATTCTAATATCGAAAAAAATAAATGTCCACATCACTAAAATTTACCCTTTATTCAACACTTATTCAGATGAAACATTGCCTTACATTTTCGGTAACTGACAATATTTTTGTAGTATTTCGTATTTTATTCCATAACAGTTGAAAAAACGGAATATTTTAAACGTCTTGGAGAATTTATGAGATTATAGTAATAAGCATTTGTGAAAAATCAAAACCAGTACTTTTTGACACTGCCAGTCTCGAAAAGGGGACTTTCAGATGATATTAATTTCATATCTTTACATAATCGGACAAGTGAAGTCGTCTTTATTTAAACTAAACACTGCCAACTTATTTTCCGATTTTATTAAAACATCAGATGTGCATTTCATTAATATAAATACTCTTATAGTTTTACAAAAATACTTACATTCATTTGTACACTTTAACTCATGCTCATAAATAATCACCAAATTCTTTGACGTGAAGACAAAATATAACAACAATATTTATATATAGACATTTCGTCAAGAAAAAAAAACCGATACTTTTTGTGGGCAACAATTGATTCTGAATATGTGACCGTCGTACGCGCAGTGTAAAGTGCGCCATTTTGTATTTATTACGTCACTCTTATTAACGTTAGTTGTAAACACGTATATTGTGTTTTGATAAAGTTTTCAGTCATATTGTGAAGGAGTAAATGAATTTTTACCAAATTTGAAACATGCTGTTTTATTTTTCTCTGTAACTTTTATAGGAATACCCTTTCTGGTGTAGAAACAATCTTGAACATAATTAAATTTAGTACAACAGTAATAAAATACTTTAGATAACAGAATTGAGTTCGTTTTACTATTTAATTTAATTTAAGCTACTGAAATGTATCTGTGGGTAATTAATTTAACCACATTCAAAACTACAGTTATGTTAGAAACAAACACTCTAACATAAATACGGCCTGTACTTACATAATTGTTTATAAACGACGTTTAAAAAAACTGATATCAGCCGCCTCTGTTTTGAAATCAGTTAATTAATCTACTGAAACCTTCTCCTAAGTGTTACAAACACTTCTCTGAAAACATCGGTTCAGCCAGTCGCGAGATAATCGCCCACAAATATACATACAAGTCAAACTGACATCCACCTTTTTTTCCTTTTGAACTCCGTATTTTAACCGACCGTTGTCGGTTGTGTGCATCGCAGTTTTGTGTACAAGCCCTAAAAACAGACAGTCACGCGCCCGGATACTGAAAAAAATTCAGATTTAAGTTGTACTTAAATATCGTGCCATCTCTGTCATTTTTCTCCGGCCACCGTAAGTGCGAGCCACCGTAAGTGCGGGCCTGCGGACGGCGAGCATGGGTGGCTCGCCGCCCGACCAGAACCAGACCCGAGCGTACGGCGCGTCGCGTTCCGCGCGCGCCTCAAGGAGCCATCAGACCACCACGGATGGGGCCCAATAGGGCTGATGCCGATACAAAGTGCAGGAGTACGAACGGTGTGGTTTTTAGTCAATAAGAATCTGACAATCCCTTCCGTCTCACCCAGGCAGGAGAAGACAAAAGATTAATTTGCCCCCTAAAAAAATATCTCTGTCATTTTAAAAAGAATTTGGAAGGACACAACTATACTTTAGCGCAAATTAAAATTCAGTGGCGTTTGAGTATTTCAGCGTAAGAGAATCAAAGTCCTAACAACCATATGCTAGATAAACCATTTCAGCAAAATAAAATAGACCAAACTAATTCAGGAACCATAGCAACTAGCATTTCCATCAGTAAAGTTGCACATATCGATCACACAATACATTCCAACACTGAACACAGTCCTTGCCATTAGCCCACACGTACAAACACGTAGACAGTTAAAAAAATACAGATACTAGAATCATTAACAATGTACCCATTAGATGAGAAACGTACAATGCAAGCAAATTACCCCAAAAAGTTACCTAAACCACATTGGGATAGAGTGCATTTGGAATATCCAGTGAGAAAACATCCAGGAACTGGAGTGTCGAGTGAAACTATTGGACGAAAATGGGCAGGCCAACCAGAAGTGATAATGGGAAAGGTAAATGATTCGGTAAAAAGGTAATAAAATTGAAGCTGCTTTACTACCATTTAGATAGTATTTAAATGTCTTATTACCTAGGTTACGCTCTGTCTGGACTGGCAATAAAATATTGTCACACTTCTAGTAAAGAATTATTTCACAAACTATGTCAATGACCATACTGTTTATTATTACTATTATTCAGTACTCTTACTTCGATTTATTTTCGAGGGGTAACGGGCTATTTGGTTTAAGCGACATTTTTGCAACTTTACAGGAGAGCCTTTTAAAGTTTGAAATTTCGAAAAAAAATTCGTAACAAAAACGCTTCTGCAGTTATTTGAACGGGGTAAATTGCATTGAAATTTAAATTAAATTATCTAGTTGCTGATGCTAATTCTAAATAAAGCGGACCTTTAATTACAAAGATAAATGTCGCTTAATACAATCTGCCCTTTTTTAGAGTCAGGAAAAATGATTTAAGTGACTTCATAACTACAATTGGCTACAAGGGAAAAAAATTAAGCGACAATGCACTCTATTTACAGAGTAAGCTAAAAAATATGAAGTGACGACACCCAAAATTAATAGAAGCAAGCTATTTATCTTAACTACCAATTCAGACTAAAATGAGTGACAGGCTAATTTACTTATGTGACATATAACATTGAAATTATAACGTTTAATGTTTATGTTTATTTACATCTAAGGCGATTAATGGCTGATAAAACAACCTGGATATATCGCAATCACCGAAAATCTCAGATGCTTACATTGAATAAATAAACACAACACAATATCAAAGTATTTATTTAGAGTAATAATTACAGTTTCAATAGGAATATCGATTATATTTCAGCAAATTCAATTAAATTAATGGGTCATTTACTGAAATTGCCGTTTTGTATGAAACAATTTAAACGATTTTTCATGTATTTTTTATTTGTATAATCAACGTAACCACCTATGCAATCAATGCATCGTTGCCAACGCAGTGGCAGTTTATTGATGCCCTTCTTAAATCAGCTGGACGGGTAGCAACAAATTTTTCAAATGCATTTTGTACTGCCTCTCGGTTATTAAATTTTTTCCCGCCAAGAAGTTATCCAAATTCTGGAAAAAGTAGTCTGGTGACTGGTGAGTAGGGTGGATGTCGGAGAGCTTCCAACCCCAGTTCTTGTAACGTGGAGGCCGTCTCTTGTGCAGCTTTAGGTCGCGCGTTGTAATGCAGGAGCAATGGAGATTAGCGATTGACCAGTGCTGGTTGGAGATGTGTCAGCTTCTCCATCATTGTGTTCAGTTCTTCACACTACACATCCGTAGTAATGTGTAAGAATTGGTAAGAATTTGTGATGAATCAGAATAACGCGAGCGCTAGACCATCAGTGACCATCACTTTTCTAGGGGTAAGTTTTCGTTTAGGGCATTGTTTAGGTGCTGAACTAGGATTCAACCAACATGCTAAACGTGCGTGGTTATCACACAGATTTCATTTTTCATCGGAGGTGACAATGCAAATCAAAATTCTTTCATTTGTGTGTATATTGAGCAGTGCAGTGCAAGGCACTACTCGATGCATTTTTTTTAAGGGTGGAAAATCATCGAATGACTGCTCCCGCCTGGGTGAGGCGGGAAAGAGTGTCAGACTCTTACTGACTAAAAATCACCCCGTTTCTTCTCCTGCACGTCGAGCCGGAGCCCCGGTTACCCGTTAGGTTCTCCGCGACTCCGAATCGGCATCGACCCTGTTGGGCCCCATCTGTGGTGGTCTGATGGCTCTTTGAGGCGCGCGCGGAACGCGACGCGCCGTACGCTCGGGTCTGTTTCTGGTCGGACGGGGAGCCACCCATGCTCACCGTCCGCAGGCCCGCGCTTACGGTAACTGGAGATCGTCCCGCGATCCCCGACGCCAGGTGTGTCCTTCGCGATGGCTGGGTTGCGAGGAGCCAGCGCTTCGCTGCCTCACGCGTCCCGCCTCCTCCTTAGCTAGCATAACTGCTTCGCAAAAGGAGGAACGGCATCCCAGTCCCCCTCGCACTGCTCGATGCATACTTAGCTCTGTTGATCATTTAGTTTGTGGGACACCCACTTATCAAGCTTTTTTACCTTGCCAATTTGACGCAAATGTACCAATATTGTTTTGACGCTAACGTCGAAAGCTGTTGCTAAATCAGCCGTAGATTGTATGTCATCAACCTCCACAATAGCCCTTAAATTGTCATTGTTGCCAAAGTCTTCGAACGACCGCGAGGTTCATCTTGAAATTAAAGTACTTAGGATTCAATTTCGATGAGCGTTTTACGTAAACACTGGCGGTGTGCGCGCGTCCCGTCTGTCTTCGGCGCACTCTGGAGTGACTGAAGCGCCAGCGCACGATAGTCCAGTTGGATGATAACGATTTTTAACACCAGGGCGATGAAATAAATATGGTATCATATGACATGATTGAAATGTACCATATTAAAACTTAGTGATTGAAAGACCGACTCGTATTTCTATGAATACTGGAAAAATGTTTCAATATTCATTATCAATGTTATCGTCTGTATAAAACGACATGCATTTAAAAAAAAATGAGGGTTAAATGGTTTATGACTAAACAAAATATCTGAACGAAAACAATATTTGGTTTAAGTAGCACCCTGCGTGGAAAATAGAGGCAGCTAGAAATGTTTAAGAGACGTACCATGTCGCATTTGGATGACGGACAAATGTTTTAAGCGACATCACACCGTGTGATTAGTGGGAAGTCAAAATGATTCAAGTTACTTGTTAGTAAAAATTAGAAACAAGAAAAACGCTTTAACTCATGTTGACTTAATAATTAGAGATAGGGTGACTGGTTTATGTCTCGGTTATTAATATGATGGTATGGTTCAAGTACATAATTTAATAAAAAATGCGAAATCCATGTCGTTTAATACACTGCCACTTTGGAAACAACATGAAAATAGAATTGTTTGAAACGCCAAAAAAGTGCTCCGATTTTAATGAAACCGGCATCATTCGACGGAGAAAAATTCGCTGATTCCGAATATATATATAACTCAATATCGCCCAAAATGTCGCTTAAACCAAATAGCCCGTTACCCCTTTAATGAATTTTGCATCGTAAAAGCAAATATGCACTTTAGAAGGAAATTTTTCGTGAGACAGAAATTGTGAAACTATGATAACAATAAAAGAAATGAAAAAAGAAAAGATGTTAGTAATAAATAAGATTGTGATAAATTAACTTGTGTCCTATTTAGAAAACACCAATCGAAGAGATCAAGGACTACTTTCGAGACTACAACATTACCAAACAGTTGACAAGGTCACAGTCAGCTAACCACTATGGCTTCAAACTGCCTGAAACGAAGAGGTTCAACAAACATACGTCTTGTTTGGAGAACGAGTATGTTTACCCGCAGCCTAGAAGGGTAACGTAATTTTCATTTTTTCTCCAAAATAATCTGTGAAGAAAAATCTCTATATTATTTTGTCTCTCTTAATGACAAAAATATTGTGTGTTGGAAGGGACTTGCTATCTTTATTGGATCGCCTATTCTATAAAGCAGCTAGACTGACAACATTTTCATAATTACAAACATCCCGTATATCAAACAACTCCAACTTCATCATCAACAGCCTATAAATGCCAACTGCTGAGCAAAGCCTCTTCTCACACGGAGAAGGTTTGAGCATTAATCACCACGCTTGCTCAATACGGGTTGGAGATTACAAACTTATAATTAGAAATTATAAGTCCAGGTTTCCTCACGATGTTTTCCTTTACCGTTTGTCAGTGGAGTCTAGATAATCTTAGAAAGTACATATAACTCTGAAAAAAGTCACATTGGTACTTGCCGTTGGTAGGTTTCGAACCCGCAACCTCATGCATGAGAAGCGGGCGTCTTAAACCTCCGAGCCACCACGACCACTCCAACTTCCATTTCATAGATTTCCCACCATAGATATACATAATAATATTTCTGTGTTTCCCAATAATTTTTTGTTACACAAATATTCGTTTAACAAATAATTTGTATATTTCAGTCTTCGTTGCTAATTTAACATAGTAATGTTCGTATTAAATAGCATTTATTATTCATTATTTTCAAGAACTATCGGGGAGTAATGAATAAATTATTTCGTATCTTTCATTTTCGCTTTTCAGAATGTATTTTAATTCAACATCGAGTTTTGTTGCTACATAATAGCTGAATCGTTGTATTTCAGATCGAAGACAGAGTACCACAATGTTCAGCGCATGGCACCACAGAAATGAAGAGTCATTACACTCCACCAGTTATACCTCCTCGGTTGATCACAGATAAGGATCGGTACAAACTCCCCACTAGACTGCCACAAGATCCAGTAAGTGTAATGTTGGTATATCTCACATGAATTTACTTCTTCCTAACTGTTATCAATTTCTATTAGCCATAATATACGTGGACATAACATAACATCACGCCTTTTATCCCCGAAGGGTAGGCAGAGGTGTACATTATGCTACTGTACAATATAACACCCACTTTTCACTATTTATGTTATGAGTCCCATGTAATAGCCATGGCAAATGTGCCTGGTATACCAGGCACAATTCCAGACTCCGTGCTACTACTAAGATTTTTTTAAAACCCAGTAATACTTTGCCCGACCCAGGAATCGAACCCGAAACCCCTTGCCAGGCAGTCGCACTTGCGACCACTCGGCCAACGAGGCAGCAACAAAGCAGATATTTATTCAGCAATATAAATATCTGTCTTCTTAGACGGTTTAGCGTAATTAATGTCTAAGATAACAGTTTTAATGACAATAAGTACTTGACTTATGCCCGAATACTGAAACATTACTCAATTTTAAGTCGCGCTTAAGTATAGTTCTGTCTCTACAAATTCTTAGTAAAATGACAGAGATGGCACGATATTTCTGAGCACTGAGTAACGTTTCAGTATTCCGGCATTAAATCATTAAAGTGAAACTGACATAAATACACCGCAATCATACCAAAATTAATCACTCTAATTACAAGTTCTGATATACTTAATAATTACTATTTACACGTGATACCAATTATCTTCCAAATACCGATTCACATCACTGAATAAAAGTATCAGCTAATTACGAAATTCTATTTAAATCATGAACCACCACCTTTTTTAGTATTCTCAAGTGACCAATAAATGGAGCCTAAAAAAATTAAATTAAACTTCAACTGCACAACAATAACCATCTTGTTTAAAAACTAGCTGTTGCCCGCGACTTCGTCCGCGTAGAATAATAATGACTTGTGGCAGAATTTATGCTTTTGAATTAGTCTTTATCAAGGAATATTCTACGGTAATGAATGTCGTCAGAATTGATTAAGTACCTAGTATAGGGCCGTAGATTATACGTAGCCTATATGTTGACCCGAGTTGTTAATAATATTCATGCAAAATTTGAAGTAAATCCATGCACTACTTTTTGAGATCATTCCGGATCCATATTTTTGGTTTCGGTATCGATAGTAGACCACACTCCAAGTATTCTTTTAAAAAAATGTAGTACAGTTTTGACTTTTTTCCGATTTTATTATATGTGTAGATTAAAGTATTTATTTTCTTTTGTCTTTTTTAGCTTCCTCTAGAACCCAGCTGGCAAACAGAACTAGAACCTATTGATACAACACATGAAGGGTTTGAGAAGTACTTAGACCCATACTTGACGACCAGCCGACTGCATCATCGACCCTACACAGCTGATCAATTGCAGAGACAGTCATGCTCTAAGGATATTGTTACTTATTACACTTTCAAGGACATGCCTTGGGTAAGTCTAGAAATTTGAAAGGAACTAGGGCAAAAAACTAGATGCATAAAGTTAGAGGCAAATGCAGTTGACAGTTCATAAAAGTTATTTATTTATTTGAGCGTCATGCAGAAAGTGTTTTTTTTAAGGAGGGAAAGTCATCGAATGACTGCTCCCGCCTGGGTGAGGCGGGAGGGAGTGTCAGACTCTTACTGACTAAAAACCACCCCGTTCCTTCTCCTGCACGTCGAGCCGAAGCCCCGGTAACCCGTTAGGTTCTCCGCGAAACACATTAGATGGACTTAATGCCGCAGGCAATTTTTCTTTATCTGTTCCATTACATCTATCGCATCCTGTCTCTGTACCATCCAAAGTTGGTTCGGCAGATCAGGCCTTCTAAATAATTTAAATCAATTAAAAACAATATTTCGAAGAGATTCAATAGGGATGAAATTCAATTGTCGAAAAAATATCGGTTTTGTAATAAATATAAACGAAGATTTGTCATTATTTTTCAGACAAGAACTCCAAAACCTCAAACAGAATGTCGACTTCCAGTGAGCAAAGCAAAGTCTGTGTATGACAGAGAAAAGTTTAAGGAAGGTTTTAGAGAAATAAGGACCCATAATAAACTACCATGGGTACCAGGGTATGTAGATAAATTATTCATTATCATACGCTGTTGGAAAATTGATTTTATCTTCAATTTCCTTGCATCTTTAATGTTATTCTGGATTGTCACTGTAGGAGAAAACTGATCAAAATAAAATTTGAAAATTATAATTTTTTTTTTTGAAAATTCATTACTTTTTTATTTATTAGTTCTGTTACAAATAATGAGCAAATAGGGCTCAGCATAACCAGCCGTTCTAGAGGACTACGACATACGTTGTTTAAAAATAATAGAAAAGAATATTTATTGTACACCATTAATGATATAGTACATATGGAAAGAAAAAAAAACCAAAGATACTTTATCTTCTTGCAATATTTATTTTCTAGAACGTTCCGGACTGAAGCAAGAGACTACTACATACCTCCTACATTACAACCAGTCTCTCAAATACACAATTACGAAGAAGAAGCCAGAAGTTTCTATGAGAAGTCCATTGCACATTTATCGACTAACATTTCAGAAGAATACGACGCTTTCCAAAAGCAATATTCTACAGAAAATTCTGTTGTGGGTTCTAGAAGACCTATTTGTTCTGTCCTCGACCAGTATATTGAGAAAAATAAGAGATTAGAGAGAAAAAGTGTGCAAATAGGATAATTAAGACATAAGATTTCATTACTTTAGTGCAAAAGCACCTAAAATAAATGTAGAATTACGTACATAAGCATTTTCTTTTAATTTTTCATTTTCATCTTTTTTATTTTTTATTTCGATCTTTTCCGAAACCGGATATCAAATATTACTTCATCTGTGTTATCGTCATTATATTTATTACCACCACTCCCCTAAACACTCCCTACATAAACCACATATTGATTATTCATCATACCAAAAAAAACTACTAACGGAGCAAAATAACAATCGATATAGGTTTAAAAACATGTATGTGATAACAATAGGACCACAAACTTAACATACATAAAAAAAAGTCATTCCTATGATGTCCTTTCAACGAATATGCGAAAGTATAATTACTCTTTTACCAATTTGATACAAATAGAAAGGTAATTTTAAGTATGATCTATGTTTTCGTTCTCGAGTAGAGGCCACAGATTGGAAAACGTAGCGTGGGCAGGCCTTCCGCTAGGTAGACCGATGATATTGTCAGAGTCGCGGAAGCTGTATGATGCAAGTGGTGAGCTGTCATTTAACGTGGAGGACTAACGAGGAGGTCTTTGTCCTGCAGTGGATATGTCATCTTCTGGCTAGTGACGATTCTTTTTTTTAATGGAGTAGGAGGCAAACGAGCAGACGTATCACCTGATGGTAAGTGATCAGCACCGCCCATGGACAACCGCAACACCAGAGGAGTCACAGGTACGTTGTTGGCCTTTTAAAAAGGATTACGTTCTTTTCTTGAAGGTTTGAAGTTGAACGTTTGTTTCTTTCGTCACAATGATAAATCAAAACATATTTTACCGCTATCTTAAATCGATCGATCGACAACGAATCGTGATTAAAAGTTACTCTTGATAACAATGAGGTAAACTACAACAAAAACCTTTTTCAATTTCACAGACTACAATGCATCTATGACAACATAAATTTTGACAGTTCATTAACAATCATGACGTAAGATTGGGTACTATTATTTTTTAAATAAATTATATAATAATTAGAGAAATGGTTTAGCCAAAGCCGGTGAGAATGCATAACAAGATGATGATGAATATTAAATGGAAATAGTATACTTCTTTATTGTAATAGTATTGATTTCGTACGCCATATATTTGATTCAACCTTACTGGATCATGATACTGTCGGGTGCTATTATCTATTCGTTGTATACACAGCTGGAAAATTGGTAAGTGTTAGAAGGCGTTAATAGATTTCATGAACGTGTGTCTGAAATAAAAAACAATAAACTCGAAAATAATACTGGTAAGTACAGAAAATACGTTTCATGAACCACTTTGAAAGTTCCTTCCTCTATTCTCACACTCTTATAGAATCGGTTTAAAAGCTATTTACCTCCATGGCTTCACCTGACAGGTACCAATAGTGAAATAATTGTAGACTAGAACCAACCAAAATCATGCGATGTAGGCACCTACAGTACCACCAGAAACCAGGTATGCCCCAGGGAGGGTAATATATCCCCGGGATTTTCCACCAGCATATGCCGCCATACTTCTTCACACTATTTTACACTACCCACTACTTCTGATAAAGCGACAGCCGGCTGTTAGCGTCTGACCAGTAATACCTCGTGCGCCTTCTGGAGCACTAGAATGGTTCTTCAATACATTCTCCTCACTCAAGGACTCTTAGTTTCACACGCTGTCTAATATAATGGTTGCCTTAATAAAATTTAATATGTACCATATTTTTTTCTTTTTGATAAATACCTTACCCGTACCGTATATTATGTATATTATTAACAATCATTAATTGGTGTGCAGATATTTTAAATCACTGTGGTAAAGTAATATAAAGAGGAATCATAGTGTTTTATCTCAATATTGTATACTACTTACACAGTACAGTGTCTCTGATTCAAACTTGCTACCTATGACGTAACTACAAGGCGGTAAGTTGCAAAAGTGCCACGGATCCCCAGCTAGAATGGGACACCGTTCACAGGTTTTCATCTGAACTTCTCTGCTTTTTATTAGCAACGGGGACCCATCCGATAAATTTTACACGGGCCCCGAACGGTATAATTACGCCACAGCTTGCTACCATGTCCACCGTAAATTGGCAATTACTTTGTATCGAATTGTTCCTAAGCCAATTATTACAAATATTATTTATGTCATTAGCTGTTAACATTAGAATTACTTGAAAGTGGAAATTAAGAAAGGAAAAGTTAACGGAAAAAAATAATGAAACGGTAATCATCCATGTTAAAACGAAATTAAACGTAACTGTAAAATAACTGTAATGACTGAAAATATTTAACTGGAAAGCTAAATTAGCAACAGGTTCTACGTGTAGAATATAAACCAAATGCAGACCTGTTCTTAGTCTTACGCGATTTCAGTGCTGTCTGCATCTAGTTTATTATTTCATTTTAAAAATTGCTCTTTAATCGATTATACAGTCCGCGTACATAAGATTAAAATATTAATCTATGTCCTATAATTCGTAGACACTACCGTACCTGTCTATCGTTATCGGTCCGTACGTAAAAGCACATCGTAATTGATCACATGTGAGTCAAGTCAGGTGCGACCGGCCGCGAATTACCAGCAATTGTAACATTTACTCGTAAATATTTACCACAAATGTTCCCCGCACAGTGATCAAACATAGACCGGTTCTATTTGAAAGAAATTATCACCATTTCAAAGTACAAAATGTTACGGATTAGTCAACTTGTGATCGTGTTTATTATCGCGCTGAAGCAGGTCGAGAGCGATCCTTCACGAAAGGTAAAAAACATTTAAATAAATAATGCACTACGTTCGATTACATTTAGCTGTATCTAAATAATGCCAATGCTGATTACTATTATTTAATTCGTGAACTGTAAATGTTCAATTCAGTTTGCATTATTTGAACTAATATTGGTGCCATATGTAATTAAATGTGTTTCAGCAAACGTTTTTATTGTTGAACCATATTTATTACTTCTGATTTTTCTTAGCGTTACTGGTTAAATTGCATTTTAAATAAATGGAAACAGCGTGTCAGTCGCAGCTAATATAATATGCAAGTTACTAACAGCTGTCGAAACATGGAAACATTATATTAAAACATGAACATACCTACTATAATTTTCATATTTCTGTATTCCTTTTACATGTGGCACTGTTTTTCTACTTTTAAACTCGTCATATTAACATTTAAAGGTTGTGTTTCAAAATTAGACAGTGTGTGAATCCCTGTCATGTTTAGCACATATTTATTAAGACTGTGGTAACGCGTCACAGCCAGACAGAAGCCTTAAATCTATAACAACAATGTGTTTATTATTCTATTTAATGGATTATGGAGGGCATGTCGCTCTGAGGAAATGCTATTTAGCCAAATCTAAAGATATGATAGAGAAGGAAGGTAGACAAGAAACAAAAGAACCACAACAAATTCAAAGGTTGTAATATGTCGGATTGCTACCCCGTCAGACCCGTAATTAGTTTCAGAAAGCTAATTTGTACCTGTGACAATGAGAATGAGAAACTCAAAGAGATATGTTATAAGACTTAGAAAATATTGCCAACTGAAGTAACTAAGTACAATGTAGAAACTGTAATAAAAAGTTGATTCGTGATTTCTAAACAGCAGTGTGAAATTGATTACAATCATCATTGTTTTGCAATAATTTTCCCCATTTATTGTTTGTAATTACACACAATTACTTTTTCTTTAACTGTAAATACTGTTGGTATTGACTATTTGTCTTTATGTGCTCGAGCCAATTCACATCACATTAATATAATTTTATTACAGTCTTCTTTATGTTTAAATAGTCCACTTTACCGTTCAATTCCCATTTGAATAATTGAATTTATTTAAGTTACTTTACAGTTAAATTAGAAAAAATATCTTCATTTTCGACGTGGTAAGTTTTAACACGCAACAGTGTCTCTAATGGTTTTATCAAATATTTGCTTGACACATGTAATTCTTCTTAAATTGTTTGTAATAGTACGTATTTAAAAATATAATTTGAATACTACATAGGTATAATATGTACTTACAATGTAATGTATGTATATAGATAGGTACAACAATAATTTGCTCCAAATCATGTTTGTTGTACATTATTACAAAAAACCACACAACGTAAATTACGATAGATATAATTGCTGTATTTTTCTCTAAAAAAATGATTTTGTTATTTTTTTCTAGCATTCACACAGGCATTCGAAAAAGGTCAGAAAATATTTGATTAGTTTTAAAGACATTCATAAAATATCTAGTATTATCCAAAGATGTAAAAGTACTTATACTACTGTATCTTTTTTAATTGTTCAAGTTTAAAATGAGTAGGACCCAAAATACTACCTTGTGGTACTCCAACATTCAAGTTGTGTCAGGATAGGTAATGGCTGATATCATTGGTCAAATACTCAAGCTATTTAGTAAAGGTATTAAGGCGTGTGTTTGCCGTCAGTAACGTACGTGCCTACCACATACCAGTAATGGGAGGTCAACATCTCATGAACTCGCAATCTGGAGCAGTGAAAGTTGTCCTGCACAAAGTTTTAAGTCCTAATGTTTATTTATGTCACGTGTGTTATTGAAGGTGTGCTAAAATTGTGTCATGTTATTTGTTTAAATTCATATTTAATTGTGACATATGAATTGTTTGCTTCTTTGTTTATAACTTTAGTACTCGTTCCACGTGGTTTAGGTCAAATAAGTTTTTGAATAGACGTCCTTAACTTGATCTTGTTACGCAGCTGAAATTAAGGGGAATCATTTTACCAAATTATGTTTTTTTTTTCAGATTTCTGTTACAATATACTACGAGAGTCAGTGTCCGGACAGCAAGAATTTCATTTTAAACCAACTGGAACCATCTATACGCTACCTGCAGAAATATATAACACTGCATTTTGTGCCTTTTGGAAAAGCTACAGTAAGCAATTTTTCCTTAGCGAAGTAGGAAATAACATAACATCTTATGGCCAGTAGAAGAATTGTATTCCGTAGTAGCCATACAGCTGGGTTCAAAAACAAACGAGAATCTTGGTAAATTAGACATTAGTATTCTTGCGCTGATTCTCAAAACACAATTTATTAGTCTTCTTCATGTATAAGTTATTTCTAATTTAATTAAGGGTTCCGGATCTTAATCTTTTTCTTCAGACCTGATATGTTGCATATACTACATTAGCCAGTAAGTATATCTTAACCAATTCCTTTCTGCTTTTTTTTATTAGGTTTTCAACTTTATTTATCTGGTATGAACTTGAAAATCCGATAAAAAAATACTTATGTACTTTATCAATTTCTAAGTCTTAATTTAAAATTTACAGAGTGTTAACCAAGGGTACGATGGTTTCCTATGTCAGCACGGTCCCACCGAGTGTACCGGCAATATGGTGCAGAGCTGCGCGCTGGATCTCATGCAGGAACGAAACGACGTGGAAAAGGTTCTATATGTCGTCTGCGAAATGATGACTGAGGCAGGAACTAGAAAGGATATGAAGGTACTTTTGTATATTATATCACTATCTTAATATCTACTACTTGTCGCGGAGAACTTAACGGGTTACCGGGGCTCCGGCTCGAAGCGTAGGAGAAGGAACGGGGCTTTAGCCTCACCCAGGCAGAAGTAGTCATTCGATGATTTTCCACCCTTAAAAAAATATATATCCTACTACTTATCTTGAGAGAAATTAATTGACACCAGTTGGCTATACGAAGTCAACCCACCGTGCACGTTGGTTATGATTAAGTCCTACTTAGTATAAAAATTAGCGTTTTTTTTTCAATTGTTCATGTGAGCCGTTTAAGTACCTATTACAATTAATTTTACTTGAAGTTACTTTATAGTTGAACCATATTCTTTTTTCATCATAGTCATTATCATTCCGTCTCTGTTGACTTTTAAGCGTAATCGTCTCCAATAGCATACCATAGACCTCGACCTCCAATAGCTTATATCCTTTTATTTTATTTTTATTGTTCGTCTAACCACTTGATTTGTCTAGTTCAGATTTTTCTAAGTTTTTTATTAAATACCTCCTTAAATATATCATTTATTAATATGTTAAACCATGAAATTATTACTTTTATTATAAATTTTTTTAAGGTCAGGATAATTTTTATCTTCCTTTTGTTTCAGTGCGTTAAGAGGATGGGTCTCCGAGCTCGTGATGTAAGAGAATGCATGAACTCAAATTTAGGGACAGTGTTGCAGCTGGAGGCTGAAAAAGCCACTAATTACATTAGACCGAGGTTCATACCCACCATCACCATAGACGGGGTAAGATATTGTTTCATTTTTATGTATATTGGTCACCTCATTGGTCGATTGGCGATCCCTGTGTTTCTGGTTCGTTTCTCATGTCGCTCAAAGTATTATTGGTTTTTACGATTACTCAAAAATTCTTAGTAATAGTTCAAAATCTGCTCCTACGACGCGTTCTTAACAATACATTAGTAATAGTTGGAATACTGCCAGGATAATGACATATAATGATTTTGTTTCAGAGGTTCGACCAACATATACAAAATTCTGCGTTTGCAGACTTCCCCGGGACGATTTGTTCGATACTTGGAGACGTACCACCTTGCGTTGACAACTTCAATAAAGTAGTCCTTCGATACGGTTTAATATGAACAGACAATAAATAATATTTCGTACATAATTTTAACGTTTTCAGTGATGTTTTTCTTTCTTTCCTTTTTTAAGATTTCTATAAAAAATACAAAAAACGAGAGTATTAAAAGATGTGATCGAAGAAATATAGTTATACCAATAAGTTCTTATTAAGTAGAACCTCCAGCTTGTTGCTGTTTTATTTGAAAAATACATTTTATAACAACATATTTTTAATCAAATGACACAGAAAGATTTCATGGACCATATGAAAGGATTTTTGTAACATTTTTACTTATTTCAAAAAATATTCACTACCTACTCTATTAAATTTTAATATGGACTATAAAAATCTATTTACAGTATTTGATCTATTGCCTTATTTCAAGAAACATGGTTATTACAATTCTATGCAACTTTGGTGACTTTCCGGAAAATTTCCAAGAAATGTCTTTCTTTTTGTATTAGATATTTTAGTAAAAATCTCCTAAATATTTCACCGATACAACACCGCATTTTCGTGACTAGGCGACTGTTACTTTCTGGCTATTTGTGATTTCGGAAAGTAAGGTTATGATGGTGAGTTGTCCACGATCCATCGGTAATAGTGAGCAATGTTCGTGTACACACTGGGAACGCCTTCACTTCCACAGTTCTCTGAACCGAAGGACACGATGCCAACCTGAAATAAATAAAGAAGTTGTTCAAGTACTTGAACTAAGTAACAGCCAATTTCCTAATAACATTCCAATATTGGGTTGATTGAATCCATTGGATTGAATTCCAATAGATTATTTTAATGTGCGCACATATCACACGCGCATTATTTTAATGTGCTCAGTTCTTTGCAACACTAACTATATTTTTGGAAGAAGTATTACCAGTAAGTCAACTAAACTTTGAGTATCTTCTTCAACTGTCTATATATGGGGTAGTATCCAGTTGTAAATTTTTTGATCATATCCTTATCAAAAACAAAATGTACGCTCACCTGCACATGACGCCCTTGTCTGAACAGAAGTAGAGGAGCTCCACCAAAACCTGAACAAGCATCTTTTCCCGCCTCACCTCCAGCACAGAGCTGACCTTCGTTAACTGGAACTGATTCTCCAAATATACGCTCACAGTTTTCTAAAGGTACCAGAGGAACTTCAAGCTGCTGTTGTCTGCTCACCTACAGAATACAGAATTCATTAAGTAAGGGAAATTTTCGTGATACCTATTTTAAGAATTTAAGGAACACCTGGTCACACGCTACTACACAAAGACAGACATTTCTGAATACGTTTCGTATGGCCTTTCAATTCATTGTTTATGAAGTTTTTTAACCTTAAACGACTGTTGATTTTTGAACTCGCACATTGTGTAAGTATTGTCATAAGACCATCTCCAATATTCTCGAAAGAAAAATCAGTCAAAGGGGGATTAATGCAAACATTGTGACTATTAACTTATCAGTCAGACATTTCCAAATGCAAAATAATGATTGACAAACACGTGAAAGAGATTAAAAAAATTACTTCACGTTCATCAAAACTCAGTACAAAATCACGGACAAGGGCAAAACAATTAGTCTGACATAACTTCCTATCATTAGCCTGATGACTGATAGCCATGGCTGACGACTGATGGCTATCATACACTCACCACGTTATTCTGTCCTGACAGTTTTCCCCATCCGACAAGCGAAGCTCGTTCATTAATTACTATTTCCGGCTTATCATTCAAACAGATCGGCGCGGCTGTCACTGGAAAGAGCAAAAATTGACAGTGATATGGGAGACTGAGTGACAGCAGGAAGTGTGAGGCATCAGTCTGTCAGTCAATAAACTGCTGCCAAGGACAAAATGAAGGTCAATGTTACTGAGAACTTAAATAAATGAAGCTGTAAATTAATAACACTTTTTTTTTAAAAAAAAACGTTGTCCCTCACTAGGATTATCTCCTGTGTCGTGGGTGCGTTTACAAACATACAAGTTCACATACACATCACACCCAGACCAGAAACAACAATTTGTGGATCACACAAAGTGTTGTTCCGTGCGGGAATCGAACCCGCGACACGTTGCACAGCAGCCGGTTGCCCAGCCACCGCACCAACCGTGCAGTCAAACTTATAACATCAATGTTTGAAAAAGTAAACACTAACGCCAACATCAAATTATAATAACTACTCTGGTAGTAGAGAAAAGTGTTGAGCATGAATTGACAAAAAGGAGATATAGTGTACGTACCTGAATATTTAATTTCTTCTTTAAGCATGATCAATGCAATATCATGTCTGAATATCTTCTGTTCGTACCCTGGGTGGACGATCACATTCTCCACTTTGATGGCTTGAGTAGGAGGAGCGCAGAAATAATCGTTACAATCAGGACTTCGACCGATATCCCATTCACCAACCACTACAGTTGATCTGCAACAAATAAATTAGATTAATATTAAATGTCATCACATAAACCAACATTTTTAGTTAGTTTTTTTAGGGGACGAATACTTCATCCGCCTTGGGTGAGGCGTGAGGTAGTGTCAGACTCTTACTGACCCAAAATCATCCCGTACCTTCTGTTCTTATTCCATTGCATTGTCTGCAGCCCCAGATCTTTAGTTGGAACTGTATTGTAAATAATTATAAGAAGAACACCAACTGGCATTTTGGGGTCACATTCAGGTTATATGAACTGGTTGTTCTCATCCTCAACTGCTGGGACTAATAGAATAATTAACAAATAGTAGATAAGAACTAATCTATGAATAACTATTAACCAGGAAACGACAGATATGATATCATATTCTAAACTTTATAACAATTAACTTACAGTTTATACCCCTCTGGCTTGGCCAAAGCGCAATGGGCAGCAGTCAATATAACCCGTTTGCCAATAATGGAACCGCTGCACGCGAATCTCACATTACCAGTCTCCTTGTCTAAATTTAATAAAAACAAATAATTATTAGAATTATACACCTAATATTAAATTACTAACAATATATTTCCTTTTTTGTAACACTTCTAGGTAACTTGTAAAGGTTAATTGTTCAAAAAACTTAAATGATTAAGTGATTCGGTTATGGGATTATGATTTGTTAGGTTTTATTTTTTGTAGGCTTCTTTGTGTTGATTAAAGCGGTTAGTCGGTAAGATTTCAATGAAAAGATACAAAAAGTTATTTAAGTATTCCTAAAATTTAACAAGGAATAATCATCATACGAAAAAAGATATTATTATATTAATATCTTATTCTCATAGTTTGGTAATGATTCCCTTCCCAGAACTCGTGAGATTGGGCAAAGTTTGATTCACTTTAATCTGCTAAATAAAGTTCTTATTACGGAAATTAAATATCAACAATTTCCTTCCACTGGCAAGTAATTGCAATAAAATAATAGATTATGAATATGAAAAACACATAAACTGGTGAAAAATAAATATTAAGTCGACTACCGATAGATAAATCTTTCACTAGGGATGAACGTAATAAAAAATGTGCATAAGACAAATTGCCTCTCTGCTTAAATATTACCGCTCTGGTAACATTTTCTAATCACTTACGAGTAAATCCAATTCTAGCAGTCCACGGTTGACTTCCCAATCCATTATAGTCGACTCCTCGCACCATACTCTGTCCACATTTCTCCATGCCTTCCTGGTAGACCTTGCCGCAGTCACAAGAAGGACAGCATACGTAGTCTTCGTCATCCGCATTGCCACATATTAATTGGTTGAGCCGGTGGAAATATCTGAAAAATTGCGAAATGATATGACCTATTCCTTAAGAAGTCTATCGCGATATATTCAGGTTTCTTGGTTACTTTTTAATTTTACTCTAAAATTATTCGGTATTCAACGTAACTTTTTTATATATAAGATGGAGAGAAAAAATATCGAAATCAGCTTAACATACCTACATACATACATAACTTCACGCCTGTCTCCCATGAGGGTAGGCAGAGACTAACGAACGCCAATCACTACGATTTCTACATACCTCTTTCGCTTCATCAACAGTCATCAATTTTTACATTCAATTCATAAATAGGACTTTTCAAAATAATGATCTGTATGTGCAGTATTAAAGTTAATCCAGTCTCAGTTACTTATATTATTAAAATTATACTCCAAAACAAAAAGTTCTTACCTGTCTGAAGAGAAACACGAAAAGTCCATTAGGTCCTCCAACATAGGACAAGCACTGACAGGCATACATGTTGTGTTTTGTGGGCATGGACTCTGTAGTTACACAAAGAGGAAATATGTTCTATAGGAAATGTCGTAGACTAATATATAAGTAAGTATTATCAAGGCTTTACTTACTCTTATACTTAAAGTTTCTTCGCCGCTTTTAACTCCTCCCATACCAACACTTAGACCTAAACCTGGAATGAAAACAAGACAGTCGTTTGTGTATCTGTTTTTCTTTTTATATGTGTTTTGTTTTATGTATATATGTTTTGTGTCTGGTCTGGAAGTAGTGAAGACACATTAAGAAATATTCGATGTATCTAGTATTAGTACACTAGGACTAGTCGTACAAATTTGATATAAAGAAACCCTAAACAGAGTCAAATTGAGGTACTACAGGAATTTCATTCTTTTAATTCAAATTCGTCAAATTACATAGGTTGATAGGTTTTAGCAAGGTTTTTTTTTAAGAGTGGAAAATCATGCGAATGACTGCTCCCGCCTGGGTGAGGCGGAATGGAGTGTCAGACTCTTACTGACTAAAAACCACCCCGTTCCTTCTCCTGCACGTCGAGCCGGAGCCCCGGTTACCCGAGGATACGAATAGTCAAAAAAGTCAAAGCATTTATTTAAATTAAACCATCAAAATAAATAATCGTCTGTCAGTCAGTCCGTCAGTGAAGTTAGGTGAAGCTAGGTATCAAAAAGTCAAAATCTGCACGTGAATCCTTGCGTCAACCTGTACTGCGCATAAATGCTCTCAATTATACATTTTTTTTACCTAATTGACGTAATAATGAGTGCTTCATAATGCACTACTGGTAAATAGTAATACATGGGTAATACCATCAACACGGCCTTGATGTAAAATGATGTTATCATTCTGTTTTATACCCTGATCGAGGCTGTCTATTGTCATCAGTCCTGCAATTATCGAATGCATCATTCGAAAATTATACGACAGTGGTAGTGACGGGAAAACTAAAATGTTAAGTGTAATTTTTAGTAGGTTGGATTAGGTAGGTCTAATTTTTATGAGTTTCTTTGGTCCTTCATTTAAAGTTGGTTTTTTCCAGTGTGCATGATCGTGAATATATTAAATTAAATGCACTTCTAGGGCAGAATCATTCATGAGGGTAAACGCTTACCAAAGCTACGTTACTACTTCCAACTTAATACGGACTAACTTCAGCCCTAGCGATGTGCTGTAACAGGCGCTGCACCGTGGGGCCTTACAGATGCTGAGGGTGGCCACCAGGGTGGTTTTATTGAGGTACTACTCACCCACTCCCTAGTCTTTCTCCTCAAAAAGCTAGGCACATTTTGAAGGTACCCCCATTATAAAAAAGGGACTAACTTCTTCGTCAACTTATTCGATTCAGAAGTCGAAAGTTCTTGCTCAACAATCATATACCAGCTACAATTCATATTGTGTATGGATATTTGTAATAACTAGAATAATGAGGAAAAGCATTGCAAACCTATGTTATGTATTGTGTGAAAATCATAGTTAGACTGCCCTCTATTATTTAGGCACTTTTGTTAGGTGAAATATGAAATCTGTGTTACTGTTGGTAACATTGGTACTGATACAAACCATGAATGTTACTAGATTCAACAATATCAAAAATTTGGTCTTTTTAGAGTGTTTATTGCAGTAAAACTATTATAAATGAAAAATGTATTAATTCATTAGTAGAAGCTCACGCAACTAACTAACAACAAATATCGTATTATGTTCCTTTTTTATGGGATAAGTCAGAAAACAGACCGATTCCCAAAAGTAAGTTAAGCAATCGGCGCCGCCCACGGACACCCGAAACACCAGGCGTTACAAGTACGTTATCGGCCTTTTGGGGACTATGAATTTGAGGATTGTTGGGGATTCAGAGATGGGAAAGGGGAGTAATTAGTGGGGCCGTGGTATCACTCAGGTTGAGCCGGCATTCGTGCCGAAACATGGCATGGCTCTCCCACACTTACTATTATTAACACAGTACACGGTACGATTCTGAACTAAGAATTATATAAATAAAAAATCTTGGAATTATCAAGATGTTTGATATTGTTCCTAATCAATAGTCTGTAACACTCCTCATTACATAGGACTAGTAAACTGCTATTAGGTTCTGCTTGCTACTAATTCAAATTCAATGCAATTACCATAATTTAGAGGTTTTATCGAAATACTTACAAAAAGTATATTTGAAACAATGGTTAGGTATCTAACTCTTTGTTACAAATGCGCGTTAGTGCAATTAAAATTAGCATATGGATAAAGGGTTCAAAGGATAATAAACTTGACAAGTTAAAATATATTGCACTTATAAAAATATATAAGATAAAATCATAAAAAAAAATTAAATATGGACAAGGTTCAAAAATTACTAAAATATTAGTTTTTGTTAATTATTTAAGTTAAAAAATATGTATGCAAACTGTAAATATATATATTATGTCTTCGCACTTGAAAAATCAGGTATGATTTTGATTTAGACAATCCTTTGTACTTTTAGTCTAGGTACTAAAATTAAATAAAAACTTACTTCCAAACTGTGCATTACACCATTGAAGAACAAACAAAATCATAAACACACACACAGGAACCGCCATTGTCATTATACAAATTAAAACTTAAAAAATAAAAGTCAATTTAAAAAAAAACAATAAATATTATCACAATATCACGCCATAAATTTTTAAAATTATTGTTCGAAATATGAATTATTATGATGGTCAGATGTCGTCAGCATCGTCGGATGGACCACAACAAAATTGACACGGTACAGAGAATCTATTTCGACCGGCACGAAACAGAGGTTGTGAATCTTTGGCAGTTAGCCATTGTTCGAAATGATATGTTTAATTTCACAGACTTTTTTCGATACACATATCATTATTTACTTACCGAATTGTTTATACTTACTTATGTTGTAAGTCCTGCTTTCCCACGTAATAATATGTTGTTTATATTGGTCAGTAATTTGGATACTGGGTGAGAATGAGAGTTACTTAAGAATGTGTGTTAGTTGTGAACAGGGTATAGTAGTGTTATCAACTGATGGGAAAGCATTTTTGTAGAAATCATCTAGGATAACAAGAATTCTGTGCTTTTTTTCGTAGTTAAGTTCTATTTATTTTTTTATTTCACACACAAAATCACAATTATTATATAGTTTCCTAACCTAATGCAATAGTTTGATTAATGACAAACATTAAATTCAATGTTTGTTAGTCGGTAATGTTCTTGTATATCATGGAGTCTGGAAATCATACACCAGAAACAACTTGATGTATGACAATGCGCTCATGGTATTCTGGGGTCTCTGGGATAATTTGAAAGAAAGAAAGAAAAGAAAGAAAGAAACGTAATTTGTTCGCCACCAGACATGGACCACCGAATAACACACAAAATAATAACAAAATAACATTAACAAGAACAAAACAATAATAACATAAAAAACAGCAGTAAAAAATAATTTGAATAAATTATTGAAAAGTTAAGTAGGAAAAAACACTCAATTTATTTATTTAATACTCTCTACCTAGTTTTTTTTAATCACTCAAAGGACGTAATGTTGTTTTATGTATTAGTTGATAAGATCGTATCTATCTAACTTAATTTAGAAAATTAAATAATAGTTGACGATCCATGGACGTGCCATGATTCACCGCTACAAATGTTTGCTTCAGATTGATGCAGGCATTTTTACACCATTCACGGATTTTAAAACAAGTACTATAAAAAAATATCATTGTATATTTTCATAAATAGATTTGCTACGGTTTTTACGATTAACTATTTTTAGACCTTTTCATTTCTGACATTATTGAATTAATAAAGTTGAGTTTTCTAGTACCTATATTATCTATTAGTTTGTAATTAATAGTTGTCCGGTAAATAAATGTACGGGTTTATTTATATTATTACAGTATTATTTTATTTATGGAGTCGGGTGCTGAATGAATAACACTAATATAACACTAGCTTAGTGACATTATTATGTTCCGAACTAAATATATGAACTATGTAGAATCTGTAGAGCATAGGGATATTTCTTACATTAGGTATATACTAACAGGGACAAGACTACCTCGTTGGCTGAGTGGTCGCAAGTGTGACTGCCGGGCATGGGGTTCTCGGTATATGGCAATAGGTTCACCCCCTATTACATGGGACTTATAACATATATGGTGAAAAGTGGGTGTTACATTGGACAGTGGCTTTCATTGCCGTAATGTGCAGTTGTGCATGTCTACCTAACGCCTTTTATCCCTTCATCACGCCTTTTATCCCTTCGGGGATAAAAGGCGTGATGATATGATAATGAATAATAGCTACCTATTAGGTAATATGTATATACATACGAGTTCTTAATTAAAATAACAGTTATTCCCATACGATCTATTAAAATTAAACCATGATACGATCTACAAAGGTAGAGGCGTACTCAGTTCGCAAGTTGCGGCGCGAACGAAGCGTGTCAGCTTAATCTTTGCAAAATCAGTTTTTTATACTTTTATTGTAATACGTTTTTGTGTAGCCCGGTGTCGTTCACATCATTGGTTTACGGACATTGGACTCATAACAATGTCTTCTTTCCCAGAAATAGACGATCAGATTATAACTGGATCTGTTTCTCTGTTGTACTTTTTATGAGACGGCTTCTAGATTAAAGTATTTCATTTGTGTTATTTTCTATGTATTGTGAATTCAATTTCGAATGTTACATTCCGAGATGTAAAAATGGTATTATTGAACTTAATCTATCTGCTACCCAGCTACGTAAACTCGACTGCAATTTTAGATATCATGTCTTCTATTAAAAACGTAAAGTAAACTAAAGATCATAATATTATAGAGACTGCAATCACGAAGACAGACATATTTGCCTCATTGACACAACCAGTATAATAAGTAGGTATATCTAGTATTTACAATAATACATAACATCCATAACATCACGCCTTTTATCCTCGAATGGGCAAGCAGAGGTGCACATTATCTACGGCACTTAAAGCCACTGTACAATGTAACACCCACTTTTCACTATTTATGTTATTTGTCCATGTGGGTTGAACCTATTGCCATATACCGGGCACAATTCCAGACCCCGTACTATTATTGGAAATTAAAAAAAAGTAATTCTTTGCTGACCCGGGAATCGATTCATAGACCCTTTGCCCGGCAGTCAGTCGGCAGCGACCACTCGGCCAACGAGGTGGTCAATTTAGAATAAGTACAAGAAAAAGTTTTCAAATCCTCGTAAAGAAATTCCACAAAGAGGCTACCGCATACAATACATTTATTAATATAATAAATAGTACTTCACTACCCGTCCACTTCTATCCACCGACAACAACGCAGGTCGTAACCCGTTGGTTCACACCGTGACACCGACATTGTTTGAAGCACGTAAAAAATTACTTCCTAATCAGATAATGGAACGATTTATACAATTAACCAGCACGAATTTTGGAAATGGCACCACCATTGTGAACTGACCTTTAATGAATGACACTATACTGTTGACCGTATAATTGCTGTTTTTGTGACTGGTAGTGTTTTAATAGCTGCATATCCCGGTTAGAATAATAGTATTTTATACAATACACCCAAAAATGGAACCTGAGAAACATGAAACCTTAATATACGAAGGTAATTGTATGGGATGAAGGGACAAACGAGCACCCGGATCATCTGATGGTAAGTGGAGAGCGCCACCCAAGGTCATCCCATCCACTTAATTACATGTGGGTTAAAAATGCTGTTACTATCAATATTGCCTATACCTACAATTCTAAGGGTTGCATGAAGATTGTTAACCAAATAAAAATAAATTCAGTGAACCTAAACACGGATGAACCCAACTTTGATGAAAAGAAAAAAGAAAATCAAGACATGACCTTACTTTGCAAACTTTATAGACATATTCCACTTTTAACAGAACTTTCAAAAGAAAAAAATTAATAGAACAGATGTCAATTTTGAATTAATGTCATTGTTAACAGAAAAAATGGCATAATAAATAGCAATTCTCGGATAAATTTTTCATGGACTAGGACTAAGCATAATGTTTGTATAGTTAAATTCTTATTATATGAAGTCTGCAGAAGTATCAAATTAGTGGAACATTTTTCAGATGACTACAACATCAGCATAGAAATCGCAGATAAAAGCTCAAAGCTAAAATGACAGACACACGAGATTATCATCATCACCCGTCCAGTGTATTTTCAACAGACACTATGAAATTGACCAGTAGCGCCTCTGAACAGAATGTGTACTTTACATACGTGTGTCTTGTCAACGACATCAAGCCAAGTGGAAACCTAACATCTAACTTTAAAACATGTGACAAGTTATCTGCTGCTGATGTTTCTTCTACGTTAAATGCAGAGGTATGTTTTCTATACAAGTATCATAATGTAATCTTTGACGTTATGGACAATTTAAAAATATAAAAATACTTTTTTATGTTCAGGTAAATCAAGAAGAGCAAACAATTCAAGTAGAAAGATCAAAAGCACTTCATGAACTTTTGAATATTGAATCCTACAAGAAAGCCGATTTAGGTGAAGAAATCGGAGAACGTAACGACGCTGAATCATCCAAAGTATATGTTCACAAGTTTCTATATTATTTCTTAGTGATTTCTGTATTATGTTTTTACATTTCTACAATAAGAGTGACTTTGTACTAGCAACCAACCACATCAGGAGAAGATAGCGAGCTATCTGAGAACGATGAAAATAATTTCCTTCCCTGCGACAACCCCAATGTCTTAAAACTAACGAAAATGAAGTGGCTCTCTGAAGATCAGGAAGATGGCCACAATTCTAGGTTTGTATCTCTAGAAAATATTACAAGTCACAACCGCTTTCATCAATATACACCAGCATCATGTCGTTCCAGAAATGTGAACGCTCTAACAGGTGCAAAATTGCATACAAAACCGAAAAGAAGAAATTAATAATATTCGAGGAGGATGAACAGTAGGTACCGTTAATGGCTAAATGTAATACTGAATTGAGGTATCGGTAATTATAATTATTCATGTACTCATTACTTGTTGCAAAATTTTATTTTATTTACTTGAAGGCCATCTATATCGAGAGTGGCCTTTATGATTCCTCAACATATTATCATTTCTTACACCAGCGCGATAGTCATTGGCAGTAACAATACCGAATATTAACAAAAATCAACATTGACAATGCTTTTCAGTTCACCATCGGTATCACCAGTTTCATCAAGTTCTAACTGCAGTAAAATTTCTGAGGAAGACCTCAAAGAAAGGAACGAGATGGAAGATAAATATTTGTCGACTATACTGCGATTAGACAAAGAACACAATATGTTTGGATTGTCCAACATAGCCATCGTTGGAGCCAAACAATCGAAGATTAAACGTAAAGACGACGAAAAGGCTGTGTTCCATCAAACAGCTATAGTTCAAGTATGCTGTGGTAAAAGTTGCTGCAAGCATAAGGTTTGTCAAAATTCTTAAGATGATATTTATCTCCACTATAACTTACTGTGTAACGTAATAAAACATGGTAATTGGTTTCTTTGTTGCAGAGTAACACCGATTTGCCCGCATCTTTGAAGGTAAACCCTTAAATTAAAAATTGTATTTATTTATTTGGACATCCAGACACCCAGGCTCCGAGAAGCCATTCGATGATGTTCTCCCCTTAAAAAAAAGGTGCTGCTACATATTTAACATTAACTTTAAAATCTTATTACAACCATCATAGTTGAGTTGAGTCGAGAACAATGGTATTAATTAAATTTACTTGTATTGGCTATTTTACTTTTATTCTTACATAACATCATTTTTAAATTAATTATTTTAGTGTGGCGGTGGTTGTCGAGGCTGCTGTACTGACCCATTCTGTGCAATATGCGCGTCTCCTTGTAGCAAAGTTTGTTTGGTAAGGAATACATTTCTCAATAGTAGTTATACATATATCTTACGTACGTTTTCACTACCCTCCCCTAAATTTCAAGGAACCCCTAAGCGAAGTTGGGTAATATTTAACGCTACGTGCGTGGCCAGCTCCAATAAATCAACAAATTAGAGCATCAAACGCGGTCTGTTTTTTTCGGACGGCGTTTCGATTACTACGTAAAACAAACTCATTCTATAGTACATTGGCGTAAAAATAAGTCATCATTATTTGTCGGCCTAGCCCCGCCCCCTAAACTAATTTTAGAACTTTGAAGTATATTTTTAAAAATTCATTATACTTAATCTTTTAAAATATACTTTGTTTGAATTTCACACCACTGTGAATACACTTTTATCTTACAGTTGCGCTGATGAATCACTGTATTCTTACGCGAACAAACTAAAAGGCCTCAGGTGCTAGGTGTTTTTTTTATAAACGAGCAGACGGATCACCTGATGGTAGGCAATCGGCGTCGCCCATGGACACCTGGAACACCAGAGGCGTTAAAAGTGCGTTACACGCTTTTGGGGATTAGGAGCTTGAGGATCGTTGGGGATTCTGGAATTGGGGAGATTGGGGAAGGGGAGGGTAATTGGGCCTCCGGTAACCTCACTCACACGACGAAATACAACGCAAGCGTTGCTTCACGTCGGTATTCTGTGAGGCCGTGGTATTACTCCGGTCGTCCCACACAAACATGGCTCTCCCACACAAAGTAACTTTTAATTAAGAGATAGTATAGAAGTGGTTGGTGAATAGGCCATTAGTCTTTATATTCAATACAAACGACGCTTCCTTTCTTATTACAGGATGAACCGTCATGTATAACATTGCCATCGGTAAGTTATTTTAATTTAAACTAGCTGTTCTCCGCGACTTCATCCGCTTTTTTTGTTTCAATTTTCCAAAATGAGAGTAGCCAATGTTACTCCTTAATACATCAGCTACCTGCTAATAAAAGTCTTGCACAATTGGTCCAGCCCTTCCAGAGATTAGCCAGTACAAACAGACAGACATTTACAAAAATTATTAATAATATTATTTTGTTATGTGTATCGTATCATCATAATTATGCATGTAGTAAAAAGCGGTTATTTTACAGCAGACACTTAAATTTTATTTATCTGTATAGCTATAGAACTCCTCAAGCCTGGTCTTATTTATTTATTTCATTAAAAAATTGAAATTAGAATTAAAATTCTTTATTACCAGTTCAAAGCATACAGTCATGTTATTCGGAGTCGCGGAAAACTTAACGGGTAACCGGGGCTCCGGCTCGACGTGCAGGAGAAGGAACGGGGTGGTTTTTAGTCAGTAAGAGTCTGACACTCCCTCCCGCCTCACTCAGGCGGGAGCTGTCACTCGATGATTTTTTTTTTCCCTCCTTAAAAAAAATCCAGTATACAATTACAACCGCACTAGGTACAGCCTGTGTCGCGGCTGTCAAAATATAGCGATTTCCTTAGGACTATTCTAACAGTTAATAACATCATAAGAAAAGAAAAGTGAGTAGTTAGTGTGTATGAATGTGTGCATAAAAATGTGTGTGTATGTAGTGTGTATTATAATATTATCTTCTTTATTTTCAGTGCGGTACTTGCCCAAGAGGACGGTGCTCTTGCAAGGTCAGCATTTTAAACAAATATTAAATCTACTAACATTTTCACTCGATTTGTCCATGAAATTATATTCTAATTCTAATCTTATGTCCACAGTACTCGCGCCCGACCTCCAGATGCGCGATTGATTGCAATAATTGTTATGGCTTAAAGGTTTGATTGAGAAGCAGATAGATTATTATGTGTTTTTTGATTATCGACTTCACTGTCATTAATTTAAGACTTGAATTTACAGATCAAAGTAAATCGAAAACCAAAATTCGACGACCCAGTTGTAGAATTAACTCCTCGTTCCAGCTGTGTTTTGCATAAGGTTCGTTTTAACACTTTTATTTATTTACACTTATAGGTAATTATGTCCATGATAATTTGTTTCATTAATTAATATTATCGGGTTTTAATTTCTTAGTAGTAGCACGGAGACTAGAATTGTGCCCGGTATATGGCAATTGACACACCCCCTATTTTACATGGGACTCATAACATAAATAGTCAATAGTGGGTGTTGCATTGTACCGTGGCATTAAGTGCCGTATTGTGCACCTCTGCCTACCCCTTCGGGGATAAGAGGCGTAATGTTATGTAATGTTAATTTAAATTTTATTTCAGCCAATGGCAGCTAGATCCTGCCATCATCTGCCGCAATGCATACCACCGTCTTCTTGCTTTCCATACCTGATGCCGTGCTACTGGCCGTCTCGACCTTCTGCCCCTTGTGCCACACCAACCCACTGCTTCCATAATCCTCCATGTCCACCTGCCAGGAAACGACAGAGAGTTCCTGTACCTCCTGAATACATTTGCCCTGAAGTAAGTTAAACAATTGTTGGACTTGTTGAATTACATCATCAATGACTTGGTACCCCATTCGGATTGGGCATGTCCGCCAACACCGCGTAGCTATTTTGGACCTGTATTATTAGCTTGTTTTAGTTTTATAATTTACCTTATTATTATCTTTTTTTTTCTTTCTATCTGTGTTTTTAAATCTTTTTATTGTTATTTGTCATTATGTATATTTTTTTTACTAGCGTGTAATGTATATTTCATTTCATTTCATTTCATCTCAGCTGCACCTATTTTATAGGTACTATCTACCTCTATATATAGTACCTACTGTGCAGACTAGCAACGCACTGTGACTTCTTTGGCGTTGCGGTTATTTATTGGACATTGATCGCTTACCGATCGCTGATAGGAGAAGTGGCCTTATCAATTTTGTCCTAACGAATTACATTCTGTATTCCTCTTTCTTTATTGACGTAAAAAATATTTTATTTTGCAGAAATGTGTGGATGACGCCAAAAACACAAAATGTCCCAATGATCAATGCCCTGGGGTAAGTTAAGATAAAGACTTGATACGAAGAGTTATTTATTTCTTTTTATTATTTTATCTACACACATACAACACAAGGGACAACACATATATTAGACTGAAGTACAAAGGTACCACCTATTCCTATCGGAATTTCTTCCTGTGGACTTGTGGCAAAAAAATTGATTACTACATAGTATAAAACAAAGTCGCTATCCACCGTCTGTCTGTCCATATGTATGCTTAGATCTTTAAAAAAAACACAACGGATTTTGATGTTGATTTTTTTAATAGATGCACATTGCATGCATCCGTGCAAAGCCATCATCAAAGTAATCGCTAGTACTGATATAAGACACAGTCTATTTTATATTTTATTAAGTCACAGTCTAATGTTGTTATGATAGGTGTATTTTTGTTATTCCAATTGATATTCATATTTACTTTTCTTTTCTAGAACAATCCCCTTATGAGAGCAGTAATTGAAAAAAGATTTAAAGAAGTCAAGGAATAATGGTGAAACCTAACTCCAAAATTAAATGTCATCGTTGTTTCGATAACCAACACGTAAGTTACCTATGTCCTCAAATTAAGCCATATATTTTGTTTATTGATTTTCAAAAATATATACTTAATATCCAAATATTTTCCAGAACGACAATGATTCTCAGAAAACGATAGAACATCTTGATAATGCTATTTGTAATAATAAAAACAAGAAGATTAAGAAACGCGTTAGTACCTTTCATCATCCATATTATCCATATATCAACAAATATACAATAGGGTAGTTTCCTAAATTTTATTTTAACGTCCGTCTGGTAGATTATTTTAAAACATAAGACACGTATTTTTTCTTTCCTCACAAAATTTAATGCTTTTGGCGATATATTGATTTGAAATGTCGCGTGACGTAACAGCGTGCTACAAAATGTACCACGTTGTGACGTAACTATCTCATACTCCTAAACTTAACGCCATTTTATTTAAGTATTGTAACTTTATACGAGAAAATAAAAAAATACATGTCTAATATTTTTCATTATCTAGCTGACGGACTAATTAGATTTTTCATTTTGTTACCCTGGAAACTATCCTATTCATATAGCTAGCTAGTCATAGGTTATATACATTTTCATTTTTGAAAAAAGACCGGTCGTAAATACAGGGACAATTAGTGCCCTTAGCCAAACGCAACTTTAGCGCTTGTCTACAGAGAGAGTAGAAATCAAAATGTTTGGGGATGACACTGACAAGTGTTAAATTTTACGTCAATTCCATATAATTTGGTTTTCTATTCTACATGTAGACAAGGGCTAAATGGCATTTGGCGCATTTCCGACGTTTGGCTCCAAAGTTGGAGAGGACGGGGGCTGCGTTCAAACGCATCCTCCCCAACCTCGGGGGGCCAAACGCCTCCTGCCGGAGGTTATACGCCGGGGTCGTGCGGTCCATGGCCCTCTACGGCGCCCCTGTTTGGGCGCCGAACTTGTTGCGGCGTCCTGCTCGGACGCTGCTCAAGTCACAGAGGGTCATGGCGATCCGAATGATCCGCGGATACCGCACGATCGCTGGGGAGTCGGCGAACCTCCTTGCCGGATTACCGCCGTGGGATCTGGAGGCGAAGGTGCTCGCGCGCGTGTATAACATGCGCGCGGAGGCACGTCGCCGGGGCGAAACTCCGCTGCCGCGCCAGATAAGTGCGTGGCGGGATGAGCTCCGGCGCGATCTCATGGCGGAATGGCAGCAACGACTGTCGCAACCGAGGGCTGGGCTCGCTGCCATTGCAGCGGTAAGTCCCCTCTTTGAGGAGTGGCTTGAGAGACGCTACGGCGTCCTCACCTACCGCCTGACGCAGGTCCTCACCGGACATGGAAGTTTCGGGAGGTACCTGTGTCTGATGGGGCGGGAGGAAACGCCCGGGTGTCATCACTGCGAGGACCGCCCTGAGGACACGGTGGAACACACCGTAGCGGAATGCCCTGCGTGGGCTGAGCACCGCCGTGCCCTCAGGGAAGTGATCGGCGATGGCGACCTCTCGCGTCCGGGCCTAGTGCAGGCCATGATGCGGAGCGAGGGGGACTGGGATGCCGTCTCCTCCTTTTGCGAAGCAGTCATGCTAGCTAAGGAGGAGGCGGGACGCGTGAGGCAGCGAAGCGCTGCCTCCTCGCGACCCAGCCATCGCGAAGGACACACCGGGCGTCGGGGATCGCGGGACGATCTCCGGCCACCGTAAGCGCGGGCCTGCGGACGGCGAGCATGGGTGGCTCCCCGTCCGACCAGAAACAGACCCGAGCGTACGGCGCGTCGCGTTCCGCGCGCGCCTCAAAGAGCCATCAGACCACCACAGATGGGGCCCAATAGGGCCGATGCCGATTCGGAGTCGCGGAGAACCTAACGGGTAACCGGGGCTCCGGCTCGACGTGCAGGAGAAGGAACGGGGTGGTTTTTAGTCAGTAAGAGTCTGACACTCCCTTCCGCCTCACCCAGGCGGGAGCAGTCATTCGATGATTTTCCCCCTTAAAAAAAAAAAAAAAAATGGCATTTGGCTACAGCTGCTGGTTAAAATACTAGACATAATTATGTCAACAATATAAAGCCAAAAGTCATTTATTTCAATTAAACCAGGAAGGCACTTTTAAACGTCAATCAAAAATTTAAAAGTGAAGCTGTTTGCTCATTCCAAAGTGTAGATTCTTATGGAGAAGAACGAGCTAGAAACTCCATGTAGTAGGTGTCATTACCTACGGAGATTTGCATAGCTTCTTTACTTTAGTTAGGAAATATCAAAAAGTGATTGCTACCTATTTCAGAAGTACTCAATTACCGACTGCGAATGTTCCATGCCTGGATGCGCTAGTTGCTTCGTGAGGAGACCTAAGGTAACGCAACCAAACCTTTGTTTTTACTGACTACTCAGTTTGGTCTGTAAGTACGGAAGTATGTATGTGTATATGTGCAATTATCTCGTGATTGGCTGATCCGATTTTGATGCAGTTTTCAGAAAAGTGTTTGTTACTTAAGGTCACGCACTTAACAAATATGGTTCCGGCACAGCTCCAGCACGGCATTTATTGCTGGATTAGAGCCGTGTTGGAGCCGTGCCGTGTAAGAGTCCATGACCTATAGGAATAGGTTATAAGTAGTATATTATTATTATTAACTAAGCGACTTCAAAAAAATAGGGGGTTGCAGTTGGTTTTTTAAACGTTATTTATTAAAGAATTATTCATAGAACACCATCAACAAATCAAAGTTATTACAACAAATTCCTATCTATTTGTTTTTTGTTTCAGCGAAAAAGTGAACATCATAGAAAACCTTAGTTCAGAAAAAAATTGCAGTATTAATATTATTATGCGAATTATGTACTTCGGCTCGACGAAGACTTACTCAGGTAACTATTTCAGCAGTATAATGCGTTTTCTTTTTGTCACACATTTACAACCATCTTTATTCCCAGTACTCTTTTTTGTTTTTTTTTACTATCTGCCAATACAACTATCTAGTTTGATTGTACCTTTTTAAATAATTTGTTTTTGTGTATTTACAGCCTACAAAATACTAACCGCCTCTCAATCAGCTGCCAAGTTTACTTCTATCACAAACAACGAGTCCTACAAATCTCCTGAGTTCTCTCCAAATAAAAAAATATATGAAGATATAAAAAATAAATAAAAGCGTAGTCTTTACTCGAAATCTTTTATTTATCAAACTTCATAATCTTTTGACACAATATATCTTTCGACGCACTTTTTATGTGCTGGCATTATATGGGCGAATTGGTCTATGACTGTGTATGGGGGTTCCTTGAGCAATGTGGCAATAATCACTGCAGTACATGAAAGGTGCTATGTTCGTTTGGTATGGATTCGGAGGGAATGGAGCCAGGTCAAATACTTCTCCATGATCCCAAGATGCGAGGGATGATATCGCAAATGGCGTGTTGTACTTCTTCTTTGTTTCCGATATGAATACTCTGACCAAGAAAAATTAAAATTAGAACTAACAGTTTCAAAATTGATGTTCCCTAATAGTATAATGCACCAAAACAAAACCGATAAAAATTTTCCTACATACAAAAGCACACACACCAATTGATACAAAAAAATAATTGTCGCTCCTTCCAAATTTAAAAATATCATAGCTGAATAGCATAAATCCTTACCCTTTCAAATTATTAACTGGATTGTGACTAGCAGCAACCTCCTTGTATTCTTTTCTGACATGGATCCTGTCATACACGCCTCTGTGAACTTTCCCTGTCAATGGCATCCATATTTCTTTGTGCCTTGGTCCAAAACCTTTAATCTAATAGCAAAGAAAAATTAATCAGAGCAAAAATATCTTCAAAAAGTTTTGCTTAATTAAGAACTGTCACCACAACCAAGAACAGAACTACATCAGTTACCTTTGGAGTATTCGATTCCGAATAAAAAGTGATATGGTCTTTGGCTCCAATCCCATACTGGTCATCAGGAGTAAAAGGTCTGTGGTTCATTCTGTAAGTTGACACGTAGGGATCAAGTAACTTTCTGAAACCTCCTGCAGCGTTGTCAAATATCACAGGGGCTTCGTTTCTTCCAGCTGCTACGGCCTAAAAAAATAAAAGGTTGTGATAACTTCTATTGCGGCCAGTGCTGACATTGTACGACTATTATTTCTCCTATCGTCAGAAATGTCTTTGATAATTTGGTAAAATCCTTTTTTAAATGATGTTATAGCTAAAGCGAATCCTGTGTATAGACGGCCTGATAAAGGTCGTCGGGATTCGCTGGAGGTAAGATGCCTACGACCAGCCGATCTGGAAGTCATTGAGGAGTCTTATGTTCAACAGTGGACGCTTAGCTTGTGGCTGCTATGATCATGATGATGATATAATGATAATAAATTAGTTTCTAATAGTTTTATAGGGTAGGATCAAAAGATTATATCAACACACATACAATATAAGTACATAGACACTTAGGAAAAACTTACATCAAAAATAAATTCAGGATCAGGAGCTCTAATATCCACGTCTGGTGGAGCTAATGGTGATTTTTCCAGGCCCCTAAAATTGTCTTTCATTTCTGATATCATTAACGGTTGTGTTATATTTTTCGATTGTAACTGTAGAGTAGAATTATTAGGTATTATTAACTATTTATAAGAACGCTGATAAAAATAAAATACTATACCAAAGTCAAAACTCAATCAAATGACTTTGTTGTAAGCAGAACTGCTAAACCCAATTTTCTGATTAGATTTCTGGTGAGCGTCGCGTTTCGCGGAATGCTGTTCATGAATATGAGCCTCTAACATGGCGTGAAACTAGTTGAGTTCCTCGTCAAACAGTTACGTGAGTTAGCCGAAAACATAATAATTGTTCTACTAGAGTGTGATGGTTATCTTGATTGTTTGAAATCATGACGTAGTACGCACCCGTTTTTCAAGTCCAGTCATAAAGCAAACTCTTTTGCAGTTGATGGCGCAGTCAGATCGCTCCATAGCTTTATTAGGATTTGGCTTCACACAATATTCACCCGTTGTTGTTTTATATGATTCCTTTTCAACCACCATGTCACGGCCTGTGGCTCGTTTTGGAAGTGGGTCTTTGATTTTCTAAAAGAAAAAACATTTTTATCGTTGAATTTTGGGTCTATTTTTCAACATCTCCCACTGACCCCTTAACACCATGTACTGTTTAATCTATTTTATACATAACTACTTAAAAAAAGGACGTGTCTTCCAAAGCATGTCCTGTTGAGTTGAATTCATCAAACGGTAGGCGTATCTTTCGGAACCCAGAGTTTAAAAAAAAGAATTAACTCGTAAATGTCCGATTATGAAAAATCAACATTTTTTCATACAAAACCAGTCTCTGAACGTCGGAAATAAGGTCTATAATGAAGTTAGAGGAGAGCGGTGACCGGTGACCGGTTACTCCCATGTTCAGTCTTACAGAATGGAAATTAAATATCTTAAAGATTTTCACCAAGAAATTCACCGAAGCTGAATGAACGAAAGAATAATAATTTATTATAGCTTTGATATTACCCATCCCAAATTATTATTGTTGAGTGACGTAGAACATTCGAAACCAGATACTATTTAGAGATAAACTTTAAAAGAAATTATAACTACTTACACAATCCAAGCTTTGCGAAAGGGGTATGTGTCTAAGCCCAATACTTGTACCAGTCCTGGTCTCATTGCTGGAAAGTCGCAGAGGTATATTATATTGCACATTGCCCCAAGTATTAACATTCTGTATTAAAAGGTCGTTCAAAGCAAGCGGTTGATGAGGTTTAGGTTGCGCCATATTAACAAAATAATAAAATGAATAGCAAAATTAACTACTGAAATATAAATAAATAATAATTATAATAATTTGATCCGAGATGTTGCCTCATTGAAGCTGAAAATTGACATTGTTTTTTTTTTGTATTATCTGACAATAATTTACGCATTGGACCTCGTTGCTACAAATAAGGTTACACACTACACAAAACCGACTTCAAGATGAAGTAAAAATTATTTATTAATTTCATAATGAGCAGTGAATTCGTGAAAATATATTACGTAAAATGCCTAAATACGTCTTATCATCATCATGTCATAATATATCACGGCACAAGACGTCTACGTCTGAACCTGACTCCTCAATGCAAAGAGTGTAATAAATATCCTCAATTACTTTCAAAACACCAGGTTGTAAACGACATCATCTAATTAACATAACATAACATCGCGCCTTTTATCCCCGAAGGGGTAGGCAAAGGTGCACATTACGGCACTTAATGCCACTGTACAATGTAACACCCACTTTTCACTATAGCCTAATGCCGTATATCAGGCACAATTCCAGACTCCGTGCCACTACTGAGAATTTATTTACTACGTGAATAAAACTCTTTATATAATATCAATGAATTTATTTCAAAATCAATAACAATTGAACTAGATACAAATACAAACAAAAGATCACAATATCATGCGAGAGATACGTCGCTTAACCTTCTTCATAAAAAAGGGATTGTTGTCAAGATCATATCCGTAATACCCTACTTTACCCGGCTGTAAGTACATAGGCAGGAGTATGTCGTGTTGAGACAGCCAGTCTATCAAGTACTCCGTCAGTGCTCCTATATGCGGGGAATTCTCGAAACGTCTTTGCATGTCTAACTTTGAATTCATTGTTAATGTCTGTAAATATTAAAATTATATATTATAGTGGGTGATCACTGGTGGCTGTGGGTGTGCTAGTGGTAGGCCCTTTTAAGACTGCTCTGGCTATATTGGCTTTGAAACTGTGTATTAACGCATCGTTGATGGAATAGTCCCAAATAGAACAACTTAGTAATGCGATATTGTGATATTGTGCAGAATATTACCTAAATCCCAATGATTTAATTTTTTCTCAGTTATAATTTATGTTCCAAATAATCAGATCACACTTTATCAGGCTATATTCATATTGGTCCAGGGGGCTTACTCTTGGATCCAATTCCGCTTGATCGAAATTGGTATAGTGAAACTTCGTTGAGTTGCAACACTAGCGCCCATTGCATCCGTATTGCGTGGATATTGAAGAAAGTAAATGGTACCGAGTTTGGCTATATATTCCGTACTCTGAATGCTATTTTAACAGCTACGATAGGGGTATAGTTTTGACATTTAATAATTATTTAGATGAAGATTTTATTGGATTGAAATTGCATTGACATTGAGATTAGTTTCAAGAGTAAGCACCCTGCTCATCCTCATAGGGAGCAAATACCAACTAGTTCCTATAGTATGTTTTATGAAACAATTTATTTATTGAAATTTTACATAAGTGTGGCCTTAAATCTAAATTTTCATATAATTTTTTTTAATTAATATAGTTACCGGGCAGTCTCTGGTCAATTTTGCAGCAGCCTTACACAATGCTTCTTTAAGTGTAAGTCCGTCGGTTTTTTCCTGTAATATTTGATGAAATTAAGGTAAAAGATCTTCAAAGAATGTGAGCTACATAGCTTAGAAAGTTAGTTTCCGTGAAATAGTGATAAATCAACAACCCAAGACTACCTTTTTCTGGACTATAGCCATCCTCTAAATATGAGAATTCGGATAGAAGGTAACATAATAATTTTAACGCTTACTAGGCTCTTATAATCAAAGTTTTGAAGGCTACTTATTTATAGAAGAAGTCGGTAACGATCAGACGGATGACCTGATGGTAAGCAATGGGCGCCCCCTATTGACACTCGAAGCACCAGTGGCGGTACAAGTGCGTTACCGGCCTTTTGGGAATTAGGAATTTAAAGATTGGATAATGAAGGAAAATGGTAACTGGGCCTCCGGTAACCTCTTAAACAGGTATAGGTAAGTGCTCATAGGTTTCATCTATTAGTTATATAAGTCATTCGTTTTAAAGGATTTGAAACTGTCTGTAACTTATGTCCAAAAATTACATACCTTGGGGTACAACTGTTTGATCATAGAGAAGAGATCGTTAGTGTGGTCGTGGTACAAAAAGAACGCCCACGGCGATCGAAAGAATTCAAAGAAGTCATCCAATTTGTTTGCCTGATGGAAGATATTATTAAACTATTAAAATGTATAGTGATTTTAATACACTAGTCATGAAGTATGTAGGTAAATATGGAGCATTAAATTAGTTGTTACATTTTCTTCAATTGTGACTAATCAATGTAGATGATACGTAAAATTTTATTGAACTTGGTGAAACAATATAAATCAAAAACTTTAGGGGTCAAGAAGCATCGTTACGTATAGGTACTTACTTAATCCCACTGAACCAAAATAGAAAACTATGCAACATGCATTCTTTAGTCAATAGATCAATTTTATTTGAACTTTAATCATATAATTATCTCTGTGTGTTTCAATGCCACTTACCATGTACCTCAAGTGCATATTATTTAGCTCTGAAGCCGGTCGTCCATAAAGATATTTAAAGTTTTCTAACGAAAAATTTCCTTCACATAAGCAAGTAAGACCGTCAACAACTAATTCTTTGTTCAGGTGCACCTTGAAATAACCTGTTTTATAAGTCTCGAACACAAATCCCTGTAAGAAAATAATTGTATGACAGAATTATTATTCCAACCAAGAAAGCACTGACTGCCATTTTTCGCAATGCCTAGATGGCGACACTGTCGAGTAAGATCAGCTAGAAGTGGATGTCAACTCTTCACATCCTAATAGTATTTAAAACTAAATGCATAGGGATACCTACTGGTCAACTATAAACTGGTCTACAAAATGTGTACATTACACCTATACACGGAGACTGACATAATTTTTTATTTCATTTGTTTTTTTCTGCTCTTAACTTAACCCATTTTGTGTATCAAACAGTACATCTTTCAAACACACTATAATAATATGTACTTCACTAACAACACCATTTAAACAAAACAACATATTAAAATAATAGTTCTAACAATAATTACAGATACTAACATTATATCCTAATGATTGGACGTAATTGTGAGGCGTCTTCAAACCTGGCGAGCGGACTTCCAAGTATTTCAGCCCTCCGGGTAGGACGCAGTGCATGACCTTGGGTCTATTTAGTGTTAGCAACGACATCTCTGGTCTTGCATAATCACTTAAATGTAGACGTCCAGCGCATAGCCTAGGATAATTTCGATAGGTTATTTTTGAAATCAGGTCATAAACGGGTCGTTTGGTTTTTAGCAAGAACGACAGGTTAGGAAGAGTTTTAGTATCAATATAAATGATGTAGGTAATCTAGTCTTAGAAGTTTATTTAGGTTTAAGTTTTAGTTTATTGAAATGTTATGTATAAGTGATAAAAAATGGAGGTTTTTTTGCATAATAGCTATTTGTTATTATTATACCACATTTTTAATTAACTAGCTGAAACGACGAACTTCGTACCGCCTAATTCCTTTTTCTCACTTTTAAACCTTTCACAAACATTTAAGACCCAAATTAGCCAAATCAATCCAGCTGTTCTCGAGTTTTAGCGAGACTAACGAATGAAAATTTATTTTTATTATAATAGGTATATTACACAGATATTTATAAATATACTACTTACGACTGTATCGACATAGTAGAACCTCTAAGGCAGCTCATAAATTCTGCTTGGGCCCACCTATGTGTAAATGTTTCTTTTGCCTCCTCAAACACTGGGTCTAATTGCTTCCTTATTTGAATGCCCAACTATAACAAAAAAAATTAGACATGGACATTTGTGGATAAATGGATTTAATGTTTAATGTACATATGTATAAGTAACCTTATCAGTCTAACGGCCAAAATTATTATCCAGTGCTATCCAAAATTTTTATTACAAGTTTTAGGTATGTATATTTTTTACGTCACGTTTTTTTTAGCGTCAAACAGCATTATTATATTTATTTCTTAAAAAATTACTATATAAATACTAAAATTAAGTTAGTCATAAAATCGATTAATGAAGGTGTGATTATTTTTTATTATTTTACTAGCTGTTCCCCGCGACTTCATCCGTGTATAATAATGACTTCTGGCAAATTTAGAATTTTTTAACTGACTACAAGAAAGGAGGAGGTTCTCAATTCGATCGTATATATGCTTTTTTTATGTTTGTTCGCCGATATCTCCGTTATTTATGAACCAAAAACCGATTACAATTGGATTAGAAAGAGTGCGTAGAGATTTAGGATTGAGATCGACACTCGACGACGTTCGAATGAATTATAAACCGATCCCAATATAACTTTATTTATTTAAAAATACATTTAAATTAATAATAATGTAACTGACCTTTTCTCCAATTTCTGTGCTGTCGTAATACTTATGGCTTTGTGCATCAGCGTAGTAACGTTTATGGTACCTCGTGCAAGGACCCGCGGCAAACACGTAAGGGTCTAATGTGCGGCACTCATAATCTATTACTACGCCTCCATCGTAAGCTAATCCACTCTTGTGAATGGCTAGAAGAAAATATTATAAAAGAATTTGAGTCTACAAAGAAAATAACTAGGTAATAAGACTTAATAGCGACAGAGGATTCTGTGGATAGATTATAATACCTCTATATTCTATATACAACTAGTGGTTACAAGGTTTCAATCAAATCGGTTGAACATTTTGTTGATTACAGAGCTAAGGATTGTGTACTCCAGAAAAATGTAAACTAAGCTTTTTATCAAAATTTAAAATCTATCTATCATAATTAGGACAAAATATTGAATTCCATACAATCAATAAAGAAAACACTTCTTGGGTTTTAACATGAACCTTTCAGCAGAAGCCGATATGTTCCTTATATTTAAGCAGTATAAAGATCCAAACCTGTTTTGTAGAAGTAAATATGCTATTTACCAATAAACGCTCTCATATTAACTCCAATTCTTCCATAATAGAACAACGCACTGCACTCCAAGTTCAAGTAATCAGCGTAAGACAAGAAATCTGCATGCGTAATAACGTTTTCAACTGTTACAGACCACGATTTAAAGTAATAAGATCGATAGACTTTTATCTTTAAACGATCCAAAACACTGATTACTGTTTGGTCCACCTAAGTAAAAAATTATAAAGTTAAAAGTCTTCCGGACATTCTGTTGTGGGGGAATAGTGATAAATTACATAAGATATGAAAGAAATTGGAGTTGTAAACTAGACGGACATATACTGACCAGATTGGGGATATTAAAGAAGGATCAAATTAAAAGTACCCTTAACCGATGAGCATGCATGAAAAGATTGATGAATGATGACCGTTAATGAAGCGAAATAGGAATAGGAAGTAGAAATCGTATCAATTGGCATTCCGGCATAAAGTTATGTTTGTATGGAGTTGTATAGTCGTCTGATAGAGGAGAATGATAAAAAGTGTCATGTGGAAGCAACTCATAGTAATTTAATAGGTAATAGTTATAGTTTATAATAATAAAGAAATTGGTGGAAAAGTCAATAATTTATGACCACACTTTAGGTTTGTAGGTAGGTATACAAAAATCTCGTTGCACACTGATTTTTTATTCAAAATAAGGCAACATGTTTGACTTACTGTTACATTATCAAAAACAGGTACTCTTGTCTTCTCAGGATGCTCTGGAGGGAAAGGCTCTATGAATATTATATTTTGTGGACGAATTTTGACATCCACAAGTGCATTGACACATAAGTACGCGTGGATTGTAGACCCATATACTATTATGTTCTCTATAAAAATACGATATGATAAGAACATTATTGTAATACACGGTTAGATTTTTAATAATCACCTAGTATCATTGTAGTAGTGACAAAACAAATGTAAGAGATCAATATCACTTTACATTTATCAGGAATCGATTCTTAAAAACTTTAATATAATACTTACTAGAATAGTCATCGGCAAATTTTTTGACGTAATCCAAAGCTTTATTCGCTTCACCAACGGAGTTGATTATAAACACATTTTCTGGCGTCTCATCATTGGCTATTTGGATCTCTGTGTCACTAAACCTCGGTTTATCCAGAGTTATGTACGGTGTTGTAACCAAATTATGTCTGTGTACATATAAAATAGGTTATTCTAAGATCAAGCATTTACTAACAAGTTTATATTTTTTGTTGGCAAGCCCGCTTCCACCGGCACGAGTATCAGACTCAACCGGAGTGATACTACAGCCAAAAGCTTGAAACAATGCTTTCGTTGTCTGTCGCCGTGTGAGTGAGGTTACTTGCGACACAACACTCTTCGACAATGCAGTTAACCCATCTAATGTTGCAGTCGGCGAAACAGATTACTTTTCTGTTGACTTATAAATCTCTGAAAATATATTTTAAACTAGCTGACCGGCAAACTTTGTACCGCTTTAAAAACAATTTTCTATTAAATCTTCCCTGGACTTCATCGAACATTTGAAGACCAAAATTAGCCAAATCGATTCAGCTGTTCTCGATTTTTAGCGAGACTAACGAATGAAAATTAATTTTTATTTATATAGGTATATAGATAAAATTTTATCCTTACTTGTATTCCATATCTCGTTGTATCAACTGCACCATATGATCAGGATGCTGGTACTGTTTACCAAAGAACAAAAACAGAAGATCGTAATAATAACAATTGCCACTTGTCAATGTGATAAATTTTTCTTGTCTGCAATTGTGCAAAACATATTGTGTAATTAATAAATTATCTGTTTCTGTGATATGTGTAGTAATATTTTCTCTGGCTGGAGTCAACCAACTTCATAATTCAGTCGAATTTGAAAGAAAAGGTCAGGATAAGAATGGCAATGGATCCCAAGACATAGAAGAAATTCCTCATTAATTGTTGCTTTCACTTTGGAAATAATTTCATTTCACTGGCAATTACTGTCGGCCCATCAAATATAAAAAACCTAACTATGCTATTAAAAAGTGTGGGAGAGCCATGCTTCGGCACGAATGGGCCGGCTCGACCGGAGTGATACCACAGCCTCACATAAAACCGATGTGAAGCAACGCTTGCGTTGTGTTTTGTCGTGTGAGTGAGGTTACCGGAGACCCAATTAGGCCTCCCCTTCCCCAATTCCGGAATCCCCAACGAACCTCATACTCCTAATCCCCAAAAGGCCGGTAACGCACTTGTAACGCCTCTGGTGTTCCAGGTGTCCATGGGCGACGCCGATTGCTTACCATAAGGTCCAGACGGATCACCGTCTGGTCGTTTACCGTTAAAAAAATTAAAAGGCTTACAAATCGATTTCCATCAAAGTTCCTTGAACGACGTTCACGTAGTAGGAGTAGGGAACACACTTCAGGTTCTTATCGGTAGTGACATAGGATCGAAGAAACATAGACTCGGCTGCCGGTTTTGAATGCCTTGTATATGGTAAACCATTCGGTGATATTACAGTCACATTGTTAAATGTTAGATATGCGGCTGTTTTACTGGAAAAGACAAGAGTGAAAAGGAATATTATTCCTTATTTTTAGAGTAAGCCTTAGAGTGACAATGGAGTGTTCTTGCTCTTCTTCATACGCATTTATATTTTGGAACGACTCAGACAGACGGGTGGATAATTTTATTTAGTCATTTTAAAAACACCTGTAGATACGTGGTTAATCGAAACAAATGCATTGTATTTTACTTTTACTTTAGGAAAATGTTGAAGAACTGCAAGACAGTGGTCCTAAAGAATAACTTTGGTAATGCAGTTTTTAGGAACATGATTAATAAATACATGAGAACCATATTTATCAAAGTTGAAATCTAGTCAAAGGGGTTATTACTGGGTTTTTTTAATTCTTAGTAGTAGTACGGAGTCTGGAATTGTGTCCGATAAATGGCAATAGGCTCACCTCTTCACATGGGACTCATAATATAAATACTGAAAAGTAGGTGTAACATTGTACAGTGCCGTAATTTTGCACCTCTGCCTTCGAAGGTCTTCGGGGATAAAAGCGTGATGTTATGTAAATCTAGTCAAAGGGTCTGATAAATTAGGTACCTACAAGCAATATTTAAATAACATACCTAAAGAGTAAGCCGTTTAAGAACCCCAATCCAGTAGCAGCAGCCCCAATGACTACAATGCGGGTGTTCACGTCCGCTTTGGGTATTGTTGTAAACTTTCTTCCAATGAACCAACTACTGAATGGAATTCTGTAAACATTGATATATCAAGCAAATAGCTTCACTAGAGGACTGACCTACAGACTGTCATTTTTTCTTATTATTTAATATTTAAACATTTGGTTTTGACGTTCAAAATCCTGGTCTAATTGAAATAAATGATTTTGACTTTGACTTACTTTACTTACTTACTTACTTTACTAACTAATATAACGGTGAGTGCAAAAAATTTAAAGATACCAATACTTCTTTCAATATTACATCTCATCTCTTTGCTTGTAGAGAAATAGAATTAGAAGATTTTCAACCGAAGTTAATAGGCGATCTTAATCTAGTTAGGAACTTCTTGTACCTAAAACTCATTGAAATCCTTGGAAGGTAAGCAGTTCCTTAGTATAGTTTTTATGAAGCAAGCATAAACATACGCACGTTTTTTCAGTGAAAGCACTTAGATTTTTAAGTTCTGGAACAGCATCGCAGTCAATCTCCACAGATCTTGGTGTTAACGGTACCATTGAAGCTACTATAGAGTTGGCTTTATGTATGGTCTATAGAATAGGAAAGAAATTACTTCGATACAGACCTAAATTACCTACAACTTAAATTGATATTTCATTCAAAGCACAACTCTAAATTAAGTAGGAGAGGGTGTAAACTATTAATTTTTGATACCCTATCTAAAAGACCCACTACTTATTTTTAGGGCTTCTACACAAAACTGTGATGTGACGTCGCATCGCAAAAATGTGCGAGCTCCCTCTAGGCATCGTAAGAACTTGCGAATTGATTAGCATCGCGCATCGAAAAGTTTATCTTCCCAAAATCTTCTTTGATTCTTTTTCCTGTATCTCCTAAGCAATAACAGAAGTGCACACTTCTTTTTACGATCCATGTCACAACCTAGTTTTCAATTTAATATACGTTTAGTACGGTTGACAGTCGTCGAAGGAATGGTCACCCTGGGAGACGCCTTGTCGCACGAAATCGCATCGCAGCAATTCGCATCGTAAGTTTTTGCGTTGCGAATTCGCATTGCATCGTATCGCAGTTTTGTGTACGAGCCCTTAACCCTAACATATTGCGAGTATCAAAAACATATTTGTTTATTACATAGTTTAAAATATTACCCATTTATTTCTATAAGCCGTAAGCCACAGAAGAGAACTGTTTCCCGAAAGCCTCATCATTTCTCTAGCAAAAAACCGATAATGTGGCTCAAACACTGGGTATACTATAGTGCATTTAACTGTCGCGAATCCAGCATGTATGCCATTCCCCGAATAATGGTATTTGTGTATTTGATACGAATCCAGGTTGTATCTTCCTCGTATAAAGTATATTTGATCTGCTGACCTAAAGAAAATTGATATTTTATGAGGAGTAAATAATAAAATTATACACCCAAAAGGGCTAGATCTCGTTAAATCATATTTTCGGACATTACGGTAACTTTTTTCTGACTGTTTGCTTAAATCAAAAGCGTTGTAAGAGCCATACTTTTTTTTTTTTTTTAAGAGGGGAAAATCATCGAATGACTGCTCCCGCCTGGGTGAGGCGGAAGGGAGTGTCAGACTCTTACTGACTAAAAACCACCCCGTTCCTTCTCCTGCACGTCGAGCCGGAGCCCCGGTTACCCGTTAGGTTCTCCGCGACTCCGAATCGGCATCGGCCCTATTGGGCCCCATCTGTGGTGGTCTGATGGCTCTTTGAGGCGCGCGCGGAACGCGACGCGCCGTACGCTCGGGTCTGTTTCTGGTCGGACGGGGAGCCACCCATGCTCGCCGTCCGCAGGCCCGCGCTTACGGTGGCCGGAGATCGTCCCGCGATCCCCGACGCCCGGTGTGTCCTTCGCGATGGCTGGGTTGCGAGGAGGCAGCGCTTCGCTGCCTCACGCGTCCCGCCTCCTCCTTAGCCAGCATGACTGCTTCGCAAAAGGAGGAGACGGCATCCCAGTCCCCCTCGCTCCGCATCATGGCCTGCACTAGGCCCGGACGCGAGAGGTCTCCATCGCCGATCACTTCCCTGAGGGCACGGCGGTGCTCAGCCCACGCAGGGCATTCCGCAACAGTGTGTTCCACCGTGTCCTCAGGGTGGTCCTCGCAGTGATGACACCCGGGCGTTTCCTCCCGCCCCATCAGACACAGGTACCTCCCGAAACTTCCATGTCCGGTGAGGACCTGCGTCAGGCGGTAGGTGAGGACGCCGTAGCGTCTCTCAAGCCACTCCTCAAAGAGGGGACTTACCGCTGCAATGGCAGCGAGCCCAAAGAGCCATACTTTGGCATGAATAATTGAATAATCTGGTTGCTCGGAGTAACCACGGCCTTACAGAAAAAGAAAACTGACGTGAAACAAAAACAACGCTTGCGTTTTTCTTGTAGCGTGAATAAGGTTCGCCACCTCGTTAAAATACTGGCCACGTACATGTAACTCTGATGGTATCACAGGTGTCTTCTATGGACAACGCTGATAACATACCATCAGATGACTCGTCTCTCGTTTGCCTCCATAGACCAAGACCAAATTAAGACTAAATTTTACGTACTGTAATATTCCCAAGCCAACAATATGCATTCCAGTGGTGAAAATGTATGCAAGATTCTCTTTTTCTTTTATAGTATGTTCGATATATGTTATAGTGTCCTTTGCTTCCGTATTTGATATGAGCTTTGCTATCTCAGGAATGTCGATAATCTCCGCTTCACGCACCCGCAATTTCCTATATATGACTATTGTTTTTTAAAGTGAATTGACCGATGAAATATGCTTTAAGAAAATACACTAGGGAGTACAGAAACTGTTTTATTTCCATTTTATTAAACCCGCACCCGCTATATCCTAAAAAATTTTTTGTTTACAACAAAGTGCTCTCATTTCTAAGGTAAGATTAACTAAATTTCCCTTTATACGACATAATATGTTACCAATAGAATAGAATAAACTTTATTGTACACCAATAATAATATAGTACATACAGAATAGGAAATGACAAACATAAATAAAAAATAATAATGGGCAGAAAGGCCATCTTATCACTTATAGTGATTTCTACCAGACAATCTTTGGGTGGATACAATGAAAAGAAATATTTAGATTATAATAAGAAGAATATTTATTAAGAAATGAAAAAGAGAAAACGATAGTGAGTCCGTTTCTTTGCTCCAAATTGTATGTAGAATAATTAAAATGATCAGTAAACCAATCTACAAAATAATATACTACGTAGTTACTTTGCATGGCAATATAAAGTAAGGCAAAATATTCTATTAGGTACGAACGTGAGCATAACAGGTGAAAAGTAGATGTAAACTATGAAACTAAAGAATTGGATACTTACCTGCCTTACATCAAAAACAAATTATATCGACAGTTCAATAAAATAAAATATTAAAAAATAATCACACTTTTATTAATTGATTTTATAACCAACTTAATTTTAGTATTTTACCAGCAAATTTTTAAGAAATAAGTATACAATTTGACGCCAAAAAACGTGAGGTCACAATACACAATCTCGTACAAAATTCATATAGAACTGTCGATTTTGACAGTTCGAAAAAAAGTATTGAATTTGACTAGTTGAAGTACCCAATTGTATTGTGAACCTGATTGAAAAAGAGTAACCTATGGAGTTTCTTGCTCGTTCTTCTCCATAGGAATCTACACCTTGGAATAAGGAAATAGCTTCACTTTTAATTTTTTGTTGACGTTCAAAAGTGCCTTTCTGGTCTAATTGAAATAAATGATTTTGACTTTGACTTACGTTAATCTGTGGCTCTATTTTATCTATGTTATCAACTTAATTCTACTTATTATTAGATAAAGTCACGTGTACAAAAAATAACGTACAGAAATAAGTATAATTCTTCACCTACCCTAAAACTGAGCTTCTGTGTGCAATGTACAGCGAATATCTGCAGCAAACTTTCGGTTTTGTTGGCACGAACTGCAAATAATGTTCGATTAGCAATTAAATAGTAGGTAAAATTATCTATAGGCTAGTAGACAGTGTATGAAAATTAAAAATGTAATTAGTCCGTCAGTTAGATAATGATCAAATATTAGACACATATTTTATTTTTATTTTGTCGTCTAAGAAAACAATACTTAGATAAAACGGAGTTAAGTTTACAAGTGGGAGGTCGTTACGGCACTATACCCTATAAAATGTAGTAAATTGTGACGTCACACGATATTAAATTTTGTAAGAAATGAATAACACGTGTCTAATATTCTAAAATAATCTACCAGATGGACAGTAAAAAGAAATGTAGTCTACTACCCTATTGGTTAGGTTCATTGTACTATAAAGAAGCGATGAAATAAAAAGGAGTTTCAAGAATGTAGGTACATAGCTGTATTATAGCTTACACAAAAGTGTTGTAACAAGGGAAAGGTCTTGTCAGCCGAAGGTACGCGAATGATGCAGTAATCCAAATGTTTCATTAGTTCAAAAGCAGCTTCTAACAGGTCGTAAGATTGCCTGGAATATTATTATAATTATTTAGTAGATATTATACAGACTGGAAGGGGTTTCGGGTTCGATTCCCGGGTCGAGCAAAGTATTACTGGGTGTTTTTAAGAAATTATCAGTAGAAGCAAGAAATCTGGAATCGTGCCCGATGTATGGCAATAGGCTCACCCCCTATTACATGGGGCTCATAACATAAATAGTGAAAAGTGGGTGTTACATCGTACAATGGCATTAAGTGCCGTAATGTGCACCTCTGCCTACCCCATCGGGGATACGGGCGTGATGTTATAATACAGACCTAATTTCTGCTTGTACCATCTTAACTGCCAAACCGATGGGCCGAATGTAATATGTGTCAATAGTCTTTGACGGGTATCTTTGGAGATGACCTTAAAAGTGGAACTCAACTGACCTCGCATCAATATCATCAGACATCGCAAACAGTTCTATTACAAAAGCATTCTTTGTTCCTTGATACGTCGTAAAATCCTCGTCATCTAATGTCATAAATTTCTTTTTTGGTTTCATAACTGTAATTTTAGATTCATCGCTTAAAGATTTAAGGTGAGGTCAAACTGATGAAGAAAACCTTGTAAAAGTTAAAATTAAAGAAGTTAAAGTATATTTGCTACTACTGCGCTGTTTTCCTGCTCTGCTTAACCACTATTGACAATAAAGTCATTTTTATAACCTATAGCCTTTTTTTAGAGGGGGGAAAATCATCCAATAGATTCTCCCTCCCGGGTGAGGCAAGAGGGAGTGTCAGACTCTTACTGACTAAAAACCACCCTGTTCCTACTCCTGCACTTCGAGCTGGAGCCTCGGCAACCCAGTTAAGTCCTTCGCGGCTATAACCTATAATCTCCCTCGATAAATAGACTATTCAACACAAAAATATTTTTTCAAATCGGACCCGCATGTATTGAGATTAGCCCTTTCAAACAAACAAAATTCAACTCTAAATAATAAAGTATATAAAATCTACCTTTCTCTAAATACAAGGAACTAATGGAGTTACTAAACATCTGCTGCTTAATTAACAATGATTCTCCCACAAATCTCCGTTTTGTTTTCAAGGATGGACGGGCCCTGGATCAAAATTAAAATAAGAGTCGATTAAGGAACTATACCACACCTAGTTTCACTAACAAGGATGTTTAATCAAGGATTAATGGAAATAAATGCTTTAATTTTGACTTTGATCGCATTTATCAGAGAGAATTGGCTAGTTTCCTAAATTTTATTTGAATGTCCGTCTAGTAGATTATTTTAAAACATTAGACACGTATTTTTTCTTTTCTCACAAAATTAAATGTTTTCGACGATATATTGATTTGAAATGTCGTATGACGTCACAGCGTGCAACAAAATGTAGCACGTTGTGACGTAACGACCTCCCACTCCTAAACATAACTCCATTTTATCTAAGTATTGTAACTATAAACGAGCAAATTAAAAAAATACGTGGCTAATATTTTTTCATTATCTAACTGACGGACTAATTAGATTTTTAATTTTCTTACCCTGGAAACTACCCAATTGTCGTCGGCAGTATTTCCGAATCGATAAGACCTTCAAACCGTCAAGAAAAGAGCGTATTCCTTTTTAAAAAGACCGGCAACGCACCTATGACTCCTCTAGTGTTGCGAGTGTGTCCATGGGCGGCGCTGATCGCTTATCATCAGGTGATTCGTCTGCTCCTTGATTAGGCATTCTTCTTCATAAGAGTTTACATTATATTAATATAATACTAATAATGACTCTTAAGAAGAAGAGGGCTAGTGTTTCAGTGGACTGTAACAAGCTGTCTATGATGATAAGCGTTTGCTTGACATCTTTTTGACATCCGATACGACCTTCAAGCCTTCAAGAAAAGAGCGTCTTCCTTTTAAAAGGCCGGCAACGCTCCTATGGCTCCTCTGGTGCTACGGGTGTCCATGGGCGGCGCTGATCGCTTACCATCAGGTGATCGGTCTGCTCGTTTGCCTAGGTACTATTCCAAAAAAAATCTGAGGCACACTCTCACCTATGAGGCACTATTTGCCGCCACAAAGCTTTAAAATTTTAGCTGCTCCCTACACGTGACGTGAAGAAGTACGACATCATTCCATTGACTAAGTATCTTTATGTAAGTTTAATGTTTCATCAAAACAACTCACATTTCAAACGATTTTCCTTCAGTTACATTGAACAGTGTGGTGTCAATGTTCACAATATCATAGTCAAAGGGATCTTCCTCTAGCATGTCCACTACAGAGGCACAAATAGATGGTACTACGGGAGACCCTGGCAATATTTTTTCTCCTGCTTCTTCTGAATCAGACTTTTCAAATGTCTTTAGTAATTCTTGCCCGATAATAATTTTAGGTACATCCTTTTTTGGCCTCATTGTATCTCCCTGTGCCTTTAAGTATGGCAATTTTTATTGATTATTGTAATTGTTCTTAATACAGGACATTCTCAATTATTAAGTTGATACTTACTTCTGTTTGACTGTCGTCTTTTACTGTAGAAGGACGCTGAAATGGGTTCCACTGACCGCACAAGATTGGGTCACTAAAATATTGTAACACAAAAATTACACTTACTTTATTCAGTTTTGGATACGAAATTGTATTGCTTACTTTATACAAGGTGTAGTTTTAAAACCGTGGCATTTCTCGGGGCATGTCACAGAAGTCATAGAGGTTCAATGTGAGAGAAAGTTTCGGGCCAATAGTTAAAAATTACGGCTACAATAAATCGTTTAAGTTGGACAGTATTTCAGAATAAGCAACAGCAATGTTTCTTATTGGAGTTTTATGGAATTAGGAATAATATCAATTACGTGTTTGAGTTTGTGTGTGTTAAGCCGCGTTGTAAAACTAGTTACAAGACGGCGGCTTGTAGTTCGCACTTACGGATTTCCGTAATTTACAGATAAATGAAAAATATTTACCTACAATTTTTTTTATTGATTCGATCCTAGAATCGTTATCCGAGTTACCTCCTAAAAAATGACGCGGCTTTAAAACAACACCTTGTATAGATGTAGATGTTACCCAAAATCAGTGAGCAAAGTATTTTTCCTCTTATTCTGTTCCTTTTCAAAAGCAGTGGCACTCTGCAGGCCATGAAACGGCTTTAATTCGTACGAACTCTGCAGCTTCTTATAGTTTATGTCTGTGTTCAAACACATCACTGCGACGGCACGACCTTGGATCTGAAATCTCATTACGTCATATTTTGTTGTTTTTTTTTCATGGCATAAGCCGGTAAACGAGCAGATGGATCACCTGATGGTAAGCAATCGGCGTCGCCCATGGACACCTGGAACACAAGAAGCGTTACAAGTACCTCTAGTGTTTCGGGTGTCTATGGGCAGTAGCGATTGCTTATTATCTGATAGCTGATCCGTCTGCTCGTTTACAGCAACCGCTTTTAACACATTCAACTGGTAAAACACAGGTAAATAACTATAGAGCTTCTGGAGAACAAAATCTACCTAAGCAAGTAGGTTACCTTATTACTTTTGTAATCAAAAGCATTAATTAAGTAATTTGTAAGCTTACATCAGCAACAATAATTTTTCTATTAAATTCGGGATGGCGGCCAATAATTTCGCTGATATAATATTCGCCATAAAGGTCCTTTAGACGTGGACACTTCTTGTCTAGTATTTCGACAATGTCATCATTATCTTCCTCCCTACAAGAAACAAATATATTTTGAAAAAGTAAGGCTATGTAGTTTAAGATCCATTGACTAATAGAATATTAATTGCTAATGTGAAATCCTTAGGCACTTGCCATATCTGATGAGTGCAAATCATCAACGAAAATTGGTACAACATAATTACTGCAGGAAGCCTTTCCCATATCCGCTCGTCAAATTCTCATTCGCATTTTTCCAGGCATAATTAACAACCCCATAAGTCATAACCGAGGTTTTATGGTGTATTTGAAGTTGGTTTTTATCATAATTACTAGCTTTTACCCGCGGCTTTGTCCGCGTATTCCTGTTTTATCCCATGGGAGCATTTAATCGGGATAAAAAGTCCTCCTATATCATATATTATATACCAATTTACTAATTTCCTATATATACCTCCTATATATACCAATTTCATCAAAATCCGTTCAGTAGTTTCAGTATGATTGACGAACAAACATCTAAACAAAGAAACTTTCACATTCATAATAATAGATCAGGACACGTGGACGTTTCACAATAATTTATTATGCAAGTTGTAGATAAATAAAGTTGAAAATAATATAGGTTACCAGTTCCAGTTTGTGAAGGCGTAACTTATAAACAAAGTGATAATTTTTTTAAGGAGGAAAAGTCATCTTATGGCTGCTCCCGCCTGGGTGAGGCGGGAGCGAGTGTCGGACTCTTACTGACTCAAAACCACCCCGTTCCTTATCCTGCGCTTCGAGCCGGAGTCCCGGTAACTAAGTTCTCCGCGACAAAGTGATCATTTAGATGTTAAGACTAAGGTAGATTATAATAACTTACACGGCTCGTCGCATCTTCAACTTCGGACAGAAATCGTTTCTTAATGCCGTATATAAATAGTTACCAGCTCCACCTTCCTTAACCTTTGGTAAGTATTTTATAATATTACGTTTCCTAAACGTTGCAAATCTTGAAATGAGTTCTGCAAAAATGGAATTATGAGTTTAATTCACCACTCCTTACGGTTACTACCTACTAGCTGTTGCCCGCGACTTCACCCGCATAAAATATAAAAAGCTGTTTTATCCTATGAGAGCATTTAAGCGGAATAAAAAGTATCATATCACCTAAATCAGCCTATAGCCTGCCTGTATACAAATTTCATCAAAATCCGTTCAGTAGTTTCAGCGTGTTTGACGGACATACGGACAAACATCCAAACAATCAAATTTATAATATTATTAGTGTGATAAGTTAATAAATAAAAGCAGGTAACAATTATTTCAGTTCTTACCATCTGGACAAAGTACAGGCACAACCAGCACAATGTACTGTATGTAGCTGTCGTTTAGAAATACTGATATCAATGCTTCCTCTACAAAAAATTCAGCCACGGAGTCAGCGCAGCACATGAAATGTATGAAAAGCGTGTTCCTTGATAGGTAGTATCTCCTGCAAAATTTGATATTTTACTGTGTCAATGAAAACAGAGGGCCAAGCACGAATAACTATCGCATAACGTAATAGTATCGAGTGCGTTCGGCGCTCTGATTGGCCGGCTCAAGTGAACCAACCAATCAGGACGCTTAACTCGCTCGATACTGTTACGATACGAATGCGATAGTTATTCGTGCTTGGCCCTCAGGACTTTAAATTTGGAAGACAAGGTTTAATTTTTACCAACCGGTATAAATTCCTGATCCAATTTTCCCAATCACTTGGGTCTAACCCAGGTACATTGGGATAGTCAGAGAGTGCCATGAATCCGACCACTTCTTTGTTTTCATCCACCATACATATTGATAGGGCTGAAAGTTCTCTGAAAGTGAAGTAAGTAAACGAAAAAAGTAAAAAAGTAAAATTCTCAAAATAAAACTATCCCGCGCTAATTTTTTTTGTGTGCATTTACAAACCCATAATTTTACATTACACCCCAAACCTAGAACATTTCTATTTAGTTTTGAGGATCATATAAAGATTATAGTTCTTTGCAAGATTCAAACTTACGATACGATCAGCAGCAGCCCGCTGTACCGAGCGTAGTCTGATAGTCCACTATTTGTTTTAAGGTGAACGCACACCGAACACGTCGAACGCGTAGAACCAACAAACGACTTTTAGAATTCTGTACATGATATCTCATGAAACCTCGTACAATTTGGATTCGGACGAATCGACGGTGGGAAGTGTGTGTTCTATTTAACAGTCAGTTCCATGATACTCCCTCTCGCCTCACCCAAGGCGGGAGCCATTGGATGACTTTCCCACTTAAAAAAGCCTACTAAGCAAAGCGTTCCAACATTGTTTATCTTGTACAGAAGCACTATTTTTATGAATTGTCAGTATGCATGTGAGCACCATGTTAGACAATAAGATTTTGTTTTTTTTATTTTAGTAAGTTTCGTAATTTGTATAATACGTCATGCGTCATTGCATTGTTCTCACATACACGTACGGTACTGGAATATGTATCAGACACATTGTAGAACATACTTTTTAAAAAGAATGGTGTTTCTTGCCCGTTCTTCTCTATTCGAATCTACATTTTGGAATGAGCACCTAGCTTCACCTAGCTTCACTGACGGACTGACTGACAGACTATTATTTATTTTGTATTTGTTGACGTTTCAAAAGTGCCAAATTATGGTTTAATTGAAATCAATGCTTTGACTTTGTTTGCCCAAATCGAACTAAAATTAATAGCGACACTTACATCAACGACCCAATATCATCATGGTGGAAAAGATTTTTAGTGTGTTCACGGTTCCAAATTAAGTTAATATCATGCTTATCGGTCTCCACAGCCCTTCTGAACATCCGACCCTTAAACCCCACGTCATAATCGAAGTATATTGACATATTATTTTATATTTCTAAGACTATTCTATATGTACGAGGAATAGGGGTTTTGAAGTTAATATTATGTCACAGTTAATTCACACGGGTAATCTTGTAGGTCATGAGAAAAAGTCGTTTATCGTTTTAAACTATGCAAATATATTACAACCATAATTTACATTTTTAAAATTATTAATAATTATACATTAGTTAAATAAGCGACGCATATTAATTAGTAATAATTTTATATTAATGTTAGCATGAGAAATGGCCTTTTTGCAAACCCATCATGAAATACTGATCAAAATTAAGTACACTGTCTTGGTGTGCGAACCTCCTTGATGACCTTTTAAAAAAATTAAAGCTGCCAGTCATGTTAACATGTTTCACGCAGTTCCTACATACGCAAAATACTTAATTATATCAATGTTCGATGTCCTGTTCATAAGAATTATCAAGAAATATTGTCTAACAAAATGTGCCAAGTGTTAGTAAAAGACTAAAACTACTCTAAAACAACATTATTTCAATTGAAGACAAAACTAAAATAACTCTTGTAAGAACTGAAAGTAACTTATAAAACTATCAATTAAAATACTATCTATCAATCACATCTATAAACATAATCAACTCCTTCAAATTGAATGTGAATCAGCACATAATTATAAGAGATTCAAATATACAAGGATATAAAGAAAACATTATTATTATTAACGTGAAAACTAGCAATACGTCATAAAACTTGAGTCAAACCATGAACAACACACAATAATAAAAATTGTATTAAAAATCTGGATAAATTTATAATTACAAGTGAAAATCATGGCCACTATTGTAAGGCACAATGCATACACCTTGATATAAATGCGAAAAAATAATAAAATATTTAAAAAAACAAACCAAACATTTACATCAAGATCTAAATAATGTACTCAGTCTAAGGTGCTTAGATAAGAGGCGGGAGATTTTTCGCCCGTACTAAATGCGAGTGGGATTTAGACCTGCTAACGTTGTTGGGGGTAGTTTTGACCGTTAAACTAGCGACTGTGTTCTGTCTTTGAAGGTTGACTTTGTTTGCGCTGAGAGGAGCTCGGGGAGTTGCGAAGCCATCGTTGTTAAGCTTGAGGGCAGACCTGGTGAGTCTAGTCGGCGTGTACAATAGATTACTCTTAGGAGTAGCTGCGTTCACATGTTGTATATTCTCCTTTCCTACTTTAGGCGTCAAAGGAGTTTTCACTCGAGGAGTTTTTTTAGGGGTGCCATTTCTTTCGTCGATCGTGTGGTAGACGATAGTTGGTAGGATAGGCTCGTTCGGTCTCTGGTTCGCCATTGAACTGCGGCTGATCTGCTTTTCGTTGATTCCGTCCTGTAACACGAAGACAGAAATTTAGAGTAACATCTTAACAAGAGATATATGTTTTAGACTTTTAGTTCAGCCAGTTTTAAGTTCAGAGGCTTCGTTGCCAAATAAATGATAATGCAGGTAAAGTTCATTGTGCTAATACTGACCTTAAAGTCTGTATAAGTAGTGAGGAGTGTGGTTTCCATGAGAGGATCCTTGTTGGCGACCCTGTCCTCCTCCTGTGAGCCAGTCGAGCGCGTCGCGTTGATCGAACGGCGACTGGAGCTGTGACGCTTACCGTGCGACTGCATAGATAAAAAGACACCAATTATTTTTAATTTGAGAATCAAGTACCAGTTTGTATTACAGACATACCTTATCTTATTAAATTTACGATTACTTGAACGAATTTAGAAAAAGAGGGGCTCCGGCTCGAAGAGCAGGAGTAGGAATGGGGTGGTTTTAATGAGTAAGAGTCTGGCAGTGTCAGGCTAACACCCCTTCTCGCCTAACCCAAGGCGGGAGAAGTCATTGGATGATTCCCCCCCCCCCCTCAAAAATACACCTTTCAACTATACTCCGTCTGTTTAGGTAGTTAACTATTTGTAAACAAACCATAGTTCTTTTTGGTTGACATTTCCATGATTCAAAATACTTCATAAGAAAATAAAATTGTTTCCATTTTTACGACAGTTTTCTCAATTAAATGTTGTGTTTCTGTTCCTTTTCACGTATTTATTAGTAAATATTATATATATCTGCTTGAGCATAATAATTTAATAACATTTATTAAATAATATAATATTTCATTACAATAGACACCATAAAGAGCCTAAAATCCCAGGTATCCAAAACCATTCTTTAAGAACGAAGCATTAGATAATGTTGTCAAATTAAAGAGTACAACTAAGACACAATGCGCGACAATGAATGTAGCGTGTATTACGTTTAGTCGGTTAATCAGGCGCCATTGACAGCTCTCTCGTCGTTTGCGCTCGCGTTCCTATTTTGTTGAATTTATCTTGTTTCTTTGTTTTGTTTTTGTTATTAAGTTATTTAAGTTTAGGTTATTCGTCGTTTGTAATTAATGTGTTCAAATATATTGAAGAAACTTGGCCCAAAGACACATATCCGTACAAGAAAGAAATCCGTTCATCAGATTCAGAATAGTTTCTATTTAAACATGATAATGAATAGGCATTTGTGCTAGTATGTGTGTGTGAGAAATGAACGATTTTAAAGTGAATTTAGTTTCACAAGAAATATTTGAAGTAACAATAGGTTAAGTATCTCTGTGTCACGTGGTTTTCTTTGTTTACCTTTAGTTAATTACCTAAACAGATGGACTATAGATGGAACGACGATATCTGCAATGGCTGACCGTAGTGTGAAGACCGAAAGATCGAGCTCAGTAGTGTACTCTTGAAGATGCCTACATGCAACATAGTGAACGTAAAGACTGATGATGATTACCTATATTCTATATCTTATTACGTACCGTACGCTTATGTTTGAGAATGCTGCCATTGACTTTAGGTGTCTTCCTGAGCTCCCCTCCGTAGTCCAGCTTCCTCTTGGCATCCTTGCCTTCCGCGACAGCTCTAGCCGCCAAACGGCCGCTGATACGCCTGTTAATTCAAATATTAATATGAGTAATATGATAAGAATACAATATTCAATTGTAATGTATACTTTATTACATTTTGTTTAATATGACAATTGTTACCAAATCAACTTGATTTTTAAGATTTGAAGGCAATTGACAGATTTACATAACACGGAATAAAGCTGCCATCTTATTTGTAGGTACCTACATATTAATGCAACTCATAAATATCAGAATTTCATAATTATTTAGGCGACAATACCAATACGTAACATGAGATAGCCAGACATTGTTAAGTATTTATTTTACTTGCCAAATCAATTTGAATGTAATCAATCTTTTTTTACTATGAGACCACAACTCGGCGAACGCAAAATCTACTCGCTACAATCTAAAACATAATTTACTTATTCAAATACTCTAATTACTTCATGCTGTACAATGAAGTGTCTTAACTACAAAGAAACTGATCTACATATTTAAATAAAATGTTACATAAATCTATACTTAAAGGTGCTGACAAACTTGAGCACTTCACTTTTAATTAGCATTCTTGCGAATATAACATGACAGGAAAATAACGAGAGCGTGTTAGAGGACTAAGGGGAGGGCCTTTGTCCAGCAGTGGACGTCTTCCGGCTGGTGATAATGGGTAGCGAACATTCTATCAAGCATTTTGACGAGCATTGTAGCGAAGAACAGTAAAGACTGAAATTCCCTAAAGTGCTCATGAAAATGTTCGAGCAATGATTGGATCTGTGCTTGGCTCAGCTCATTGGTCAGTTCAATAAACAAATGACAAATACTCGATGTTTTGTACTTTTGTTACAAATGAATGCTCAGTTCTATTAGCACCTTGATACAATATTTCTCATTCCCTCTACCTATATAAATTCAAAATATTCTCGTTCAATGGCTACTCATCATCAATCAAAGAAAACTTGCCTCAACAATTATGACGTAAAGTTGTTTTCACATCAATAAATTCACAAGCGCGCACTGAAATTGTAAAGGAATGAAAAATATTATCTAAATAACAAGTGCGTGCGAACTATTCAGTGTTTTTATGATAAAAAAGCGAACAACGCCAATAACTTTTTTATGACGATAAATAGTACTGTTTACATTACTTTTGTATATAATCTGTGAAGCGATTGCAAGCTTTTAAATTGAGAATTAAACTCATTAGCGTAAAGTGATTTTATCTAGAGTTATCCAAAGAGTTATCAGTATCACATAACTTACCCAACTTCATTACGTTACGAAAGTAATTTTCTTACAAACGAACCAAATCATGAATTATTGAGATACTAAAGCGAACTTGTACTACATGACATTAACGAAAATTTGATTTAATAAGGCAAAGTCATTATAAGATTTTAACTCTTCACTTCACCAATATGTACTAAACTATGAAGTGCAAGTTTAATAGTGGCTGTGTTAAAATAAGCGAACTAATCTTATGACAACAACAGTTCATATTAATTTGTTCCAGTATTTCATAAAGTATTATACCACATTACCTTTTAACAGTAGTGATAGCAGATCTCTTGAGCGCCGACAAGTTGTTGGTGAAGGTAGTCACCGCTTTAGTAGCACTGCCTGTGATCAACTGTCGCTTGGACGGCGGCCTACAAATTCAAACGACCTGCTTATAATCAATGCTACTATGCTTATTTCTAATACTAATTATAAGGTCGCATACAAAAATTGCTGTAATAATGTAGAAAAATATCTTTAGGTCTTAAAGATTTGTCTAAAGTTTAGAAAAAAAACATTCTAATGCATGTTTTAGGCAAATATGTGAAGGAAATAACTTTACATTTTCACAATAAAAAGTCAAAACACTTGTAGGTAGATGTATAATTGACAGTTTAATAAATAAATTACAATAATTGTGAATAGAGGGAAAGATCTTGATATCTTTCAAGAGTTTGTATGTGATTAATGTCGAAATACGCAAACGTTACTCAATTTTAAGTCGCAGTTAAGTTCTGTCGTATAGGTCTGTCACTAAAAATTCTTCGTACAATAACAGAGATGGAAATATATTTAAGTACGACTTAAAATTGAGTAGCTATTTAGTATTGGCGTGTTCAGACTTCTGAAGGATAGAAGTCTTAGAAAATTATAGGATCTATAGGCAGAAAGAAAGATACAATCAAATATTCTAACTGATCGAGAATCCCAAGAGAATTTTACTATGAATTACAAAACGACTTCTTCATTTCACTGACTCCCCTTTTCGTAAATGAAACACACAGTATCATCACCACAACCAAACATCGGCATACCTGTTTCTTTCAGCAGTAGCAGCGAGTCCCGCGGCGGTCCTATTCCTTTTCCCGAGCGGTGATGTGGCCAGCGACCGGAATAGTGGCGTCGTCGGCGTCAGCGCCTGCTTGCGGGCTGACAGTTTGTTGTGACGCTCCTGTGGAAAGCCAGGCGTTAATAAAAATGGACCTTTAGTATATTGGTGTATGGATGTTTTTATTTGTTTTGATGTTATTTATTGAATCTTCAATACTATCCTATAAAGCTTAAAAGTTTGTTTGTTTGAAGTCGCTATGTAATCTCAGTAACTACGGGTCCGATTTGGAAAATTCTCTTTGTGTTGAATAGTCCATTTATCGAGGAAGCCTATAATAGGCTATAAGACATCACACTACGATCTATAGGAGCCGAGCGAAGAGGGTGAAAACGCGCGGGAGTAACTAGTAAAATTATGAAAGATAAAGCATGGTTTATTGTCTTATATTTTATACCATCTTATGTATACATAAATCGTGTATGTAATGTCTTTGCTATATATTACTACACACAAATGTAATCTTGTCCTTATTGCCTTGTTGGCCGCATTGGTAACTGTTAAGTGCCTGAACTTAATTCCTTTAGATTCTGAGATCGGGCGGTATGTAGGATTTTGAATTACTTGTGTTAGAAAATTCTCAGTAGTACTGAACTAAAACTGATGGCCCTATTACATCTCTGCCCACCCCTTCGGGGAATACAAGGCATTATGTCAAGTTATGTAATCAAACCAAAATAAATGCTAAATATTTTATTCAGAAAGAATTTACATCGCAAATGTGCACTTTAGGGAATTGTGACTATGCTAGCCAACACATAGACATCAAACTTCGAAAAATATATTTATTATTTTTTCAATAAGGTTGAGTTTAGTTCAATCCACTGAAATAAAATAGTAATATCAATTCAAAATGGTACTAAGATTCTAAAATACATGACTTTATCTATTTTGAAATAGAGAAGCACATATTGATGTTTTCCATACAATACTGGACATAGGTCTATACAATAACAAATCACTGATTTCAGTCTACAGCTTTTAGCTTGCATATATTGTTACTCACTGCCGCCCTATACAACATTTGCGTAGGTATGGTGGCCACTCCACAACACATCAAGTCTAAAAGTCATTGGTTCTCTATTCTCTAACCAATGTGACCAACCTAAATACCTCTTCTATCTGTTAACACATAAGTTATAAATGGTATAAGTACACTTACAGCCTTCCTCGTCTCCCATTCGTCTTCCATGAGCTGCAGAAGAGGTTTGCCATCGACAGTAAAGATGTTACCAGTCTTAGCTTCATATTCAGACACTAGTTCACGGATTTGTGCCTCAATCTTCGGTAACTGTAAAAGAAATATTTCATAGTTATAAAACTAAAAGATTATACTCATTAAGATCACAGTTCATTACAATTAGTAAGTGGCAGATTCAAGTAATTTTTATGCCTTTAAAGAAGTATTTAAAAAATACTATATTTGATGTCCATAAATATTTACTAAATATGTCCATAAATAGGCGGCGTTCTGTGGTTTCTGCCTACCGCCATAAGGCTATTTAATGCACGTTTACTAGTCGGGTAATAGAGTCAAAAATCGTTTGAATCTTTTTTTATAACTAACGTTGCTTGCGATGGCCTTCCTCTCTTTCTCTTCGCGCAGCAGTTGCCCTCCTCGGTTGTGATAACGACCCGGCTCCGTAGCTCGAGCCTCGAGCTCAGTCATCTTCAGCCAAAGGTTCTTACGTGTTACGACCAGTTCGAAAATATGCCTAGAAATAAAAAAGTAAATTATAGTAAATTTGCAATGATGAGCCTAGCCAATAATTGTTATACGTAACTCTAACAAGAGAAGAGAATTAACATAAACTACCGATTATTCCCATTTGTTTTGCACTTATATTCCTGATTTCATAGTTTTACATACTTCTAACTTATGAGGATAAGATTTGACTAAATAGCCAATGAATGAGAGACACAGAAGCAAAAAGTATGGCATTTTCTATACTGTGGGTGATCTTTGATGGAAATGACGTGTAAAAGAATAAAAGATAATAATATTACTTACTTATGATCATTATAATACTTGGTGATCTTTTCCAAATAAAGTTCGTGTAAGGTCAAAGTGTCTTCAGTAAAGATGTCTTGGTAGTAGTGCACGAATTCTTCGCGTTCACGGCTCGAATACATCACACTGTCCCACATCAACTTTATCTTAGTGCGCACATTCGCCACGAACACCTGGGTAAAGGAAAATGGTACTTAGAATAAAGTGTGAGAGTTGACTATTGCACACAACTAAAACGTTTTTAGTAATTTTGTAAAATAATTGGACTACACTTTGGAATTGCGGGTCGTCTAGGGGTTTAGCAGTTCGTTCATGAGAATATTACCTAACGAACGAAAACAGAAGGATGGGAGGCCAACATCCAATATCCTGGCCCAGTTAGACTCATGGTGAAATCTGAAGTTTTAAAACTAAATGCTGCTGCCTAATTAAAATTATGATTATTGTCACCTGATAGCATACAGCAATAGGCGAATTACGGGTGACAAAATTCTGAAAATTTTAAGGCGTCATTATTATGCGTCCTCAAAATATTTCTAGATATACGAAAATAACATATAAAAAAAAGTTATTTTGCCTAACCTCTAGTTGGTTAGGATAATTTGTAAATGCTGTAGGTAATAATAAATAATATTGGTACTACGATGCAATGTACTATTGGTTCAAACAGGAACTAACTAGGTAGGTACCTAATAATTGATTTTATGTAATAACAATCTTAATAGGCTTATACAACTTTAATTAGGGCAATGCACTCAATGTATCTATGTAACAATTAATACGACATCTAAACAGTTTGATCGATATCTATCAATACTAGTTCGCGTGAAAGTAAACCGATTTATTATTCAGCGATGCAAAACGACTAGTTAGATTACGTTTTCGCATACCATATTGCAATACTAATTGCATTTCGATTAAAAAGCTAGTTTAAAATAAACGAGAGCAAACAAATTAAACTTTCCCGTTTTCGAAACTGGGGTTTTCCTGTCCCAAAAATAACTGCCTATGCCTACTATACTATCCTAACTAGACTATTTGTCTGGTCGCATGCGTGATGAGTTTGCAGGTAGACCATCAAGTGAAACAAGTGAATTTATCTCTGCAAATAGGCTACAAGGCAGCACTTTTACACGTCAATTTTATCAAGCGAACGATGAGGTCGACATCGAGCGAAGTAAACCTATAACTACTTAATCTACTAACTTTTTATCGACTTTTCAGAATTTTGACATTCTTGGTAATATAGTTCTTAACATAACATCACACCTTTTACCCCAAAGGGGTAGGCAAAGGTGTACATTACAGCACTTAATGCCGCTGTACAATGTAACATCCTCTTCACTAATTATGTTATAAGTCCCATGTAATAGGGAGTAATAAAAGTTCTTATACTGTGAAATGGGTTGTTGCAATGTATTTCACCATTTTCTAATCATTCGGGATTCGAGAGGCGTGATTTTATGTATTTTATTACTGATACCGACACCAACTTTTTCGCCAATTATCTTGTTATTCGCAATAAACATACATAATTTAATAGTAGCATTGATATCCAATAATTACAAATGATACATAAAGCAAGCGCATTTAAGTCATAGCAAATATGAGAATTTATCACAGTCATCATTTTAATGTTGAAAGAAACAGGCCCTATTAGAGTTACAACAGTTCCTGTGTGACAACTAGTTACTAGATAACTGCAACAAACTATCGATATTTAGATAATATTCCACCCATAATGTAGGCTATCAGATCAGTGAAACATAGGTACCAAACTTGAAAGTACTAGGTAGTATAGATATCAATTTGTTTTCTTTGGACTTGCAATTACATCGAGCATAATGTGTATGGGGTTAATAATTTCTTGACATAATGAGGAAGTAAGTATGAATGAGCCTTTATGTAATGTAACATCTTTCAATCATAATTGTAAAAATCTTTGAAGTTTAAATTGAACAAAAACAATAGAAGAAAATGATAGTTTACTTCTACACAATTTCTAATGGTGTCCTATACAGTGGAACACTTCTAACATGAATTGCAATTACCAATGACCTACAATTTCTATAAAATGCCCATCATTTACATACCTGAATCTTCTGCCGTTTGATTTGATCGCAGCGTTTGATCTCCTCTTTGATGGCGGCTTCGGTCTGTGGGTGGCAACCAGGATGTGCGTGCAAGAAGTTCTCGCGGTAAATCTGATCTTCATCGAGGCATTCCCAGAGTTTAGTGAGACGCTCACGAAGCTCCAATACCTAATACAGATAATTTTTATTTACTAATTTGTATGGAAATTAAGTGGAAATATTACCTACATAGGTATGAGATCAAAGGCTGGCGACAAATCATATTTCTCTTTTGTATTTAACGTTTAAAATGTATTGCCAGTTCTGTTAAAATTCTATAAGACCACATTAATATTTTGCCTCAGCGGGGTGATAGACGAAATCCTCCGCTCGAAAATAATATTTGCCACCACTTGAATAAGAGTGAATTTCAGTGGTTATAATCTAAACAATATAACAACCTAAACAAAACAAAACAAAATAAAGTAGGCTGCGCGACCGCGCACGCTGCTCATGAGGAAGAACCCCAATGTGGTTCGAAACTAATAGAGCTTTTCTCAGTATATTCATATGAGTGACCCGCGACTTTTAGTCAATTTAGTATGTCTCACGATAGTTATTATAAAAAATATCAATAACACATCGACATATTATATGGTCAGTAATTTACCCTGTTATTAGTCTGTTCATATTTCTCTTGCAAGTCTTGCTGAAGCTTGGCGAGCCGGTCCATGTTCAGGTCAGTCACTTTGAAGTCCACAGATAGAGATGATGTCACAATATGTTCAAACTTGTTCTGTGGTTTGATGCGGAGTTTGTCTGAAACATACAAAATTATAGTTTTAAATATGAAATGTAGTTTTAAAACTTTCATTCATTAAATACAGAATAATGTAAGTTGTATAACATTATCAGTTGGAATGGTAATGACCTACTAATCTCGAGATAATTATTAATTGAATTAAAATAATATCTAAGGTTAAAGTGCTTTGTTAATTATAGAAACAGTTCAATATTCAAACGTTATAAACGATTTTTTTTTTAGCCACTTATGCTCGCCTTCCGCAGGCCCGCGCTTACGGTGGCCGGAGATCGTCCCGCCGAGATTTGGTACCTATAATTCTATTTCTTTGCACAAACTTATTACCAACTGTCCAAATCTATACAGATAAATTAAACTGGAGTGTCTGTTTGTAATATTAAAATAACCGCTTTCTTCTACATACATGTGAATATATGTAGGTACATTTGTACAACACACATACCAAACTAACATTTTTTATAATTTTTGTCAGTCTGTTTGTACTGGCTAATCTCTAGAATGGCTAGACCTAATTTGCAATACTTTTATTGGCAGGTAGCCGATGTACTAAAGTTTACATTAATTTTTGACAATTGAAATAAAAAAAGTTATGTTCTAAAATTCTATGCAGACGAAGTAACAGGCACAGTTAGTAGAGGATAAATTGTTAGAAGTTATCACAACGAAATACCTAACTTAACAGACAATAATCAGTGCATAAATAGATAATAATCAATCAATTACACAACAAAACCAATGTTTACCTACTTAACCATTTATTGTGTATACAAGTACATAAATCTTCAAACTAAACTCACCCATAATATCCTTAATCTCAACTTGAATGTTCAAGAAGGTCTCTGCCCTCTTATCCCTCTCTGCTTGAAGCATTTCCAAGTGTTCCTTCAGCTTGTCCAGTTCCTCTTCAGCGGGAAGTGGGACTTCTTGCAACTCCTGGATGGTGACTCCAAGCTTATCAGCTAAGTCCCGCTGCCATTCCAATAGCCTCTCCATCTTCATACGACGTTGTTCTACTTGTTCTCTATACCTGTTAGAATAAGATGGATTTTTGTTTGGTTATTAGATAATATTTACTTGGTTATTGTGGTAAGTGACTAATGTTTGCGCAAACTACATCACATTTGTTGTCTTTAGAACAACAATCAAAAGGTGCAACTTTTTATTAATGTAAGTTTGTTTTATAATTATCGGTTTAAAGCCCGACATGCCATCTGTCATTTTACAAAGAATTTGTAGTGACAGAACTATAGTTAAACGCGACCCAAAATTTTTTAGCCTTTCAGTATTTAAGAGTAACTCACAGAAGTGTTGCTTATAACACTTGCTTATAACACTCAATATGTGAAGTCGTTTCTGTAAAATATTGGGCTAGTTGAAGTGACATGTGTATTTACTTTTAGTGTCAATAATTTGAACACCATTACTAAAATTAATCATACTTCATACTAGTCACACATCTACTAGAAGTAATGGTGTCAAACTAACCCAATGAGGCAATAAAATGTAAGCAGCTACAGCAAGCCACAAAGCAACAGCGTTCTCATATGAAGAGATAACAGAGATGACATAAGGTCATAAGAAAGATGCACTAACAAATAATCTTTCTCATGTCAGGTCATGTCACAAGACTTGCAAAATCATACTTAAGGTAATTATAAAATTGTCTAATACTTTAGCAATTAGACAAGTCAACTGTGAGAACTGTAATTTATAATGAGCTGTGAACAGGAAAGATGTGTTGTGTCTAAGTGTTGAAAGACTTTAGACAACAATCTAAAGAAATTAAGATGTGTTTAACATTAAATAATTAAAAAGGTCTAAAGGTAGCTAAACTATTTTGTTAACTAGGTATGTCTATTATTATTTATTGATTATTTACATGTAAGTAATTAGTTGTAAGTAATATAACTAGTTTAATAATCACACAAATATTATAAACGTGAAATTTTCTTTGTTTGGATGTTTGTCCATCAATCATACTGAACTACTGATCGGATTTCAATGAAATTTGGCATACTGGCAGGGTATGAGCTGACTTAGGTGATAGGATAGGACTTTTTATCCTGATTAAATCCTTCATTGGGATAAAACAGGAATATGCGGACCTAGCCGTGCATAAAAAGCTAGTATAAATATAAAATAGTTACAACTTTGTCTTTATTTTCAAAGACAATGTTTTGTAGACACTTTTGTTACCCATGACATATCAATAATATGAATAACTTACCCAGCAATCTGTTCTTCCAGTTCCCTCTTATATTCAACCAGCATCATGTCTTCCTTGAAGTCCAGGATGGTGATATCGACAGATAAACATCTACTCAACTCTTCTGTCTCTTCTTTTAATTCTGTTAAATAAAAAATAATATTTGGTTACTAGCTCTACTATTTAGTTACTAAATCTTAAGATTAATTGTATTTGGCATGTCATTTTTATTAACTATGCGAACTTATCAGATTTGAAATTGCATAAAACATAAACATTCAAACAAGTAGTAATTAAAGTATTACCATAACAAGCTAAACAAAAGGCTCACCCCCTATTACATGGGACTCATAACATATATAGTGAAAAGTGAGTGTTATATTATACAGTGGCATCAAGTGCCGTAATGTGCACCTCCTTCAGGGATAAAAGGCATGATGTTACGATGTTAAAACAAGTACAATACTAACAGTGCATTTCTTAACAACATATTATGCAGATAAAAGCTATGTTACAATACAAATATAAAGGATTAGGTTAATCTGATATTCCCCTAAGATCTAACAAATAAAGCTCAAAATAAATGGAATTTTACATCTTTACAATAATTCATTAGCATAACAAGTCTACAAAACTTACTGTCAACTTGTCCTTGCATAGTTTTGAGCTTCTGTCTGGTCTCCGAGATGACATCTCTATGGAGTTCCTTCTCTATCTGCACCAGCTTTGTGATGTTGTTCACTTTGGTGTTGTCATCGACGCCAAGATGTGACCAGTTCAGCCAGAGCTCCTCCATCATTGAGCGGACATTCTGGGATATCTCCACCAGGACTTCATTGCTGTTAAAGAGAATACGGATGTGTTTTATCGGAGACTATAGTAGATGTCAGGATAGTAGCTTTGTGTTATTATAGTGACAATATAAGGGTATTTTACATGAAGAGTGTATTGTATTTTTTTTTTCGATTGTGATAAGTTTTTATTAAATATCATAATTTATATAACTACATAAATATTTACAACTTAAAATTAACTACAACTAAACTATTAAATAAAAAGAAAGTAAAAGAAAATATTATTTATTGTATTTATGATGATTTTGTTTCATAAATTGTTAATCAATGCTTAATATTTTGGATATTTCAACAAATTCTTCAATGATGAAGACTAATTTGAAGTATTTTTGTAGATATTGTTAATTAATTATTGATTATCTCAAAGTATTTGTATTGTTGTAATAATCATGTATTTAACTTGTTATATTTCCTTGTCAATTTCAGATTAATGAAATGTCTTTTATTATTGAAACAATATCCGATTCTATCAGACAAGAAAGCATCATTATGCATACATTTGAAATTCTTAAGAGTAATCAACTGTTTCAAATGATTTGGATACTTGACAAAATCCCAGCATGTAAATATCCAATAATAGGTTACACACAATAAGTAAGAACGATAAACAGGAAGAATATCGTGTAGTTTAAGAGTATTAATAGATGTTTGTATGCATAACCGTTTGAAATCAATGCGTAACGGAAGACAACCAGGAAACCTGACGCCTCTTGAATTGTGTGGTATTTTAAGTAAAAATCGTAAAATTACAACTACAAACATAAATTAGAGAATTTATATCGAAAATATTGCGCTTAAACACTAATAGAAAGTTATTCAAACACATTCGTTGTATAAAAAATCAAACTTACAATAGCTTGTTGACATCTTCGGTTAACGTAATCATTTTGCCTTGAGTTCTCACTGTTTTCCTTTTAATGGAACACACATAAGTTCACAATAAATGTCTAAATTGTGTCTGTATTACAAATCACTAATAAAACTCAATATTTCTAAAATAACCACCAACATGTATCCGAAATCTAACGAGTCTTGAACGTTTGTTTTCAAAATTTAAGACGTTACAAATGAAAGTGTCTTCCACTGGCCTGTGATTGGTCGGACATTTTTGTCGTTCGGAAACATTTCGTTACATAGCAAGTTGCGAAAACGTTTATTTAATTTCTTCAAATAACTTTTACAAATATTATTATAGTGAAATTAAATACAATTATGTTAGTTTACACAAATGTTGTTTTTATAGATATGTAGATCGAAACTGCTCATTGTTAGGTACTTTGAAATATTAGTGAGAGCGGGGTGGCGCCACTGCACCAAAGCTTGCATTCTTATTTAATTTTTTCGTTCCCCTAATTTTAGTTTGGAATCAATTAGGTCATAAATTATTAAGAAAGTTTCTTAGATTCTGATCACTTTATTGATTAGAAAGATTATGGTTTATTTGTAGCTTGTAGGACAGATATTACATAAATTGTTCCGTAGGATAAGATTGATATCTAATAATTTATAGACAGAGTTAACTTGGCAACACGGGCAGGAAGCTAGGTATTTTAGTTACAATGGCCAGCAGATCAAATTACTACAATCAACAAAATTTATTCATTGCATTTTCGACTTTATATCAATAAAATAAAGCTGAAGATGTGATAGACAAATTTGTCAGTAAAGGATAGGTTGACCTTCTGGCCCCCGTAGTTTGGCCTTGTATCAGAGTTACTCAGAGACTATATTTGTCTATGGTCAAAGAAGGCGGCCGTAAAGGCACAATTTATTAGGTACTTACAGTAAGATTTTTATAATAATGCGATAATGGTAGGAATGGCGATTCTTACCGAAAAAGATCGATTATTAAATCGATTTGAATCGATTCATAAAAAAATCGAGGTCTAAAACAATGATTTCCAGAAAATCTATCTTTTTCAAATTAGTTTTTACAATGTTAATATAAATCAAATTCACAAAAACTTGAGAAATATTAGAACGATCTTTTAATCAGTATAATCAGAATTCGATATTAAACATTATTTTTATTACCTATTATTGTTATTACTTGATGATGATATGTGAATTCAATCACAGTAGGTAGGTATAGAGATACAATGCAATAAGTCAAAAATTATAAACGTAACTTTATTTTATTGATGAGAAGTGAGGCGAAGGAGACTAAACATACAGCAATCTCGCGAGTTTTTGAGTATTAACCGGCAGTATTCTTGTAATACGAGCTTTCAACTAATTGTATGTTTTATACCAAGATAGAAAAATACGTATCTCGATCTTAGAATGTCTGAGATCGATTCAATACATAGGATCGATTAAAAAGATCGATTTGTTTAGGTACTCTAAAAGATCGATTCTTCGATTAATCGATATCAGACCGCCATCCCTAAATAATGGTTTTGGCCCCTCAGCCTCGAGATCGATTCCATGGTCGGGCAAAGAGTTATTATCGGCCAGAGATGTCAGTTTATCAAAAAATCTGCAGTTCTAGTTTTTACCTACCCCTTTTACATAACATAGCTGGAAGAAGGTGAATTTTTAATTGAATACCTACATAATAATGTAGGTAGATTTCTGGCTGATCCTTCGTGGCATAAAAGGTATGATAATATCTAAGTATATTATTACGGTTATGTTTACTGATTTGTATCAACATTATCTTCTCGTGGTATTAACCCGTGCGGTAGATACTTACATACTTACGAACGTAGGCAATTAATGTTTTAAGCGTAACACTTTTACTTTGCTCCCAAATTGAAATCATTTTATTACTTCCATGACTCCGCTGGCATAGCAGTGGCTTTATGACTGGCTGCAATGAAATTTGTCGAGTTTTCGATTATCCCACGCTGAACAATTTTGTCTTTTTTATAGGATAAGCCATTAAACGAGGTTACCGATCACCTGATGGTAAGCAATCAGCTTCGTCTGTGCCACCTGGAACACTAAAGGCGTTACAATTGCATTACCGGCCTTTTGGGATTAGGAATTTGAGGAACGTTGGGGATTCAGTGATTGGATAGGAGGGTAATTGGGTACCATTACCTCACTCACACGACGAAACAAAGCAAGCATTATTTCACGTCGATCTTCTGTGAGGCCGTGGTATCACTCCAGTCGAGCCGGCCCATTCGTGCCGAAACATGGTTCTCCCACACTTATTCTACCAATCGATCATTGTTAGATTTTCTTAATCTAGTGTGGGTGATCTAAATAAAATTTGCGTTTTTAAACGTACCTACATTTACCCGAGTACCTTACTCGGGAGCATCCCTATGCCTTTAGCCAAACGCCACTTTAGCGCTTGTCTACAGAGAGAGTAGAAATCAAAAATGTATGGGGATGACACTGACAAGTGTCAAAATTTACGTCAATTCCATATAATTTAGTTCTCTACTCTACATGTAGACAAGCGCTAAATGGCATTTGGTTACAGCTGCTAGTGTGATAGTGTGAGGCTAAATTTATTCGGGGGCTTAGTGGATTAAGAGTCATGCATGACGTAAAGTTACATAACATAACATCACGCTTTTTATCCCCGAAGGGGCAGGCAGGCTATTTTAGGAGCTAGGTAGGAGAGCCTAGTGTCCTAGAGGAGGTTTCTTCTTATCTTCTAGTAGTAGTAAAACTCCGATGAGAGGTGTTGACAAGAATGATTTTATTTCGCCAAACTACGCTACTTATATTTCTATTTACATATTTACAACTAGACAAGATCAGATATAGTTAGGTAATAGTTTCGACCAATAGCGGCGCGCCGGCGTGCGCGGGGCGCGCGGGGTGCGGGGCGCCGCTTTGCACACGGCACTATCGGTTCCTTCCGTATAAGTATGACCGCGCGGCGCGAGCGCGCGCATTTCTCCGAGAGCCGGCGTCGAGTGAAGACTGAAGACTACCTACAGATGAATGAAGAATGAAGATGAATGCAAGTACTCCGGCCTCCGGCTCCGGCTCCGGCTCCGCTTGCGCTGCTTGGCTGCTTGCTTTACCAAACCGCTTCTTTCGAAGCGATCGCTCGCGGCACGGTGTGATAACGCTGTTGCCGCAGTGATGATTATCGTTTCTATGCAAGAAAGTCGAAAACTGTCTTTTTCAAGACAATTGGTTTCTGGTTTCTTAAAACGGAGTCAAAACGTAAACTGTCTTTTTCAAGACAATTGGTTTCTTGTTTCTTTAAACGAAGTGAGTCTATAACTTTGGTAAAGGTATTGTGGAAGGTATCTGGTATATGGAAAGGTATTCGGTGGTACTGGTAACTGGTAGGTATGTAGTCGTGCGGTGCGGCTACAGTACTCCCCCCCGAGCGAAGCGTACTGGGGTCTTGACGATTCTTCCTGTTCGCGTTTTTCGTACATCGCTGATGCTCGACGGAGGTTGACTGGGTTGATCCTGGATAGCCTCTGGTAGCGTTGCACAGTTGTCCGAGTTATCGTAATTAATGACGTAGGCAGGCTTCAGGCGCTCGATAGACACGTTGGTAGTACCTCTAGGTGTTTGTAATGTGAAGTACTTGTCGCTTCTGCTGGAGACTAGGTACGGACCCTTGTACGGACGTTGCAGCGGTTTGCGAACTGCGTCGTCACGTACAAATACGTGGCTGCATGTTTGCAGGTCTTTGTGCACGAAGATACTCAGTCGGTTAGTGTGCGACTGATAAGCGGGCGTTAAGCTTGTGATAACACGATGCAAGTCAGCCACATAGTCGTTATCCATCTTCGTGTAGGTAGGCGATGGCGATATGAAATCGCCGGGTAGCCGTAGTTCTTGTCCGTAGGTAAGTTGAGCGGCACTAGTGTTAGTGTCGGTGCGCGTAGCGGCTCGTAGTCCCAGTAGCACGGTAGGTAACTCGATCAACCATTTGTTGTTGTCGGCGAGTCGAGTCATGAGCGCGGCTTTCAATGTACGATGCCAGCGTTCTACGATCCCGTTACTCTGCGGGTGGTAGGCAGTAGTACGAGTTCTTTCTACTCCCAGTAGCTGAGCGAGATTTTTGAATAAGCTGCTCTCGAACTGTCGTCCTTGATCAGTCGTGATTTTGATAGGACAACCAAAGCGTGATATCCATGCTTCATACAGCTTTCTTGCGACGACTTCGGCTGATATCTCTCGCAGAGGGACGGCTTCTGCCCAGCGGGTGCAGCGGTCGATCATAGTGAGTAGGTATCGATGTCCGCTCGAAGATGTAGGCAGAGGTCCGACGATGTCAATGTGTACGTGTTCGAAACGCTCGCTCGGTGGGAATGATGTGACGTCACTGTGCGTATGTCGATGTACCTTTGATTGTTGACACTGAATGCATGACTTTGCCCACTCGCCAATGTCGGTGTTCATAGACGGCCAGAAGTATCGTTGCTGCATTAGTTTGCGTGTAGTTCGAATACCAGGATGACTTGTATTGTGCACGGCGTTGAATGCGATGCGACGAAAGTCAACTGGTAGGTATGGACGAATGTGAGGCGTCGATACTTCGCAGTAAATCAGCTTGTTTGAAGTAGGTATGACGATTTTCTTGAGTTGAATATTTGTTTGTTTACATAGGTTGAGAATATTGCTGTCCTTTTCTTGTGCTTGAGATAGTTGTTCGTAGTCTATCGGCGATGGTAAGTCGATCGTTTCAACGCGTGACAGTGCGTCGGCGACTACGTTGTTCGCTCCGGTCACGTGACGTAGGTCGGTCGTGAACTCGCTTATAAACAACAGCTGACGAGTGCGTCGTTGTGTGTCGTTGTCCGACGGCGGCTTGCGTATTGCGTAGGTAAGCGGCTTGTGATCGGTGTAAACAATGAGTTCTCTTCCTTCGAACATTTTTCTAAAGTGTTTGATCGCCATATATATTGATAATAATTCTCGGTCGAACGTACTATAACGTTGTTGTGTTTCTGAGAATTTCTTCGAGAAATAGCCGAGGGGAACCCACTTGTTGTTTACAAGTTGTTGTAGGACAGCTCCAGCACAGGTGTTCGATGCGTCACACATGAGTGATATTGGTTGAGTTGGTGACGAGGATGGGTGAGCGAGTAAAGCTGCGTTTTGTATGCTAGCTTTACACAACTCGAATGCTTGAAGTGCTTCATTGTTCCACTCGATTTTTGTTTTATCGCGTTTCTTGGAGTTATGTAGAAATGCGTTTAGCGGCGCTTGTATGTGGGCCGCATTACGTATGCTGTCACGGTAAA